AGAAGCCCTAAACAAGAAAATAATCAACATGGAATATGCAGTCATATTTAATGAAACATGTCTAAATGAAAACTTGCTGCCAGTATACACCAATTTTAATAATTGGTGTATATATATTACTGTATTTATAATATACATACAAATTTACCTACACAATTAGTTGCCATTGCATTTATCGGTTCATTATTTGTATTCCGTTTTGCATTAAGAATAATTTAAAATACAGACATGAAACTGCTAAAGTAACTTTACCAATTTACCACATTTTATCCACAAGAAAGAAAAAAATTCCAGTTTAATAAATACTTACACTTAAGCTAATGCCATATAAATAAAGTATGTTTTCATTTTCATATCCAAAGCAGATTAGTCACTTCCACCAGCTTTTCTTTAGTGCACTTCATCATAAGAGGGCAAGACTGGGTGTTAATCCTTCATGTTCAATCAAAATGCTAACACGTGAAAATTTGTACCCAAGAATTTTTTTTATTTTATTTTGCATCACTGATCCCTGTAAACCAAGTGCATAGGTACCAAGGATCACATTGCAGTCGGCTCAAGGAATGAATTCACTAATTTATAACGGCAACAATCTCTGATTTTGAATCCGAGTTTTTCATGCACAAAGAAATCACATTAACATGTATCATTAGTACATTATAGTAATGTTAACTTAATACTGTACATGACAACCCGAGCATTAAACAAAACTTTAAAGACTATCCTTTGTTATGTTTCTACTTTTTTCACATTATTCCAATTTTACTGCAATTTCTTTTTTGCATGTGCTCTTAACTCATGATAATAAATTTCTTCAACATATAGACTTGCATGGTTGCACATGTAACCTATTTCAGAATATGAAACTTATTATTCATTATTTACATAATAATTTAACTGAATAACCATTACGAGTATGCAAACATTCCCTCTACCTTAATTTAAATTTCGGTGGAAAAGGCAATACTTTATACATAAATGAACTTAAAATTATTACATTAGTTAATTGTAATTAACAGACTGAGGAGTGTGAAAGAGGGAAGCTAGTAATTATCAAAATGTGCTAAGCCATAAGGGCTTAGCCATAAGCCATAAGAGCTTAGCCATAAGCCATAAGGGCTATATACTGTAATGCTAGACACGAACAGATCACACTTACAGCTTGGCCTTACTACGTTTATTTGGGGACCAAAATATACTGATTTATGACTTAAGAAGTACTTTACTTTAAATCATAAAGGGACACATTTTGTACTTCAAGAGAAACTGAAAATATTTGACAATGCAGTTTGCATGCACATCTTGCATGAATATATCTCATAACATACTATATTTTAAAGGAATTTAGGCAGTTAATGAAGTATAAAGTTTTATCTTTCATAATAATATTTAACATACACTAAAAAAAATTGCTCTATGCAGAAAAATATGAATTAAATAGGTCTCCATACTTGTGAGAATTACATAGTATTAATATGAAAGATTTAAATTTGACTAAATTGTAGTAAAGGCATCACAACCTTTTGGTGGGTGAAATATATTTTACAAGCAGTACTCACCAGCAAGCACCCCATTATATGACCACTTTCTCTTTTTACTGAGCAACAATATACTATTAAACAGGAATGTATCAAAGTAGAAGGTGCAATAGAGTATTTAGAATGAAAAGTATGAATACAGCTAATATTGTCTCAATTTATAAGGACTCCAAAACCAATACAATATTTTGAGTATGGTATCCAGCACACAATACCAATACAGTATGTGCATAGATAACAGGGTAGGGAAGAAATGATGACAAAATGGCAAAATTAAATACACAATAGTGTGTAGAGAAAATTATATCGATAGTGTAGAGGACAAATTAAGTGCACAAAATATTGTAGGGAAAAATTATGTACACAATTCAGTGTATAGGGGAAAATTATGTACACACTTGATAATACAAATTAAGTAAATACAGTATACCACAGTGAGGCATATCATCAGTTAAAAACCTGCCAGCTAGGATTTAACACACAATCTGCCTCTACAAGTCATGTATACAATAGAATGAAATGATCACACTTGTATAAACCATTAAAAACAAATGATGTACTGTGCTAACAATATAAGCAAGTGGAACACTTATTTTTAAACCTTCAAATAGCACTTGATGTATTGTACTGGAACTCCTTTGATATTCACCGAGGCAAAATTTATTGAATTCAAGAATTGTCACACTGTTATTTCCAATTATAACAGTGATCCACTGCCCACCAATACAGTCTTGAGGACTATGATGACCAGACCACACATTAGAATGTGAAGGGACGACGACGTTTCAGTCCGTCCTGGACCATTCTCAAGTCGATTTGAGAATGGTCCAGGACGGACCGAAACGTCGTTGTCCCTTCACATTCTAGTGTGTGGTCTGGTCAACATACTTTAGCCACGTTATTGTGACTCATCGCCTGCATATTGAGGACTATAATGTTTGAAAACTAAACCGCACACCAGACGATGAGACGACTGTTACAAAAGTCGTCATCTCGTCTCCTGGTATGCGGTTTAGTCCTCACGTCGTCAGCCACGTTATTGCGACTCATTGTCTGCACTATAATGTTTTCTTCCCCATAGTAATTTTCACTACAATTAAATGTTAGTAACATTTTAATAATGGAGCCTTAAAAGTTTGGACAATTAGAATTATACAACCAATTAAACAATAATGTTATTCATTCACACAATGTACTTTTCATTACCATTACAAAGGATGCCTACAAGCAGCCATACAAGATCCTGGGAGTGCCACATGGTTGCTTCGGTGGCAATTAACCCCTGGGGGGGGGGGGAGCAGTTATTTAATAGCCAACAGTAGCAGTGTGCACCAAAAAAAAAAAAATTAAAACATTTTCTTCTAATATTATTAAAATACATATCACGGAATTTTTTTTTTTTGCATGAGAGATTTTGGGTGTGATAGGACGAGGAATTGTGGCAAGATACAAACACTGGCACGATACTAGGCCAGGCTGGTCTGCTCCAGCCAAGCCCAGTGGCGGCAGTTGTCACAAAGATATTTATTACTGTATTATTTCAATGTCTCCAATTGTTTTTTTGCAGTAATATTATTCAACAGTGTATAATGTGATAAACTTGTATAAAATGTGAGGACCATTGCTATAATAAAAAATATGATTAGCATATTGCTCATAAGAGCATATGATGAGTAATATGACTCGCCTGGCGTTCCGCGCGCGCTTTGTCACGGGTTCGTATCCTGGCCGGGGAGGATTTCCTGGGTGCAAATCCTTAACTGTAGCCTCTGTTTAACTCAACAGTAAAATGTGTACTTGGTTGTAACAACGATTCTTCGCAGTGGGGATCGTATTCCAGGGACCTGCCCGAAACGCTACGCGTATTAGTGGCTGTACAAGAATGTAACAATTGTATATATCTCAAAACAAAAACAAAAAAAATAGTGATACAATTATTATATTTATAGAACAGTACAACAATGTTTTTGCTGTAACTACACTGCAGATAGCAGTAGTAGTAGTAGGCATCCTGCAGTCTCTGGAGACTATGGAGTTGCGGTCAGGTTGTCGAGGCTGGAGTGTCCTCTCCAGGGCACAAAGCCAGGGTAGGTTGATATGAAGGAGAAGCTGTTACCCATGCAGCAGGGTTCCCCCCCCCCCTTCCCACGTTGCTGAAATTATCCAATGGAAAGGCAAAGGCCAATACGCATGGTTCCAGCGCTGTTGCAGGAACCACTGCATATACTGTATGTTATTTATATATATAACTATCTATACTTTCATGCATTGTTACAAAGTTTCTGGCATATGTAGTAATCTTACAACAGGTTATCAGAGTTCAGCCTAGTTACACACATTTTGCACTAAATTCCAACAGCACACATTGAATATTTAATATTTTCTTTGTCTTTTGAATGTTTTTACCATAGATTTCTCAAGTGCAATGTTGTATTGGGCTATCAATAATATTTGCATTATAGTAGGAATAGAATATTGGTACACACAGATATATTCATGTCACTAATATCAGTTACATATTATATACTTTGAAAAATAAAACATAGTATTTTTGCTGTTATTACACTATATAAACACATATATAACTTATCTACATTTCTGTGCACCATAACTAACCACTAAGATTGGATGCTGAGAGTATATAAACTCAAACACAATCCAAGTCAGCCTATCACCTGGCAGCTGAGTGTGGCAAGTACATTTTTACATATTTAGCCAAGTGTGGCAAATACATTTTTACATATTTATTTCAATGTCTTTGAATGGTTTTATATCTAGTTTTTCCAGCAATATTATTCAATAGTCTGTAATTTGAGGACTCCATACATGTAGATAAATGTATAGAACATTGCTATACTCAAAAATATGGTGCTCATATCTAGTGACAGGTACTAGTATTACATTCTTAAGTTAATCAAACAGTTTTTGCCATTATACACGTTATATATAACATCTACATTTTTGTTCACCGTAACAAACCACTAAGCTGGTATGGTGTGCCCAGACAGCATAGCCCACCTCACACCAGTCAGCTGACAACACTACTTCACTCAGCAAGAATCCTCCTCCCAACATACTACGCACATCGCTAATTCTTGGCACAAAGCTGCTATTATCAGAATTCTGGTCACTAAATCCTGTAAATGAATAATTTTCTTCAAGCTTATTTTGTAAAGGAATGTGAGAAGTCATTTCAAGATGCTTAGATGGACCAGGTAGAGTGCTGTGGCTGCCTGACTAGCACTGTGAACATCATGAACAACATTGTGTTCACTGATATCTGAACAGTGTACTGTCTTTATCAGTCAGGGGTCTTTAATAATACAGTCAACCCTAAATAATAGCAGTTACTGTACATATATATTTTTTGTATTTTTTAATTTTTAAGCAATGCTGTGGTCACAAGGTGAACAGCAGTGCTGTTAGCTCATACTGCATGCACCAGTATTGGTTGCTCACTCGGTACTACACTCGGCCTTCACACCCAGCAATGGTGCCCACACTTTTTTTTTTTTTTTAAATGGCATCTATTTACTGTCGCTCGGAGAAAGCCAACGTGAACCCTGCGTAGCCACAGGACTTTTAAATCTTACACAATACTCCAAAACACACATGCATGTTATGCACCCTCCAGTCAGTTAGGCCAAAATCATATACAGTGCATATGTATCATTTGTGCCCTGTAAGGGTTAAGGCTCACGATCCTCGTTCTTAAGTCAGTAATATTTTTACTACTGTATTGAAAACTTTCTTTGCATTTTATAATGATAATGATGAAAGGTGAAGAAAAGCTCAATAATTGTGTGTACAGTATTATTAAACTGAATTTTCAGATGAACCTACATCCTTGATTCAATACACTTTTCATACAACCTTCCAAGTGCTTGTGTTTATATGTCTGGCAGAGTGCCTCAAATGGGGTCCATCATTAGAGATCATTATGATTATGATGTCTCATAATAATAATAATAATAATGGGAATAATGTCTCAGTGGTACCTGGCCCACAGTTCCCAGAATCCACGACATTTGATCATTCCTCAGAGGTTTTGGCATACATTAGAGTCCCTGGAGAGCATAATCATAATGATCTCTAACGATGGACCCATTTGAGGCACTCTGCCGGATATATAAACACAGGCACTTAAAAGTTTGGTTCAATACACTGTTTACACCACCTTGATAAAGGATGCAGAGTCATCGAAAAATTCAGTTTAATAATATACTTACACAAGTATTGGTCTTTTCTTCACCTTCATTCAAACACTAGGGTATTGTAGTAAGCTTCTCAATAATAATAATAATAATAATAATAATAATAATAATAAATTTCTCATTAACATTTCTAATCTTTATGAAAATACAAATGCTTTATTACCATTATGTATTTTGTATATAATAAATCAAACTAAACACAGAAAACAAAAGTTTTGTAAAAAGTGCTGTGGAGAATACACATATACAGTATTTTGTTGGACATGCAGAAATTCATCTGTTGCTTTACTACATAAATTATCCAAAGATGAATACAACATTTAATAATAATAATAATAATAATTGAAGACTATCATATATGATGAGACTTTCACTCTCCATGGCTGTGACCCACATCATGCTCTAAGTTATGGTAAAGTTGTACCATAACATATCCAATACACTACTATGTGAATAACTTGAAAAGTTCAGCGGTGTTTTTAAGTGAATACCAATATTCTTTCTTCTATAAGCATATGTCTAGAAATAATAACAACAGGCAGTGAGCAGTTAATGATGGGAAGTAACACATCATAATCTCTGCACAGATCCTATACCGCTTTAGCCCATTCATATGCACGCTTCATTTTTGTATACTATACTTCTATATATACACACTTAAATCCTCTAGCTTTATTCAATAAAATATTTCAATATGGTTTAGTAATGAATGATAAATATGTTTTTCACCAAAATGTCTATATTTTAGATGCAAAAGAGACTGCTTAGGTCTCCAAGCAATTGAGGAATTTTGTTTGCTAAGAGTGCTCAACCTTCTAAAAAAAGTTTAATACATAGGCATTGTAGCTTGTAGTTATGTATAATAAAGAGAATAATAACGTAGCTATTGTTCAAATTTATATTATAGATATTTAATATTTGTATAGACGAGTAAGAAATCACATGAAAACTTACTTGCCCAGTGAAATAGGTAAGCCACATGAAGCATTAAAACACATCTTTTACCTCAAGATATGAGCATTGGCAATGCACATGCTGACCATGCAATGAATCATGTTGCTGGAGTAATAAGTATGCTTATTCATACCCGACTTGAGAATGAGACAAATATCCGAGGAACTCTATACCCAAATTTAGGGAAAAGTACCCACAGGCTCAGTCCTCCCAGGTTTTTTTCAGTTAATTATTTTGGGACAGAGGAGGCATAACAACATGCCTCAGCTCTACAGTCAAAGGTCACTGGAACCTTTCCTGCACTCCCATACCACAACTCATTCAGTGACTAGCAAGACTTCTCTTACAGCTGCTACACTACTATCAGAGAGGAAATAACATCTCTGATATATACGTTAATGCTGCTATTCTTTTGTGGTAATATCACAACAGCTATGTCTGTGACTCCCTATACCTAAAGCAACCATATTTATTCATAGTAAAGATAACATTCCATCAACTATTCCTCTCCACATTGCATGGGATGAGAATCTAGAGTATTGCAATGATATTTGGATACAAATGAAAATGAAAATAAATAGAAACCTGAGTAAACTTACACTGGAATCAACAAGGATAATTTACATTTATACTCTTCACAGAGTAAGTTATATATTAAAGAATTAAATGTATGAAATTACAATATTATGTATAGCTAGCTGTAAATATGCAGCAAGTTAAAGACAAACAATCAAGTCAACCTTAGCCAAAGGTGGGACTTGAGGTACACAACTTGCTGATAACAACATGCCTTCACCACATTGTTTTGCAAAACATCTACAATTTGATCTGTGCAAATTTCTGTTTCACCTTGCAACATGTATATTTAGAAATAATAAAGCACATCATAAAAAAAATAAAAAAAAATAAACTACTATTTGATGACTTTGACAATGGCTCGCCTAATATTTTACACTGTAACCATATTGTATGTAGTGAAAACTGAGCTTGTACTATTTTTATATTGGATGAGAATATCATAGTTTCATTAGTAATATTACGAGTATAAAATAATTAACGACTAATAAGATTAATTTAAGAGTACATTCCTCCATAACAAAAATTAACACAACCACGCAACAATTAAATGCATTCACACAAATAAGCTCAAAGCTGAACAAGCATTCCAGTCAAAAATTTCAAGAGAAGTAAGTAACAATAAATCATCCTAAATTATATAAATACTTTCACAATCACGTATGCTCATCTTGCTACTATTTACCTGCAGCACATTCGGGTAAAACTAACACACACTGAAATCCCAAAGTTTGACAGTCTTATCGTAAGACCCGCTTACTATCACGTGATCATTGAATGCGAGGCACGTGACACCATCAGTGTGGTTTCTCAGAGTCACTAACCGCCGACGAGATTCCCGGTCCCAGACCTGAAATTTATTAACGAGATGCTAAATGTTTGTATACAAGATGCAATGAAAGCTTAATTTTCTTTTGCATAGTGACAAGCAATCTCTCATGGTTTTTACTCAATATCCACTCTCCTACATCTATATCATTCAAGGTCTAAATTGTATGTCAGCAACAGATACTTATACATTATATATATTATAAAATCATACTACAGTATATATGAAGTTACCAATGCAATGTTAAAATTTATCATATTACAATATCTTGAAAACCGAATTAACTAATTGTTACATATAATGAACTTTATTTACTACAGTACTTATAAACCAGTAATCTATCGCAATGCATGTCTAAAGCAATTGTGTCTTGAGCAAAACTGCTCAGGAATTCATTTTTTTTTTTTTACAATTCTTACCTTAATTGTTTTATCATCGGAAGCACTCACAATTCGCCTTGAGTCGGCAGCTAGGCACCGTATTACACCTAAGAAATAAAAAAATTAGTATGTTGAACTGTAAGTCAAATGCTGCAGACAAATATTTAAAAATTTTATAGAAAATTTTCACAATCTGATAATTCTAAACACAATGAATTACTCTTTAGGTGACTGGAATTACTTCAACAATACACAATATGGTGGCACATACACACCTAATTTTATAAATATCAAAACAATCAGTTTACAGATTCACAAACATTCCTTAATGTTATAGTTTTGGTTTTATGGTACTACAAACCTCATTTTAAAATTGGCTCTTTGCATAAAAATAGACTGAATAATGCCACACAGATATACATTCATCAATGGCTTTTGGAATTATTCAGGATAACAGACGATTAGATAGAATGTATCGTAGAAACAAAAACCACAGCTCGCCGTTCTCATTTCTCAATGAAAACGCTAATTAGCCTGAATTTGTGATGGAAGCTAAGGTAGTGTTAAAACAAATACTATAGGAAAAATAATGCAATTGTAAAATTTTTTGTTGTAATTGCAAATTTTATCTGCTACTCATAAGGTCTTGAAAAGTCCTTTAACTAACCTGAAAGTTCAAGTCCTTTACGTTAGTAAAGGACTTGAAAAGAAAAACAAAAATACTATTATTAACGTGTATAATGGGCATTCCAGACCTGTATGACCTTCACTAGACATCCAGTCAAGGACACCCAGACATTGGCCAGACGAGAGGCACCATAGGCGGATAGTGCAGTCAAGTGACCCGGAAATAATGGTAGTGTTGTCATAGGTTAAAGTGGTAACTGCATCTTCATGGCCCACGAGTGTCTTTTGGCACAGGCCTGAATCTAGCTGCCAAACCTGTGGATGATTGATTTAAACATTAGGAGATTAACACTAAGTCTCTCTGACTTTCTAAAATTCAGTTCAATTAAAAACTTAGATATTGCCTAAAGTTTTCCCTGTACTACAGACAGTATATATGTTCAATCAGGCAGGATATATTCTAGGCATTATTGTTACAGAAAACTTTTTGAACATTCTTGCATAGTGGTTGAAAAGAGCACCAAGTGTTGAAAAGATGTAGACAAACACTAAGAAGTCACCAGACCACCTTTGTAGATGACATTTTGCTTGCAAGGACTACTGTATATAAATTCTTACAGGCAAATCATCAACAAAGAGTGTTGTCTTGTCTTGGTGGTGTTCTATATCCTTACAAAGCCGTAATGCACAGAGAAAATTAAGGGCAGGTTATTTCGAAATGATTTTGGGGCTTGGCATCCCAACAGCCCGGTCCTCGACCAGGCTTCCTTTTTGTTACACGTTCCCAGGAAGCAGCCTGTAGCAGCTGTCTAACTCCCAGGTACCTATTTACTGCTAGGTGAATAGGTGCATCAGGGTGAAAGAAACTCTGCCCATTTGTTTCCACCTCCCCCAGGGATTGAACCCGGAACCTCAAGACTACGAATCCAAAGCGCTGCCCACTCAGCTATTGGGCTCCATAGGGGTTCAATGAGAAAATAGGTAAGAAAAGTTGTCTACCAGCAAAAAAAGTCGAGCTGGACTAGGTAGGATTTTAGCAGTAGATGATTTTTTAAATTCTTCTACTGGCTAGTGATTGCATGAACCTTTAGTGTTTGTAGCCTGAAGCCCCAAATAGCCATCACAGCCAGGTTGATCAAGTAACTACATAAAGTTGAGTTCCCTCTTAACTCTCAAATTGAGCACCCTAAATTTGGTCAATTTCCTGGTGCCCATAACAAAATATATATACCCTTTTCCTTGATATATTATAAAACATTTCTTTCTTTTGGGAAAAATATAAACATTCTGATCAATTTAGTTTGGCCCTGGTGAGGTGAAGAAATGTTGAAAACTTGAAATTCTGAGAATTAATTTTCAAGTTAAGTATTTCTAATAGATATCTCCTTGCTAAAGTCCTTAAAATTTTGCATGTCACCAATGGTTTGTAGCATGAGTGTTATTAAATAGACGGTGAGGCACTTGACATGGTGTCTATATTTTAATTAATTCCCAGAAAGGGAACCAAGGCTTTCAAAACTTTTCCAATAAGGCAAATTGTTGCCAGAGGTCTCTAGTGTTGAATACATCTGCATGGAATCTTTAGGACTTTTTATTATTAAGGGGATCATTAAATCTTCCAAAGGTTTCCAAAACTGAAAACAAAGCTAGAGGTGTTAAATATGCCAAAGCAAGAAGATGGAAGACAAATATGTGATATGAACACTACATACAAATTAATAATGAATTTAAAAACTATCAGAGACATTCTTGAAACAAGCAACTTTAAGAACAAGAGGTCATAAATTCTAATAAAGAAACAAAAGTGTTAAAAGGATATTAGAAATTTCTCCTTAGCAAATAGAGTAGCAGACAGCTGGAACATGAGAAGATAGTGCCAAAACCATCAGTAGTTTCAAAACATGTGACAAGAGTAGCGGGAAAACAGGACACCACGAGCATAGCTCTCGTCTCATAACTACACTTAGGTAATTACAGGTGATATGTGCACTGACCACTATCACTTGAGAGCTATAGGACCAGTTTAAGGCTTAAAAGCTTCCACAACTCGTCCAGCAAAATTTCTTACACTTGTTGGCAGGAGATTGACGAGTTGTGGACCTCCAATATTTATGTCGAGTTCTCAAATTGTGTTCTTATTAACACCAGCATAGGCACAATACTATAGAGCATTTTTCAACCCAATCCAATGAGTGAAAAATTATAAAAGTTTACAAAATGTGAAGAATTGTCACCATTGATATTTACTTTGTATTGATAGAAGAGAATTCTTACCTTAATGGTTTTATCAGCTGCACCAGATATGATTTTATTGTCATCAAAGGCAACAGTAAGCACAGGAGCTTGATGCCCAGTGAGAGTTCGGAGACACTCGCCTGAAGCCAGTGCCCACACCTTGACTAAATGGTCATAGCTGCCACTTACCACGCGTTCCCCATCAACCTACGGAGAGATTGAAAACGTCTATGTTAAATTTATGTTAACAGTACTGTATATATTTAAGTGCAGATTATGTTTTAGTTTTCAGTAGTTGAACATCCCAGTATTAAACATATCCTCATATATTTGTATATACATGTCCCTTTACAATGACAATTGTAATTTTAATCTTAAAATCTTTTTTGAAATCCTAACACACTCATTTCAGGGTTTGATTACAAGCCACCTCCACAGTGAACTAGGGTTGAGCAAGCCAGTAGACCACACCAGGAGAAATGTTTTTGCTTTATTCCAATGTTTTCACCCAAAACCTAAAATACAGACAATCTAATATCACATTAAAAGAACAGATGGGTTACAATGGAGCATACCTTACTTTGTTACTTTGTGGCGATTCCAAGGATTAACATACCTGAGGCCCGGTCTCTGACCAGGCCTCGTGTTGGTGGTCTGGTCAACTAGGCTGTTGGACACCTCTGCTCGTAGGCTCATGCATGAATCACAACCTGATTGACCAAGTAGCCTTTCGAGATGTTTATCAAGTTCTCTCTCTGAACACCACGAGAGGCTGGCCAGTTATGCCCCTTATGTGTAGCAGGAGAAAGTTGAAAAGTTTAGCCTCTTTGATGTTGATAGAGTTCTATGTACCTATTCCAGCTCTACTTTTTAATGGGGCTATTTAACACATCCTACCATGCCTTCTTGTCTCATGTGATATTATTTCTGTGTGCAGATTTGGAATCAGTCCCTCTAATATTTTCCAGGTGAAAAAAATGGTATACTAAGTTTAACAAATGATGAAGAGCCCCATTAAAGCCCAAGTTGAGGCAATTGGGAGAAAATGTGAGCAACTGAATGTCTTCCTCAAAAAGAAGCTTTTCATCTACACTCAGATCCTTTGTACCAGGAAACATCCATATTGGGGTACTTTAAATCCACTAAAGCAACTCACTGTGCATGCAGGTGTTGACAGCATTGCCACTGAAGTGTGTTAATTGTGACGGGTTGTGGATTTACCTGCATCATAAAATGCATACATAGTTCCTTTGATTTATTTGATCATGACAATATCAATGATATTCACAGGAACCCAAGAACTCATATATTTGGTAATGAAAACACTTATCTAAAACCAAGTACTGTATAGCTGATTCTAGTTAACACTGAATAAAGATTTTAATCAATTCTGAATTAACATTTGTTATCTTTTGGTTTAGCTTGAACACCGAAGAACAACAAAACCATATAAAATATGGCTAATTACAGTACTTGGTAATACTATAAATTAACAAGTGAAGGGACAACAGGACCCACGGGCAAGTTACCTGAAGACACCGGACAGTTGAAGAGTGCCCAATCATTGTGACCTTGCAGTTAATTGATGACCATTGACTGGTTTCTTCTACATCCCAAACCTGAGAATCATTAATGGATAATACAATTTAATTTAAATATTTATTAGTTAATGTTATGAAATAAGAACCTATCCATATAATTAAAATTATACAAAATATTATTTTATATAATACCAATGCCAATATAACATAATATTTACTTTGCTATTATAGATTTCTATCATCCCAGTTTCTTATTTTCCTAGAGTGGGTGGCACTTGCTCACAAATGATGGAAGCATCATATTTATAAGAGTACTGTACAGACTATTAAGTGGTATCTATACTCTCAACCTTCAACACTCAATAGTATGAGGGCAATCTAACACCAACTTACTAGGACAAGTCATCCTCACCAGTACCAGTCATATCATGGGCCTAGATTTCTATAATTATCATCATTTCCTTCTGTAGTGTGGATGCCGAGAGGAATTTGCCCATAGTAATATTGGAAAAGAAGGATAAAATTATTAAAGAATTTTAAATGTGACACTTGTCCACAGAAAATATGGTTTCCCATAGGTGGTGACAGGAAGCCTGTTAGGATTATTAAGGTCCCCCCTAGACCAACGTTCCTCAAGATACAATCCATAACAGTTATGGAATTCCCAGGTTCCTATTTACAGCTAGCAAAACAAAGGTCATCAAAGCACACAATCTCTCCCCATCATGATAATATAGTGCTACAAAGGAGTTGAATTCACCTCAATATTTTGTAAATACATTAAGTTTTTAAAATCCCCCCCCTACTTAACACTTTCAATTCACCTCAATATTATGTAAATACATTAAGTTTCGCAATAAAATCCCTCTCCCCCCCCGCCGTGAGCGCCCAACAGCAACAAAATGTTTTTACTCTTGGGATTGTTATCACCTCCACACTACTTAATAGGACTGCATGGCCTATTAAAGCTACAAAATTTAATTAAGAACATAATACTCAAAAACATGGCAATCACCTGCAAAGCCAGGGAGATTGCCTGGCTTTGCCAAATCATTCCAGTCCAGGGTGCAAGTAATCATGCACAGATGCGTGTAGTGACTTGTGTAAATTTAAATATGTTAAAAGATAGTATGATAAAGACACTAGTATATTTCAGGCATATAGACTAAAAAATATATAAATATGGTGTACCTTTATTGTAGCATCAGCTGAGCCACTAACAAGTCGATTACCGGCTAAGTGAAGACAGCGGACCATGCCCGAGTGACCCACTAATGTCTGCACTGACCATCGCGAATTAGTCCGCATGTTCCACACCTACAGGAAAAATATCAACATTATACTGGTTATAATACTCAAACACACAAAAATGCAAAGGTAGATTCAATGTAACGATGAATTTGATAAGCATTGTTTATTTTGACAAAACTTCAGAATAACAGTACGTAGTCTTTAAATATAATTTATTATATAAAATATTCAAGTCTTACCTTTATTGTGTTATCATGAGAACCAGAAACTATTCGATGATCATCAAACTGCACACAAGAAACACCCTCTGTGTGACCTTCAAATGTTCGCACATGGCAGTGCGCTCCCATCCAATTACGATGGAGTCGATAACGCTCTACAAATACCTGCATTAATACAAAGAAAGTAATAGATTGAAACTTACCAACTATGAACATAAAATACCCAAGAAAAGTTTGAAAAAAAAAAATTGATATCTTATCATTGCAGCTTCTGTATTTACCTAGTGTTCTACCTTTTCATAAGAGCACAACCAAACAATATGAACTGTGACAATGCTGTCTAAGCTCACTTATCCACACTATATAGGAAGGACTCCTCACTGGATGAGAATTCTTATCGAGAAAGACCAAAAATGACCGTATTTAAAATTTTTCGTACCACAACCAACAATATTTGAATTTCCACAAACACTATACAGTACAGTATACAGCATATAAAATTTAATTTAAAACAAACGGCAGCTTGTTGTAGTGTGTTCTTGTTTGATTCTGTAGATCATGAAATGTGTAGTTCTTGACAATTTATGTAACCTAATCTTCAGTTATCCAGATTTCTGTCCAGATATGAAGTTTTGCCAGAAAATTATCTGGACACAATTTTGGCCAGATAACCCAAATATTCAGTTGAGTGGGCTTCAGATAACTGATCATACAGTACTGTATACTCTACAAACGTATTTGAAAGGCTTTATGATCAATTACATAACTAAATTGTACTATATTTTACTTGCAAGATATTTCCACCCACATTAAATAAGTTCAGTGCTCTGATGTATGAACTTGTAATCCTGTGAATATGGCAACAAAAAGTAAGATAACATTTTAGTACCATGTCATGTGCCTACATAATCATAAGGCCAATGTCATGTCATAGCATATAGTACTGTATATTGGAAGAAAGTCCAATTCACATGAACTGCCATACACATACCTAACCAAATTGCTTATAATTAATGTTTTCTCCAAAATGAGTTCATTTTGGAGAATGAAGCAAGGGACAATCCCTAAAAATACCATGCTTAAGTTTACAGTAAAACTTGGATAAATTACCTGTTTCCAGTCTACTGAACCATCCTTATGTAGGCAACGTGTTAACTGCTTATTGTGAGAAGAAAGGGAAAGTTGCCATTCACGATGAAACGAGAGATTCCGCCATAAACAGTCTCGCGAGGCCAAATTATACCAGGCTCTGAAAAACATGTTTTATTGTTATACGAAAGGCCAAATTATGTCAGGTTCTAAAAATTAGGTTTCTTTGTTTGTAGTGTCTAAAGCATCCAAAATTAAATATTCAGCAATCATTAGAGTTATCCCAGCTTTCATACAAAAGTATATTACAATACAAAGTTTTCATGAAACAGCCTTAAACATCATATAGCAGTCTCTATCTCATCACTTACCTTTCCTCTTACTGATCTGGCCTAAAAAATGCAAAGGATAAGAAACTAATCCCAGAAAGTCTGAAAGTTTTGGTTGCCTTAAAAAAATTGAGAATTGAGTGAAACAAAATGACTTTCTAAACAGAGGGGTGTTCAGGTATCTTACAGACTTCTTTCATTTGCTTGTAAGGTGTTCTGCCTTAGTATTGGATTGATCACCGATCTTCATGTGCTTCCTGTATCATAGATTAGCAAGGAAAAGATTGCTCTGGCCTTTGTCCTTGGAAGACAATGAGTAACAAAAACTTGGTGTTGGCTAGTCTGTCCTTGCATCTAGTGAATGTTCAAGCAGCTAGTGAATAAACTCAGGAATGTTACCGAGGGAGTTGTCCAAACATGTTTTTAAGAGCTGATATACAGCATTACTTTAACTAGCCATACTAGAAGCAGAAAACACTTATGTTGCTGACCAATTATTGAGACTATTTAAAGATTGTAATGTTGTGCTTGACTCTGGGCTCCTCTTCCCCAGCCTGACTCTGGGCTCCTAAATCAATACAAATAAACATGAACAAAAGACGAACATTTGTGGAAATACAAAATTCTTACTTGCACACTTGTGATGCTTGAGCCAAGGAAACTGGGTCAAGATAGGAAAATATAGTGAGAGCAAGACCAGGTGGGAGCCAACCAATAGGGTCTTGACAATTGGGCGGACATCCGTGGTGCAGCCGACCTCCAATGGCAACCGAGAGGAGATGCAGCTGGCTTGGACCAATGTGTTCCTAAAAATTAATTGCTTGAATGTAATAAAGAAATAATGCAATACACGAGGGGTAAGAGAGAGAAGAGGGGGAGAGACTCGGGCACAGTCGGGTATCACAAAGTATTAAACAAAAATTTAAACTATAGAATAAGTTACCTCTTCTGGGAACCTAATTACTATATTTCTTTTAACGTTATTAACAAATACTTACGAGCAATTCTGCTAAAACACGGTTCTTCTGCTCATCTGTAAAGCTGTTGAACCACTGTCTCATAAGCGTGAACTGTTGTTTAAATTCTGAGGGGGAGATGGGTGGTATGGATGGACTATTTGAGCAATCTCTTCCCAGTGCACGCCACCCACCCATGAGGTGGGTCTTGTAGCGGTGCGGAAGACTATATGATTTTCTGGGCAATTCATCCCAGCAACCCATTGCACTGCAAATAAGTTTAGATATATTTTATCTTGGGAAAAATAAATTAATAATATAATACATAAATAAATAAATGTTTATTCAGGTAAAAGTACATACATACAACATGAGTTACACACAGAATGTTGGATTACTAGATAGAGCTAGTATATACTATGCCTAAAGTCACACACACACACACACACACACAGTGTTTCGGGCAAGGAAAGGCATAAATGAACAATGCCTTTATTGAACAACATGCCAGATACACAAGATGTACTGTACTTTGTCTAAATGTATGTATTATAAGAAAAAGGTCGACATACTTGTGTGTCCAAACCATTTCCACCTGCACATAAATTTAAATTTGATAAAATTGTACCTCAAACATCAAAAGTACATATGCCAAGAATGACACACTAGGAAACCAATCCCATACAGTGAAGTAACATTTATAGTGGAATCTTTCTGGCATTATGCTAGGTCACAAATGTATGATTGACCTAATCAACATCTTTTTGAGTATATCATCATTATTTTGCTTCCTATTTTCACGGGGTGGGAGGCTTCAGTTTGGAGAAAACGTGGGAGCAATATAGAGAAAAGAAGTTTTGGATATTTTAACCCCTTTGGCTATGACAAATTTTTAAGCCATTCCTCTGAGGAGAAAAACTGCACTCTATAATATAAATTGTGAAAATTCACATTTCTAGTAAAGAAAAGACCTGCTCTTTCCAGCTGTAATATTAAAAAAGTTTCATGGTGAAAATGAATGGGGCAAAATTCATACCTACCATAAGCAACTAAGTTTACCTTAGTGGTGTGATATTCTGGCCGAGACGAGGAAGCTTATGGAAATAGCGATCTGCATATATGTGGTTTAACATTCAGAAGCCATGAACCATGGTAGTTTTACTTTTGAGTCTTATGGGGTGTGAGCACTATCCAATACACATTTACTAGTCTTCTCTCACATAGAACAGTATGAGAGAAGCTCAAGCTCAACCCGCACAAGCACAACTAGGAGTTTTTATAAACAAAACATTCAACTAGTCTACATATATATAGTTAGTATTTTCTACCAGAAGAATAACATTACAGTATATGTATAATATCTGGATCACAACATTAATTCAATGTAGATACTGCACAACTCATCTATACATGACAGCACAGCATTCATAAGTAACTTACCCAGCATGGTTTCTGTTGACAGCTGTTTCCTTATTGAGATTTCTGTCATAGGTGCCATTAACAATAGCATCATTGACAGTCTCGGGGAGGAATGAAGCAAGGGACAAGTCTGAGACCGACAGACTACGGGTATGACTCCCACTTCTTGCCAGCTGATGATTACTCACACTAAAATATATACAAACAAGCTTACAAAACAGGAAAATTATTACTTTTCATAAGAAAGAGAATGCTCTTGGCCTACAGAATTACTTTGTCTTAAACATTTCTTATTTCAATGTTGTAAGAAATATGAAAATCATTTCCTGCAGCTCTATATGCATATGTGAGGCAAACAATGAGATGTACTCTCCATACTCTACATTATATAATCTTTGATCTTTATATAGAAATCAAGCATTGAATGTAATGAAATGCTTTTTTCTGGTCAGCCATCAGTAGCTCCATGGAGCTGATGCACTGCTCAAGCCAAGCCTTAAGAATTTCCCCAGGTCTCTAAGACCAACACTGACCTAATGGGAGCCATGACTAGAATCAGGCTTTATCAGGTGAGAGAAGATTGGAGATCACAGCTCAACAAAAAAACGTCAAACCTTAAAAAAAAAAGAATGGCCCATTTTGTTATTAGTAAAAATACAACAGGTGTTCAGTCAAGTCACAAACTTGAAAAAAAAAAACTGCAAAAGCTTAGCCAGAAAATGTTTGCAATAAGGGACAGGCTGCTGCAATATCAGCCTGGGATGGGATGGCAACTTTAGCGGAATCATTGAAAGAACCAGTTAGAGGGACTTTAAATTGCTCGAGACCTGGAGGTTTCGGTATGAACCTCCAGGTCATTGGAGGTTCTCTATCTCATTGGATCGGTGTGAACCAATAAGATAGAGAGAGGAGACAAAAATGAAATGGAATATTGTAAACTGAATGTAAAAGATTTTGCTAAAAACATTAGAGGCAGATTCAGGCATAAACATAACACTCTATGGGTACAGTACAGTATATAGTAAGTGCTTGAGAATTCTGATAACCCTCTTTTTGTAGTGTATCTTTGGGTAGTAGTTTGTTTTCCTTCATCTATTTTTCTGGAAGATTTTTCTCGATTTTGGGTCAACCTCTCTGTACGTTCCCCCCCCCCCCCCCCCTCACTTTGTGGAGAGGGCCAGATTCTAGTCCTGGTTCCAAGTAGATCAGTGTCATTCTGGGAATTTGGTACACTTAAGGCTTGGATACACCTGTGCATAAGCATCCCAGATTAAGAGGATTATTCCATGACAATGGGATACTTGTGTAGAAATTCCTAAACAGTTATGTTTCCTCATTATTAAGATATTAACATGGCCCATGTCCCTTCATCTGATGATTTTTAAAACATCTTTATTATCTTCCATTAAGTATCTACATGGCCTAATAACAATAAAGATCTTTTTCCAACACCATACTTGAGTTTTAAAAACTTCCATAAACAACAGCAAAGTTATCCAGATACTGGAAGGACATTGTAAATTTTTAAGATCAATAAAGGAATGAAAACTATAATGTATCTTCATGGGGGATACCTAAAAACAAAATACAGTTTTACACATATGGAATAGGATATAAAACAATAAATTAGTAGGTTACATAAAATATAAGCAATCAGAGATTCCATTCACCTGAAGTCTGGTGAGAGGTCCATGGGGGACACAGGGATGTAAACACACCATCACTAAAGCATAGGAAGATGCTGGTATGACAGGAGACACACTCTCCCACTCTCCTTTACACCCATTATCAACTCCTGCAAATTTCACATAACATTGTTTCATGAACATAAGATTTACAAAAATATGACCATAATAAAACTTTAAGGTATACTGTACTTGCTTTACAAGTATTTTGCATCTTAACACTTTCGTGCTCCGTGGAAACTCGCGGTTGACGGGGTAGGTAGCCCCTCCGTGTGGGTAAGCGCGCGGTGACACCCAAATGTGTATACTCGTTCCAGCTTTCTCACCTTAATTCTCGTGCTACGTCGCTCGTTTTGGTATCATTGTGTTCGCAATTAAATTCTCTACAGGTGTGTATAAATATAATGTCCAAAAGCCTAGCGTGACTCCCAACAGCAAAGCGTAAAGTCGGCAAAAACGCACAAAATCAGTAACATGTGCATTCTCGTTCCATTTTTTTACCTTAATTCTCGTGCTACGTCGCTCGTTTTGGTATCATTGTGTTCGCAATTAAATTCCCTACAGATGTGTATGAATAAAATGTACAAAAGGCTGGAGTGCCTCCCCGCAGAAAAGCCTAAAGTTACCCGTGAACGAGCACCATTTTGTACATTGCAACCTAATGTTCAACTCGTTCAATTTGATAACATCAAATTTCGTGCTACGTCGCTCATTTTGTTATCAAACTGTTCGCAATAAAAAGGCGATTATTTTAAAACTAGTCCCAGAATAATAGAGCAATAACTAGATTTTTAACAAATATTTTAATTCTGGACGCTCATCATCACAAATTTATTTATATCTTTCCAGTGTTCTGACATAAATATTTGTGTTACATCTTTCATTTTGGTATCAAATTGTTCGCAATAAAAAGGCGCGCATTTTAAAACTAGTCCCAAGATAATAGGACAATAAATAGAATTTTAACAAATATTTTAATATTCGGACCATAGGCCTATTTATAATATTTCAAGTGTTTGGACATCAAGTTTCATGTTATATCTTTGATTTTGGTATCAAATTGTGTGCAATCTAAAGGCGCTTATTTTAAAACCACTACCAGATTGATCTGATAAAATTTAAATTTTTAAAAAATATTTTAATGAGTGACTCAGTACTGCGTCATTGGAACACATTCAGTAGAAAAATGAGTGACTTAATAGTCAGTCTGTGGAACGCGAAAGTGTTAAATACTTTATAAGCTAAATGCATTTCATATCAAAGTGCTTGATTGTTTCTGTAATAAAAATTCATTTACCTAGCTATATCTTATCAGTGATAAAGTAAATATATGATAATTTAAGCATACTGTTGAAAAGCAAATGTGCAATAGGTACTCAGAGAGAACTCTATCAACATCAGAGACCAGAGACTGTTCAATACGCTTCCACTACACATAAGGAGCACAACTGGCTCCTTATGTGTTTTATATTACATTTATATAAAACAAAAATGTGATTTTATATTACTTTTCATATGAAAGTAAAAAATGTGTAAGCAAAACCAAAACGAATACCGAATAAATACAAATAAATACGAAACGAATAAATATATAATATATAATGTACACACACAGAGTAAAGATCTGTACATATTGTACATTGGTCATGGTAATTGCTACATTTATCATTTGATGATGAAGATGGGGTATCAGGAGCTGAAGTCCATCTGACTCCAAACTATTTTGTGGTCTTTCATGAGTACTTTGGAGAAAGTACCAAAAAAAAAAAAAAAAAAATGAAACTGGGGGGTGGGTGCGCTGCAAAGCTTTGAACTCGATACATAAAAATGGTGAAAATTATGTGTTTGTTTATCTGAGCCAAGTGCTGTGGTGATTAGATGTAGCTGCCATACAGTGTGAATAATGAGAGACATTGCGATTAACTCAAACCAGTTTTTTCCATGAATGATATGCACTGTGTGAAGTGACAAAGAGTTGGCAGAGTTTATTGTATGAACTGCTTCACATCCACCATCACTCTTTGATGGTAAGTCAAACCAGAAGGGTACGAAATCAACTCTTGTTCATCTTCTGGATACATTTCTATCAAGTGATTTGTCTGGTGTCCTCAAAGCAACGTAATTGATGGCTGACACCTTTTACACAGAGTTGTATGGTTACTTCCAGCAACCTACAGAACAGCATGCGAGCAATATGTTGCTTACACCTTGGAACAATATGGAAAATGCAACGTTGTTTTTGATGGATATGGAGGAGGCCCCAGCAAGAGATGTTGAACACTTACGGAGAAGAAATTAAAAATCATCACTTGAGGGAATGCTGCAGACGATGTTGGTTTCCATATCTCAGTATGATTTTGTATCAAGGGGTCAGGATAAGGATTTGGAATGGGACAGGGGGAAGGAGGGAGGAATGATGCCCAACCAATTGGACAGTCGGGGATTGAACGCCGACTTCCAGGAAGCGAGACAGTCGCTCTACCATCCAGCCCAAGTGATATGAAAGGGAGAGCAGATTGCATATACAGCAGTCAACATTTACAGAACCAATTAGGAAACATGAAAGAGTACATGTTATTCTTCCATGCATTCAGCAGATGTGAAGACCTGGAGAAAATAACTACAGTATGTGGAGCAACACTTGGCAAATGAAAATGCGAATAAATGCCACATTATGGATTGTGGAATACAAGAAAAAGAGGACACACACAACCTACAAATTATGCAAAAAAGCTTTAAAGAATTCTAATAAAGGAAGAGAGTTCTGGGGGAAGTTCCGGATAAAAAAAAAAACTGCCACGAGAAGATCACAAAGAACATTTGCGATGAGCATATGCTACAGCTTTCAACTCTTGAATCACTTTTAAATACATGGATGGCAAAATATTAAAGAAATTGCTCATGACCTTTGTGAGACCAAAGTTGGAATATGCAGCAGTTGTATGGTGCCCATATCTCAAGAAGCACATCATTAAATTATAAAGGTAAAAAAAGACATGCCACTAAATGGCTTCCAATACACAAGAGCTATGGGGAGGGGTTAGAAGCGGGGTTAGTTAAATATTCCCAAGAAGACAAAAGTGACATGACCACTACGTACAAAATAGTAACAGGAATTGACAAAATTGACAAAGAAGAATTTTTGAAAAAGTTCAACTTCAAGAACCAGAGGACACAGGTTCAAGCTAAAGAAATAAACTTGCTGAAAAGACATTAGTAAGTTCAATTTTGCATTGGTAGACGGTTAGAACAAGTCAAGTTGGAGGCCAAAACCGTCAGTAGTTTCAAAGCATTACAGAACAAAGAGGACTGGGAAGACGAGACACCACGAGCATAGCTCTCATCTTGTATCTACACTCTGGTAATTACACCAAGCACAGATATACCAATTTTTCGTTGTGTGAAAAATCTAATTAAAAAAATTCTCGACTTGCACTATCCGGCGAATGACAACGCTCGCACATTATTACGTTGTAGCGTTAAACAAGGCATGGTGGGTGAGGCCCCCGAGTGCGGGGAGGTGCCCTGGGTGACACCTGGCTACATACTGTGGCTGCGTGAGAGGGGAACCAAGAAGAACAAGTGTCATCGCTCAAAGATGTTCCGCACGTTTGTTTACCTCTGACGTCAACGCCCTCACCCCCTGGCGGCCCGCACCGGAACTACTCCCGCGGGAGTTTTGACTATTTTTTATTTATTTATTTATATTTATACAAGAAATTGAAATAAGTTTATTGATGTAAAATACACACAAAGGGATGAGGTAGCTCAAGCTATTCTCACCCCGTTTATACAAGAAGGTACATTGGGTTTGTGAGAATACATAGCACAGTACAATATTTACTCTCTTGTAAAGCCACTAGTACGCGCTGCGTTTCGGGCAGGTCCTTAATCTAACAGATAATTTTAAGTAGGTAAATTCTATCAGAATTAATAAAATGATAACAAATACATTGCAGGAAAAAAATGAGATGAGAGAGATTAATAAGAGTATTAAAGCACATTGGTATATTAAAGCTCTGATTGATTACATTGACAGCATGATTGGTAATTTAAACAAGATTAATAGACACCATACACCATATACTTTCTGGAGGATATTTACCTGAAGGGCAACCACTTGGACTAGACGGTAGAGCGACGGTCTCGCTTCATACAGATCGGCGTTCAATCCACGACCGACCAAGTGGTTGGGGCACCATTCCTTTCCCCCGTCCCATCCCAAATCCTTATCCTAACCCCTTCCCAGTGCTATATAGTCGTAATGGCTTGGCGCTTTTCCTTGATAATTCCTTCCTTCCTTCGACGAGGACAGGAAGCCAGCGGCTTGTCAAAGGTACCTCACAGTTGCCCTGATTTTTTCCAGATGTATTATAAAACCCAACAGAGTTCAAAACCCATAGGTCAGAAGTCAGACCTAAAAATGAGGCTATGTAAATGTGATTTGTAGAAAGTATTTCAAAATTAAGGAAGGATGGAAACATATGTCCTTTTTCTTACTTTATTAACATTTAACACAAATTCATTAAAATGATACAGTTAAAGTGAACATACGTACGTAACACTTGCTAATCCATTCTAGTGCTTAGTCAGGTGCACGCAATTTAAACAGTAAATATGCACATAAAATAATCACACAGATAATATGTAGATAAAGTGGACTACGGAATTTGTATCTCATGACAGTCCCACATGATGATGACAAGAGGCTACCAAGTCTTGCTCAGTGTCAATGATCACGACATTCTTTGAGAACGAAGTCTAATAGCGCACTAATCAATGAATATAATAACTCACTATTTTGAAAACACGAGGAAACGTAAACTGTATATATTTAGATCCCGGTAAGGATCGAAATATAGTCTACGTTTTCTCGTGTTTTAAAAATGGTGGGTTATTATTTTATTGATTGTTGCCGCCAGAGGCGCCTAGTTTACTGTGCACCCAATACTCATCCTAAGGAAGGGGGGGGTAGAAATAGCCTAAGCTACTCTATCCCTTTGAGATGTATTTCTTTCTTATCTCAATAAACATACTTGAACTCATCCTGTGAGCGGTAGCGCAAAAGGGATTACAGAGGACGCAAAAGGTTTTTAACAGACCTCAACGGAGATTATTATATTAACAATTACATCTATCGTGCACATTGAAGCGTCCTGTGGTGTAGGTATACTTTTCATGAGCCATTATTCTAATAACGTGCTTTTCTAACGTTACTGGAGTGGCCACCGTGCACACACACACCAACATACCTACATACTACTACAATGCTACGGTATCTGATACACAACTATTCAAGAAAAAACACAAATAATGTATCCCAGTCAATGCTTAAAGCATAGTTGTCCGAGGAGCCGCTCATGTAAGCCTACACGAACCAGGAATCACAAACTAAGATGTACATTTGTGTACTGCTTTGTGTACACATGGTGTCAGTAAGGGGGACAGTCTGCCTGCTTTCATAATTCTCACTGTACATTCCATGTCTAAACTTCCCTTCACCTGTGCCTGTCCATCCTCCTAGTCCTATACAGAGTATACCTCCACGAGGCAGAGGCAGAGACTGCGCTGGAAGAGACCTTGCCTGAAGAGGGAGACGATGCGGCCAGTGAGGGCGAGAGATCCTTGTAGCCTAATTATCTGACCAGGACCTGGCGTCGCATTGTAGGTGGTGAGCAGCGTGTCAATCGGGGTTCCAGTATAACCCACCTGTAAATACAAGCACCCATCTTGTTAGTACCCATCACTGACCAGTACATCATTGACCAAACTGCCCAACTATAAAATGTTTGTAATAACTAGCCACGTAGCCTAATAATAACTAGCCACGTAGCCTAATAATAACTAGCTACGTAGCCTAAGAAGAAATTTGCGCAGGATAATCTATAAAATAATATAATAAAAAAAGGGGGTGGTAGGAGAAACAAATACTCATAAGTGTTTAGAGTCAAACCACGAGTTTTTCTCTGAATACTGTACTCTTTATTCAGATTCAGATTCAGATTCAGATGTTTATTCAGGTAAGGTATATACATTCAAGTGATGTTACATTAAAGGATTGATATATAGATAGAGCTAGTACATACAATGCCTAAAGCCACTATTACGCAATGCGTTTCGGGCAAGATTCTCTTCAAGATTCTATTCTCTTCTCCGAGGCTATGGGTTCCTACCATTGGGGGTACCCCATTTATATATACAGTATATAGTGTGTATATATTATCCTAGTGAGGAGGTTATTAATATAAGCTTAAGAAAGAGCCAAGGAACCAACCCGGACGTCAATATCTGTAAAGGACGTGTAGGAGAACTTGGAGACGGTGACGACGACGGCGGCCACAGCCTGAGACTTGCCCAGGTCGACCGTCCAGAAGGGAATCACTTGGTATGTGGAGCAGAAGCAGTCCGTCGCAGACACCTCGCATCTCGCTCCACTCACCTGCTGGCATAAACATTCACTGATATGGTCAATAAATTACATACACAAGAGGAAGAACAAACACAAAACAAGAAGTGAGGAGATAAGAAATGAAATAAAAAAGTGTAACATTACTTTGGTGCACTTCAAGTTATCATCATTAATAGTTTTTTTTGTGTTTAGCTTCAGATAGTGGACTCCATACCCAACCTGTGAGTGTTAGTGGACCCCATACCCATTCTGTGACAGATAGTGAATCCCATACTCGTCCTGTGAGCGGTAGTTGGCCCCATACCCATCCTGTGTGTTAGTGGACTCCATACCCATTCCGTGAGCGGTAGTGAACCACCATACCCATCCTGTGAGCAGTAGTTGACCTCATACCCATCTTGTGAGCAGTAGTTGAACCCATAACCATCCTATGAACGGTAGTGAACCCCATACCCATTCTGTGAGTGTTAGTACCAATATACTAGAATCGACCAGAGAGAGAGAATTAAGGATATAGATATCACAAGTAAGTTTGACGTTTATCTCTGTCTTAGGTCTAAATTTATTAAGTGCTTTAGGAATAACTTATAGATCATTAGATCTATATGAATGCTTCTCTGCAGGAAATAATACTCATTTAATTGTTTATTTATACTGTGAGGGAAGATAGTGACGGAGATGATGGCGAGCGAGGGAGCTCCAGGTCCAGTCGTCCCCTTTACAGCTAGTCGCACTTTGTCGTGGAGTAATTATCAAAGAAGGCACCAAACTGGGAAGGATTTGGTCGTGGAATTTTTGTATTATTATTTTATAATAATTTGTTGAGCACAGCTCCATGGGGTGTTAGGCTATTTCAATACAGGCCATTAGTGCACTGTGTTACATGGACACAATAAATCACGATGATGTAAAAAGTGTTTGTGGTGAAGCCTAGTAGCACTACCCATGGGCCTATATTGAAGCTAGTGAGTGAAGGAACCAGGAGAAAGTTGGATCCAGTAGAGTAAGGTAGAGAGGGCACTAAAAGACATCAACAAACCGCAGTCTGGCCGAGAGCGTAGTTGGAGAGGATGGTGTTGAGGGAGTAGACGGTCTTGTATCGTGCCAGGTCCGTAGTGGAGGGGCCTGCAGGGACTACATAGTGCGTGAAGCACCAGCTGGAGGAGTCGAGCAGGGGCGGTGTCCACCCAGACGCCACCGTCAGCTCCAGAAGGGAACAGTTGCTCTCTGTAACATGACAAGAATCTGACGACAGCTTCACTCTCAGAAACACTGAGTAATGTTGACCAAACCACACACTAGAAAGTGAAGAGACGACGACGTTTCGGTCCGTCCTGGACCATTATCAAGTCGATTGTGATAATGGTCGACTTGATAATGGTCCAGGACGGACCGAAACGTCGTCGTCTCTTCACTTTCTAGTGTGTGGTTTGGTCAACATTTTTCAGCCACGTTACTGTTACTCCTCGTCTGCACTGAGTCATTGTGCTAGAGACGGGCGCTATGGTGCAAGCATCGAAGCATCTTAATATATTCCTTAAGTAGTAAAGCTTGCAAGTGTTTTGAAATTAATGAGGAATAAAAATGCAATGGAGCAGTCATATATAATGACAACGTTTTATTTATTAAATTATATTTACCAGCGGTGTCTTGTATTTTGAATGAAATTAGTTTTATTCTTTGGATTGGTGTTAACGCTTATAACTAGCAATTCTGTAGAAATATGTATGAAACAGTGACCTGTATAACAGAAGGCGTTGCAGAAGAGCTGACTGGAGCACTGGAGGGCACAAAAGGTGCGCGGTGACATGGTAAGTCTTGGCGGCAAGGGCACAGACTCCACCAGGCACTGCAGCGCCCCGCTCTCCACCTCCGCCTGACACACGCCACCATTTGGAAGATACAATTCACAACTTGAAAAAAATGGTTTTAACACTTTAAGGTACATTTGAATTTGTGCAGCTTCCCTACACTATATGAAGGGGAGTACAGTGTGTGTCAAGAACTAGCTACGTGATGAATAGTCATAGAGGGCCATCTTAAGGTGTATTATGAGGATATCTACAAGAACACCAGAGTGAATAAAGAGATTGCAACGCTCATGGAAACATGAAATTCCGAATAAATTGTGAGTAGTGTGAGTCACACGCGTCGCGTTACGAGTGACAAACCAGTAATGGTTAAATGAACAAATCCACAAGGGCCATGACGAGGATTCGAACCTGCGTCCGAGAGTATCCCAGACGCTGCCTTAATCGACTGATCAGTAGTGGTTACTTTGTTTTATATGTTATGGCAAGTTGTCCAGACAGATCGTCAGACGCAATACCTGTACTTTAATAACTGATATGGTCAAAAATAAGAATGCTTATTTGTTAAAGATAAAATACATCATATTGGTAAATATATGAAAGCGCAGGTGAGAATGAACCATCCCTGCTAGACTATGTGGTCAAGAGAGACAATTAATTTAAGGATAATCTTTGACACGCCGGGGCGGGCAACAGCGCCTGTGACGCGGACATTTGAACACACATTATTGGAAGTTCCAATAATGCTGGGAGCTTACACACACTTGAGGGACATTAAGTACGATGCATAAAAATGTTTAAATCTTTGCCTAGCTTGTTATCTAGAGCTGAAATGTCACTGAGGCTGGAGCAGAGTGGCTACGATGGCCACCGGACTAAGTTTCTGGAGACTGGAAATTGAAGCACACACACACACGTCCCCAATCTGTACCAAGAGAAGAAGGAGTTATACCTGCTGATACATGATGGCTTGGGTTTCCTGGAAGCCTGAGAGGAGGAACCCAATCAGCAGCATGTCTTTCTGATACATCTCCCACAGCAGGACTAGACGGGGCTCTCGAAGGCGTCACTCACAGCCTGTTTGACAAAACACTGTTCTTCACACTCTGTTTACTACTGTGACCATCACCTGCGCACGCGTAGTGTGGGCCACACAAGAGAGACTGGCTGCCCAACCACCAAGGCGACTAATTATACACACAACACACACATCGTTTTGTCACAATCAACTAGAATTATATTCCACTCCTGGAGCCTAAACAATTGAGCTACACCCTGAGCAAGAAATGTGCATTATTCTGCAACACGCATCGCTCATTTTTTACAGAAAACGGGATACAGAAATTGAATTGATACAGAATATATATATGTATGTATGCGAACAAGCCTGAATGGTCCCCAGGACTATATGCAACTGAAAACTCACACCCCAGAAGTGACTCGAACCCATACTGCCAGGAGCAACGCAACTGGTATGTACAGGACGCCTTAATCCACTTGATATGTATATATACAATATATTTTGATTGTATGCATATATACAATATATTTTGATTGTATGTATATAATCAACATATTACTGAACATTCTGGTTGATAAACATATATATGTCTTCCTTTACACATCCAGAATGATACCAGTCGTACATACAAGTAATTGTATGAGTAGGTACATAGACATTAGTTGCAATAGACATTCAGACACTTCTACAAAAGGTCACAATCTTGGTGACTTCTTGTTAAATTGTCTGAACGTCTATTGCAACTTATGTCTATGTACCTATTCATAAAAGATGTTCACCTTCGCAAATTTCTTATGAAGTATCAGCTTGCTAGATTGCAAGGGCCAAGGAAGCTCATTTGTCTCCAGAGGCGTCCTGTGTCTGTCTTACACCTGATGCTGTGCAAGACGGTCCCTCATGTGCATGAGTCTTCAGTGCCTGATGCCAAACAGCTTTGCTGCTGTCATTATTATCACGTGAAGGAACAAATTGTATTAACACTGAGTGACGTGCTAGCACTGGTCACCCCTCTCTTGGTCCCACTGCTGATACATGATGCTCAGATTTCACTTTGTGACTTAACCCCTGATCCTTCTTAACTTGCAGTGACCAAATACATTTCTTTTTATATTGATCACGATTATACCTACTTTAATCATTTCTACTCTTTAATTTTCGCCTTCACTAAGTTAGTATTGCTGTTCTACTAGCTAATTATATCTAAGAATCGATTATATTTTCACCCCAGCTTGATGCCTCCACCTTCCTTGCTTTCACCCTAGCTTGTTGCCCAATCCCTTTAGCTTCCACCCCATAAACCCGTACAGCTGCAGTATCCTAGCTGAGGGGCCTCTAATACCCCCCAAGGCGGTAATCAACACAACCTTCCTCACCTCAGCATGGTAACCCCCCCCCCCCTCAGCCATCAGCACTGCCTCAGGCTTTCGTTTGGTAATTGGGTCGTATATCTTACCCGAGGAACGTAGTTCATATTAGTCCATAATGATCCATCAGCCTGAGCTCAGTACGGTGGCCTCACGCACAGTGCTCGCGGGTAATTATTAATCCAATCACTTACATCCTCATCATTTCCCACTAACGCGAAATAATATATTATACTAGATAGGGTACCCGGCAGTGGACGGGTCTGTCTGTCTGTATGTCTCTCACTCCTTCTCTCCCATCAACTCTCACGTTCTCCCTCCCTCAAGGATCTAACAGCCTCGTCAGGATATTAATAAGGGTCTGTAACTATCAATTAAATTAAATCTTGTATAAAGCTCTTTACATTTAAACAATAAAAGGTAAACATTGACATATATTATATAACAAGATTTGCAGACGTATGGGAACCTGATGACTGGTTCAAATACCTTGGGAGACAAAGCCTATCTCAAATGGATCAGAAGGCCTTCAAGAGAATCTTAATTTTTGTGTTATAATTCGGCGGCTCATAATTCATGCATGGATGCAACAGTAAAAATGGACGTACGGACAAGTAAAGACAATCTAAAATAATAGTCAAATTTATGGCGAGGACTTAATGCTTTCTTGGTCCCAATGCCGCGACATGTAACTTAGATTTCCAGCAGCAGAGCCCTGGGGGTGGTGCAAACTGCCTTGTTTGTACTGGTCCTAGTGCAAACAAGGCAATTCCTCTGCTTTTATCAATGGTATATATATTCACGTCTCTAAATTAAGCCACGGAAGCTACAGAGGTGAGTTCAAGTATGTTTATTGAGACAAGAAAGAAATACATCTCAAAGGGATAGAGTAGCTTAGGCTATTTCTACCCCCCCTAAGAGGTGAGGTAATTATCAGGTGCTAATCCAGTACGACTATATAGTACTTAGAAAGGATATAAGGACATATATTAGAGGTATAATATGAGGAGTGAAGGAACGGTATCCAACCCCTTGGACCACTGAGGCTCGACCGCTGGGCCTACACGAAGGCCGTCGCTCTACCGATCAGTACAGTCATAGAGGCTTCAAATTTATCGTAAAATTATAGTAATGTTCTCAACATATATATAACTGATCAATCATTAGTACAACAAACACAGGAGTAACGCTTCTGGTCACTAGGACAACCGGCCGTCAAGCGAACAGATGTGCGCAGTCAGTCAAGAGATATATAAACCGAGATGTGTAACCTGCTTCTCCACGTATATACATCGAGTTAACACACACAGAGAGATCACACTAACGTGATGCATCAAATATCTAGTAAGTTCAGTAGAACTTCGGTTTCAACCCTTTTAACCCTGTCGTAGCTCAGTCGATTAAGGCAGTGTCTGGGATGCTCCCAGACGCAGATTCGAATCCTCGTCACTGCCCTTGTGGATTTGTTCATCGAGTTGACGTTAATCCAGAAGTACAGTATATCCAGGATAAAAGTACTCTTGATGGTTGGTCAGTAAGGTACTGTAGCGGCGTCAATAAGTCTGGCTCAGGTGATAAGCCTCAAGCCAGCAGGAAACTATACCAAGCTGCTGATGAGAGAGCACATGCGCTGGCCCCCCGCTGGGACCACCAGTCACCAGGGACCGCACGCTGGGCCTCACTCTTCTGGAGGGCCGGCCCACGCGGGAAGGTGCTGGAGATGTCTCCTCTCTGGCTACTGATGTCCGGCGGTGGCCTCCTCCTGTATTTGCAGGAGACTGGAGCCACTGTAGTCTCCACTACCTTTACACAGGTATATAGCGACTTTATTCATTACAGCTACATATTAATTTTCATGGTTGAAAGCCTTTATGAATATAAATAAACAAATTTCCACTTGATAATTTTGTTGAAAGCATTGCCATCTAACCTGACCAAACAGCCTTCCCAGGATCCAAGCAACTTCCATAAGATTAAATGTTTACTTTTATGAATAGTCTACTCGCAGTGTGATTAGGTAATACATGTTGACAATGCCTTTAGTATGCCATAAGCTATTGAGTGCAAGTGTAACAGCGTGACCCACCGCACCGCTTGTGTTGGGGGGTAGAAATAGCCTAAGCTACTCTATCCCTTTGAGATGTATTTCTTGCTTATCTCAATAAACATACTTGAACTTGAACTTGTGTTGGCAGGCGGTGCTGCCCACCAGCTTCAACACCTGCCTGCAGGCGGAGGTAACTCTGCCCAAGACGCTCTACGTGTCTCCAGTCTTTTTCTGTAGCGTCCACTGCGCCACTCACCCCACCTGCAATTCTTTCTGTCCCACTGGTGAGGAAAATCCCGCAGCTGTTGTTTTATTGTAATTGGGAGAGGATGAAATATTTGATACTAATTAGCAAGAAACAAAGATGTCAGAGTAATTAGGAGAATTTGCTTAGATAGATTCGATTTTTAAAGGCTTTTATGCCTATCGACTGTCAGGATCATTAAGGTTGGAACCTATTTAGCGCCTCACCTGACAGTACACATAAACCTCAGAGCTGATAATTATGCTTTTGGATTCACAACCTGCACGTCTCTGTGTATACACTCAATATTGGGAAAGTTATTAGATAAATTTAGTGACTAAAGAGATACAAATCTTGAGCCAAAGAGCACCAAGGTTAAAGACTATTATTTACTTTCCTCTCCAATCTTATCAAAAGAAAGCGGCAAGCCGGAAAGACTATGTATCACTGTATTGCAGGATATTTACAAGGCGCTAAATATCACTCAGGATCTCAGTACCAGAACAAACGGACATACGGCGAGCGACATCAAAGGTATTGGATTCGTCAAGATTTCTGGCTACTTTCAAGTTACTCTAGGGACAAGTAACAATTGGAAAGCAAGACTTATCATTCTGAAAATTAGATAAATTTAACTAGGAGAATTTGTGCCGACTGTATGCCGGACAATAAGGAGCAGGGCGTCGTTCCATTAATGCCCTTGAGTTAATTAAGCGCGTATAGCCGATATGCAGCCTAGTAAGAGCCGTTTCCAGCGTGTATTATGGCGGCTGGTCGCAGAGGAATGCGAGAGGAGTATGGCGGGCAGTGAAGGGAAGCTGGCCATAGGACACAAGTTAGGACACAAGTTAGGTCACATACACACACACACACACTCACCCAACTAACAGTGCATACAGTCTTTCTACAACCGTTTGCTCATCGTATGTTTCCTGGGACTTTGTTATAAATTTAAAATTATAGTAGTTAACATTTGGAAACAGTCTACGCATATCCCTCGCTCAATTCTAACACAGAATCACTAATTAAAAAAATTCGCAATTGTTTCTGATTTTAACTGTTAAACACAAACAAAAATAAAGCTTATATCTCAGAAATGGTCTCATTACAGTGCGAGCCCGAGTGTTAATATTGTATAAGAATGTACAAAGTTTCTCGTTATTTAATTTTAATTATTATATTTTAATTATTATTATTTATTTAGTTTAACATAATTATTAAGATACTGCAAACAAGATTATCGTATCCAGTCGTAGTGCTAAAAAGTCTGATAGCAGGAAGGCTGTATCGGCGTTATCAGCCTTACCTTTAGGAACTTGGCTGTAACAATCATCGTTGGTGGTTGTATTTAATGTTGTTCACCTGTCTTCAGAGACCACCTGTCACCTGCTGAAGGTAGCGGGTGCGTCTGGTGTGTGGCAGTCTGGTAATTCCCAGTCATCCTCCGGGGTCGCCTGCTTCGTCCCCTTCTTAGCCTCCAGAGGAGACCTGGCCCTCGGCAAGACTGTCAAGGACGCAGGCTCATGGACCAATTACGCTCCTGGCTACACAGTCGTATGTTATCCTTACCCTTATTGTTGTTGTTTAAGACTCAGCTTCTAGGAACAAAAAGTGCCAAGCAGCACGGGCTATGGTGAGCCCGTATTGGACTTATCTGGCACAGGAGTGGGGCTGTAACTCCTTACCCTTATGTTATAGTATTGCTTTATATCAGTCCTGAAATGTTGTTACAGTGAACGAAGCTGCTGATGCTGCATATATTGACAGATACAAAATTATACAAAATGATATAAATAAGATGTTGAAATCATCAAAATAAAACTGGTAATAGTGCATTAGATTTAGACAAGTTTACATATAATAATGTATATAGTAAAACATGTGCACCAGGTGATATGTGACTTGCTCCTCAGGTGAAGCATTACACATTCACCTTGAAATTGTTACTTTTGGAAAATTATAAAATTGATGCCTTCTTTGGCAGCCTTATTCTCAATGTTGTTATTTACGTTCTCTTTTGTTGTTTATTTTTACCCTCTGACATGTGTGGCGTGACGACGTATGTGGGCGTGATGACATGTGTGGGCGTGATGACATGTGGGCGTGACGACATGTGTGGGCGTGACGACATGTGACGTGCGTGCCGTCGTGTGGGCGGTGTGTCTGCGGTGACCAGGTGGGGGGCGCCAGATGCGAGGCAGTATCCACGGGTTGCTACTGCTCGCCCTTACAACTGGTCCCCTACTTGACGGTGGACCTGAGCACCTCCAGCCCCGTCGTCACCGTCGTCGTCACCGTCTCCAGATTCTACCCAGACTACTTTACAAACGTGGATATACGCGTAGGTTCTTCCTGGTGATGTGTGTAGGCTTTGAGGCCGTGCCACCACACCTCTCCAAATATGCACCTGTTATAAATATGTATGAACAAAATTATGGGATATATGTGAAATTAAAGATTAAAATTAAGATTTATATAATACTCATTTCTCTGAGAGCACTTAAACATTACCATGGAATAAATGATGATTCGAAATTGTATAGGAAAAAAAATCAGAATTTATTTATCCACGGAATAACTATGCCAATTATAAAATGTTAAAATTTATCATTTAAATTCCTCTTATGTTTCTGAAAATAAAAAAAAAGTATTTTAATTCCTGGGTGGTAAGAGAGGGTAGAATTTAGATTAACAATGTCGCTAAAGGTTTTTCATGAGTCGCAAAACGTCAGAAGAGGCGGGTGGTAGCCTCACCCGATGACAGTTTTAACCATAAATACCGCGGGCTGGTTTGGTCGGTCAGTTTGGGTCATTAACTAGGCACGTGCGAGAACTAAGTTTAAGGAAGGTGGATGACTATAGTAACCTTTTTGTTTACAGGTGGGTGACAAAGGGAACAAATTGGATACGTTACTGGTGAACTACAAAGGTCCGGCCAGTCCCGGGGAGGTCCTCACACTCACAGGCTCCACCACCCTTGTAGGCCGATACGTCTCTCTCTTCCGTAGAGGTCTTCTCTCGCAGAGCATCTGCTTCTGTGTGGTGCAGGTGTACAGTGTGTAGACCTGCCTAGGTTCATACTGCTTTCGGTCTGAAGGTAAACTGTTCCTTATATGAACAAATAGTCGTCTGCTCCTGTACCAAACAACGTAAAACAAAATCCATGGTGATGCAAAATCCAAAAATCCATCTCTGTACCTGGCAATTTTATTCTGGAAGGAAGTTAAGTGCATTTTAGCCAAGTTATGAGTGAGCAGTGCGATTATTGCCTAACACACGTAACTCTTGATGATCAAACCACGCATCAGAAGATGAAGAAACGTCCTCGTTTCATAATGTTGATGTGTGGTTGTGTCATCATATCTTCAGCCACGTTATTGTGACTCTTCGTCTGCACGAGACTCTTGAGTGTGTCCTCTAAGTCCAGCACCCGTGTGAGTATACTTGAACACTGCTGTTATAAGTGACTCATCATTTATACAGAATTGCTGTACATGACATATTGTTGGTGTGTAAATGCATATAGTTCGGATCTCAAGAATGATTTTCACCCTTTAATATTAACCATGAATAATAAAGGTGGTAGGCACTGATGGCTAACTGTAGTATTGGTCAAATAATTTACAGATGAATCTCAACAATAAAGACGATAATACTTACATTCTGTCTCAATCATAATCAGGTTTTTGACTTCAAGTGAAATGGGTTAAGTATATGTGTCGTCGGTGGAAACATAATAAAGTTCTTAATACCAGTCACAACTGATTTGATTCATGATCCCTGCAGTATATGCTACTGATTATTGTATTATTTTTTTATTTGTGTTACGTATTCTGGGTGATATATCACACGATGGCAGCCACTGACATCGATTTCACTGGCACTAATACCTTGTCAGAGTTAAGACATAGAATACCTTGTCATAAGAGTTAAAATGAGAATCGATAATAGAAATTTCCCAGTAACATCTGCAAGAGACCTCAACCACAATTACAAAGGAACGTTGACGTCGGGAAAGCAGCTGACAAAGTCCATACAAGACTGCATACTGCTCAACCGTAGAGATGCAAGTCTTGGGATGCAGGCGGCATATATCTGGTCAGGAAAGACAACGGAGTAGCGACCATTTGGTCACCATTTGGTCCGGGAGACATCTCCCGTCATGCAGGGTGTTGTCGCACCTCCACAGATCTCCAGTATCATCTATTGATACTGGTGATGGCTCAAAAGGGCCACCATGTACGGGCTATTCATGCCCGTGCCACCTTTTGGGTGGCTTCATCTTCATAACACATTCACAAGGGAGACATCTCCCGTCATGCAGCGTGCATTCCCACCTCCACTGATCTCCAGTATCAGCTCTTGATACTGGTAATGGCTCAAAAGGGCCACCACTTACGGGCTATTCATGCCCGTGCCACCTTTTGGGTGGCTTAATCTTCATCAATCATCAACGGAGTAGGCTACACCATCGACAGACTTAGACCCATCTGGGAAGAGGGCAATGGAACGTGAGTGCGAAGAAAAGTGTTTAACAAAAAATAAACATTTCATAACCGCAGGAGGGCCTTTACAATGTGGGTCAAGGTCTTGCAAAACTTTGCCAGTGGAATCCTTCATTGGCGCAAAGATGGAACGACACAAGGAGATATATTGCTAACATGAACTGAGAGGGAATCTTGCAAGTGAGATATCCATACGAAAAAGGAAGGAGGTGAAATGCAATGTAGTGTAATTATTAAAAGAAGGTACCAAGCCGGGCAGGCTATGTAGCACCATCATATATGCGGGACAATCATAGGGCGCTAAATATCACTAAGGATGTCAATACGAGAACAGAAACACACAAAGCGAACGACATCAAATGTATCCGATTCACCTAGAATTCTATCAAGGAACAAGTGACTGAGGGATGGTCGGAAAGTAAGACACGCTCGTGTTGGAAGTCAGGACAAGGATATGCATGACCGTAAGAGGGACAATGTAGTTTGGATAATAAGGAGCAGGGCGGCGCTCCATTAACTGCCTGTGAGTTAAGCGTGTATGACCAATACGCAACCTTCCCAGAGCCGTTTCCCACTGCTGAACAAATCCACAAGGGCCGTGACGAGGATTCGAACCTGCGTCCGGGAGCATCCCAGACACTGCCTTAACCACTCCCACTGCTAGTTACGGTGGTAGGAGGAAGGCCGTGGGGACACACTACTGTCGTTGTGTCGTTGCTGCTCCTTCTCAGGATGCTGCTTCCCGCTTGGCTGCCTTATCCTGCCTTGGCGAGACCCCCGTTCGGGTCTCGAAGAACGTTCAGTTGAATGCCAGTGTTGGCACTATTTTGCTCCGGCCCCATGTTGCGACCGGTGTTCGGGACCTGCGCGACTGCCACGACGATATTCGACATATCCTCGCTGCCCAGGGCCATTCTATTCTCCAGGTGGACACGTTTACTCGTCCCCCTCGTGGTAGTCGCCGTCAACCCCTCCGGGTTGTGAAGATTACCTTTGATGGTAGGACCCTTCCACCCTCTGTCATTCTTGCTGGTGCCAGGTGCTCTGTCCAGGAGTACATTCCTTCTCCTCGGCTCTGCAACAAGTGCTGGAGGTTTGGGCATGGTGCCCTCCGCTGCTCCGGGACTGTCTCTCTCTGTCCTTTGTGTGGTGGCGAAGGTCACTCTAAGTCGGAGTGCGCTTCTCCCCAGGCTCGTTGCCTCAACTGCGGTGAGGCCCATCCTACCTTCTCCTGTGCGTGTGTCCATTACAAGCTTGAGGCAGCCGTCCTCAACTTGAAGCACCGGGAGCGTTTATCTTTTCCTGAGGCGAGGCGCCAGGTTCGCCGGCTCCCGCCTTATGCTAATATCTCTTATGCTCGCATGTTGCGCTCTTCCTCTCCTCGTCCTTCCCACCTTCCTCAGACTCACAACCGTTTCCGGGCCTTGGACCCTGATGCGCCCACTGCCCCCCTCCTCTGTCCCTTTGGGTTCTCTCCCGAAGGATCCTCCTACTGGTCCTCTGTCTGGGGTTCCCCTTCCTTCTACCCGGTCTGTCGTGTCTTCTGTGTCTTCTTCCTCGTCCCCCTCCGATCCTCCTTCCCATCCTCTTCCTCCATCTATCGGCTCTCCCCACCGCCTGTCGGTGCGGGCGGATGTCCATCGCTCTCCTAACGGCCGTCGTGTGTGCTCTCGTTCGGCTTCTCCTGTTGAGGCACTGGAATCCGTTGCCCGGTACGTGGTTGCTGGGACACCGGTCTCTTTACGTCAGAAGCGTAAGCCTGGCTCCTCTCCTTCCTCTTCCCCGGCGGGTAAGAAGGCTTCGCTTTCTTCCTCAGCTCCTCCTTCTGGCTCTGTTGCTCCTTCCCCTCCCGTTTCAGTGCTTGCGCCCCCTGTTCCTGCTATGGAGGTTTCTTTGGCCCCTGCTTCCCTTTCGGTTGCTGCTCTTGCTGGGGTGCGCTCCTCTCTTTCTACTCCCCCTCTTCCTGCTGCTGTCCTTGACTGCTCCTCTCCGTTGTCTCCTCCTCCTCCTCCACCTCCTCCTCCTCCTCCTCCTCCGGACCCTGCCCGCCCACCTCTGATCTGTTCTCCCGTTTCCTTCCCTCCGTCTTTGCTCAGTTTACCCATGCCCCCTAACCCTGACTTTGCTGACCCTGATCCCGACCCTGATATTCTTTAACGTGCTCTGTTGGTCTTTCGCCTTTGTTTCTTCCTTGTTCTCTGTTTTTGTCCTTTCTCTTCTCGTCGTTGTCCATTCTTCAATGGAACGTTCGAGGTTATTACGCCAATTTCCTCGAACTCCAACTTCTGGTTTCGCGGTTTTCGCCCCTTTGTGTCTGTCTCCAGGAGCCGATGCTTGGTGCTCGTCCTGGTCGTTTTCGTGGCTATTCCTTTCTCTCCCTCCCCCCAGCCATTGCTGGGGCTTCTAATTCTTCTGCTCTCTTGATTCGGGCTGATGTTCCCTTTGTTCCTTTACTTTTTCCTTCGCCTCTCCATTGTTCTGCTGCTCGTATCTTTGTGGGGAAATGGTACACAGTTTGTTCCATTTATCTCCCCCCGAGTGTCCCGCTCTCTCTTCCTGATTTGAAACACCTCCTGGACTCCTTGCCGGAGCCTGTGCTCCTGCTGGGTGACTTCAATTGTCGTCATTCTCTTTGGGGTGACGTTCTGACGAATACCCGGGGTCGCCTCCTTGAGCCGTTTCTCCTCTCTTCTTCCCTGTCTCTTCTGAATTCTGGTGAGCCCACTCATTTGGACTCCCGGACTCGCACCCTTTCTTGTCTTGATCTTTCTCTCTGCTCTTCTTCTCTTTACTTAGATTTCACGTGGCAGGTTCTTGATGACCTCCATGGAAGTGATCATTTCCCCATCCTTGTTTCCTTTTTCTCTTTTCGCCCTTCCCTCTCTTTCCCTAGGTGGCAGTTTGCTAAGGCGGACTGGACCCTATTTTCCCTCAGTGCTACTCTCTCTGACCTCTCCCTTCTGCCCCTCTCTCGCGCTCTCCTCCTTTTTCATGACACTGTCTTCGACGCTGCCCTCCGCTCTATTCCTCGCTCTTCCTCTCGGGGTCCACGGAAGTGCGTTCCCTGGTGGAATGCGGACTGTGCTCGGGCTGTCCGCTGTAAGCGTGCAGCCTGGAAGAAGCACCGCCGTAGGCAGACGACCGATTCTTTTCTTTTCTTTCGGAAAGCGAGTGCGGTGGCCCGTAGGGCCATCCGTACGGCTAAACGTGAATGTTGGGCATCTTATGTCTCGACAATTACGTCCGAAACCCCTCTGGCCCAGATCTGGAAGCGTATCCGCAAGATAGCGGGTAAGTTCGTTCCCGATGTTTCACCGGTCCTTCACCTCCATGATACTCTTGTGGCGGACCCGTTGCAGGTCGCTTCCGAACTGGGTTCCCACTTTTCTTCTGTTAGCTCTGGTCTTCATCTTCCCCAATCTTTCCTTCTTCGTAAACCTGTCCTTGAGTCTCGTCCTTTAGATTTCTGCACTCATCTTCAGCTTCCCTATAATGATCCCTTCTCTCTCTCTGAACTTCGTTGTGCCCTGCCCTCTGCGGTTCTACGGCGGCGGGCTCCGATGGTATTCATTATGAGATGCTTCGCCATCTCCCTCCGAGCACGTCTCAGTATTTACCGAGTCTGTATAATCGGATCTGGGAGTCGTCGTCAGTCCCTGAGGACTGGCTCGATGCCGTTGTCCTCCCTGTTCGCAAACCGGGGTCTCTGGGTACTTCCCCTAAGGACTTTCGCCCTATTGCTCTCACAAGTTGTGTCTGCAAACTCTTTGAACGTATGGTTAACGTTCGTCTGATGTGGTTCCTGGAACACCATCACCTCCTCTCCCCTTCTCAATTTGGTTTCCGCAAGTGCCGCAGCACGACAGATGTCCTGGTGAACTAGGAGGTCTATATTCGTACTGCTTTTGCTGCGAAGACCTCCGTTGTTGCCGTCCTTTTTGACCTAGAAAAGGCTTACGACACCACTTGGCGTTATCATATCCTATCTCAACTTCATTCTTTTGGCCTTCGTGGTCATCTCCCTCTCTTTCTCCGCAGCTTCCTCTCTCGTCGTTCCTTTCGGGTGCGCCTTGGTACCGCTCTCTCTCCCTCTTTTCAGCAATACGAAGGTGTGCCCCAGGGTAGTGTTCTGAGCACTACTCTTTTTCTGGTTGCCCTCAATGGTCTTCTTTCCTCTCTTCCTTCTGGTGTCTTCTCCGCTCTCTATGTCGATGATCTTACCCTTTGTTGCCAGGGTGATGATTCGCCTCTCCTTCAACGCCGGCTTCAACTTGCAATTGATGCCGTGTCGTCTTGGGCCACAGGTCATGGCTTCAAGTTCTCTACTTCTAAGACTTGTGCCATGACTTTTACGCGGAAACGGGTTGTTCTTCGTCCCTCTTTGTCACTTTATGGTCATCCCCTTGAATACAAAGATTCCGCAAAGCTTTTGGGGTTATTCCTTGACACTCGTTTGTCTTGGTCTCCCCATATCTCTTACCTCCGTGTTGAGTGCTCTAAGGCCCTTACCCTCCTTCGGGTCTTGTCCCATACTTCTTGGGGGGCAGATAGGCGCACTCTCCTTGCTTTACATTCCTCTCTCGTCCTGTCTAAGCTCGATTATGGTTGCCCTGCTTACTCGTCTGCTTCTCCTTCTACTCTTCGCCGTCTTGATGCTTTGCACCATACTGGGTTGCGCCTCAGTTCTGGTGCCTTTCGTTCGACTCCCATCCTTAGCTTGTATGTTGACACTGGCTTCCTGTCTCTCCAGGACCGCCGTGATCGCTACTGTCTTCGCTATCTTGCGCGGTCCTTGCAACATCCTTCCTCTCGCCTCTGTCGTGCTTTAACTTTTACCCCTCCTGCGGTTCCTGTTCCTCTTCACCTCCTCCCTCTTTCTGTCCGGTTATCTCGCCTACAGGATTCTCTTTCCGTTCGTATTTCTGATGTTTCTCCTCGTGTTGTTCCTTCTTTGCCCCCGTGGAGGGTCCCTCTTCCGCGGTTTTGTACATCCTTGACTCGAATCACTAAAGCTTTTACCCCTCCTACGGTTCTAAAACGCCTTTTCCTCGAGCACTTTTCTTGTCACTCCCGCTCAGTTTCTGTCTTCACCGATGGGTCTAAGTCAGCGGACGGTGTTGGCTACTCTGTTGTTTTTCCTGATCGCACTTATATGTGTCGCTTGCCTCCGGAGACTAGCATGTTTACAGCGGAACTTTATGCTATTCTCTTCGTCTCCTGCTTTCTCGTTGTCAGTCTTCCTTTGTGGTTGTTGTCGACTCTCGTAGTGCCCTCATGGCTCTGGGGTGCTTTAATCCAGTAGTTGTCGAGATCCAGCATTGGCTGTTTCTCGTTCACAGTAAATTTAAGTCGGTTGAGTTTTGTTGGGTTCCCAGCCATATTGGCGTGTCTTTAAATGAGCGTGCGGATGCTGCCGCTAAGGAAGCTGTCCGCTCTTGTCCCATCTCTCGTAAAGGCATTCCGTATTCCGACTTTTACCCTGTTATCCATTCCTCAGTCCTTACCCGTTGGCAGGCTTCTTGGTTGTCTGTTACTGGTAACAAGCTACGTACTCTTAAATGTTGTGTTTCCTCGTGGCCGTCCTCCTTCCACCATAACCGGCGGTGGGAAACAGCTCTGGCGAGGTTGCGTATTGGCCATACTCGCTTAACCCATGGTCACTTGATGGAGCGCCGCCCTGCTCCTTATTGTCCTAGTTGCATTGTCCCTCTTACGGTCGTGCATGTCCTTCTTGAATGTCCTTCTTAAGAGCAAGCAGTTTGTTACCAGTGACAGAAGACCAACAACCCTGTCAACGGGCAAGGATGGAGGAATGAATAACTGGGTAAAAGTCTGAATAAGGAATACCTTTACGGGAGATGGGACAAGTGCGGATAGCTTCCTTAGCGACAGCATCCGCACGCTCATTTAAACACACACCAATATGGCTGGGAACCCAGCAAAACTTCACTGTCTTAAATCGGCTGGAGATAAGAAACAGCCAATGTTGAATCTCGACTACCACCGGATACACAAGCCACCACACACCTACATAACACTGAAAAGGAACCACACATGCAAACTTACTCATACACTGAGCCGTCTAAGATCACTTATAAGATTCCTATGAGATGCAGTGTGCGGCACCAGCACATGCAGGACTTATGTAGTTAAACATACAACGAAGTTGGAGACAATTCAGAGGTATGCTACCAGACTTGTAACCGGGAATTAAACCTCACGTCACTGGATGAAAGAATAAACATAGGAGACATAATTACTATATACAAAATACTCAGGGTAATAGACAGGACAGACAAGGGGCAGACTATTTATCTGGGATAATACATGAACAAGAGGTCACAGACAGCATACCCAAATGAACCATAGAAACATTAAAAACCTAATTTTTTCAAGTGTCAGGATGGTGGCCAATAGGAATGCATTAAGAAGGCAAGTGGTGGAGGTAGACTCCATACACAGCGTTAAATGCAGATACGACAGAGTCCAATAGACTCTGAAACCTATACGCCAGTCGATTAAGGGTTAAGAAGTGAGCCCCAAGAGCTTTAGCTCAACCTCCACAAGTGCAACTAGGCAAGTATAACTAGGTAAGTAAATACACACACAAACTCAAGAACTTTTATGTCATTAACAAAGTGATGAAGCAATACACACACATATATATACAATACATATACACATACATACATACACACAGTGCAACTCCGGCAACTTCCTGATTGGTTGTGGCTTCTCACATTAAGACGAGTGACAGGTTTATAATGAGGTGAAGAGCAGACATATGTATAATGAATAATAAAGCAGATTATTAATTTTAACCTCGCTAATTGTGACATACAAGTGATGGGGGGGGGGGGCGTCAACACCTGGACCACTACACACATCCTCACCTGTTGTATATCATACACTGTCACCCTTACCTGTTGTATATCATACACTGTCACCCTTACTCTGTGTATACCCACTAGTGTGAAGAGCAAGGTCACCCTTACTGTCATAGTTTTGACTTATGCATTTTGGAGCCTGAGAAGTCTGTAGTTGTAGATCAGATGTATTTAGTGTAGTGGCAGTGTGTGTGGCCCCGGCACTCAGACAAGTGGGTTTCCAGCATTTCAAAGTAAGTTAAGTAAGTAATTATCAAAAGAAGGCACCAAACCGGGAAGGCTATGTATCAAAGTAAGTTAAGCATCTTCTCCAAGAGGTAAATAAGCAACCCTAGGCCAAATAGACACTGTTAGGCCTAATATAGTAGACATATGGGCTATACTAGGTCTAAGAATGTTTATGGTGGTTGGGGGAGCTTTTTGTGCTCTCTACAAAATTATTAAATTAATAGAACAAAATTTAAACTTTTTTTAATTTTTGTAAATTGGTGTATGTGGACCCTAATAATGGCGGTAAGTTCCATAACGTTTGGAGGAAGGATTGAAAATAAAGCGAAATACTTACAATATATTCCCAACACATATCAAGTAATGTTATAAAATATAGTGACGTAATTACTGTTGCGTTTCTCTTAACATGACATCTGTATTCCCACGCTAATTGTGACATTATAATGATAGTGTCACCGCAAGTTATTTATTGTTCATTGTGTTCATTAATAGTGTTAAATTACGCCTGCAGAACAAGTGATGTATAATACAATCAAACACTTCGACAAGATTTAATTATGGTTAGAGAATGTTATCACAATAAAAATATTGGTAAAAGATAAAATAATTTATCAGATAAAATAATTTATCAGAAAAATTTATCGTGTTATGACACGATAAAACTAGTATGTCACATGGAGATACAAATATGCAGCTCTTATTTATACCCAACCAAACTCTTTCATATATAAGCAAACCTATGCTTAAAATACTTCAGCGAGCTCACGTTTATTATGTTAACTTTAAAATTGTTTCATAACTCAGATATGTACAAGTGTTCGTATAATCTAAAGTATAAATATAATCTATTCATGTCTCAGCTTCCTAATGTTAATTCCTTCTGCATGTCGCCCCTTCCTGAATGGTCAATAAGTTGGTTATAAAGGCCGGGTTGTGGTGGTGAAGACAACCGTTCACCTGGTGTGTGTGACCACCCTACACCTGTGGTACACTCAGGTGATCAACCATACACCTGTGGTACACTCAGGTGATCAACCATACACCTGTGGTACACTCAGGTGATCAACCATACACCTGTGGTACACTCAGGTGACCAACCCTACACCTGTGGTACACTCAGGTGATCAACCATACACCTGTGGTACACTCAGGTGATCAACCATACACCTGTGGTACACTCAGGTGATCAACCATACACCTGTGGTACACTCAGGTGATCAACCATACACCTGTGGTACACTCAGGTGATCAACCATACACCTGTGGTACACTCAGGTGACCAGCCCTACACCTGTGGTACACTCAGGTGATCAACACCTGTTGGTCACTCAGGTGACCAACGCTTGCTAGTAGTAGTAGTAGGCATCCATCAGTCTCAGGAGACTATGGAGTTGCGTTCTGGTTGTCGGTCTGGAGTGGCCTCACCAGGGCGCAAAGCCAGGGTAGGTTGATACAGGGGAGAAGCTGTTACCCATGCAGCACCTCCCCCCTCTCCACGGCACCGAAAGTCTCCAATGGAAAGGCAAACGCCAATACGATTGGTTCCAGCGCCGTCGCAGGAACTGTGAGCGCCGGAGTTGACCTCGAAGTTGGTGAAAGAAGGCACAGGGACTCGAAACCCGGAGACCGCCGTGGTCGGGGCGGAGAGCAAGTGTGACCAACGCTTGCTAGTAGGCCAGTGTATATATAATCACATTGCACAAATAACAAATTTAGTCACTGAATGTAATAATAAGCATTCGTTTTGTCGGGGGACAGGAAGCATGTGTATATATACTTTAGGTTTGTATCCAGGATGTAACCCATAACATTTGCCTGACTCCCGGGTACCAATTTACTACTAGGTGTACAGAGGCATTAGCTGAAAGGAAACGTGCCCAACCAACCAGTTCGATGTCCCGCCCGGAAATCGAACCGGTGATTGACTGTGACTGTTCTCGCTCACAGTCGAGAACGAAGCCAGGGGAAACTAGAATAAATATAACAGTGTTGAGGTCAGTTCAGTCTGAGAGAGAGCAGAGAAGGGCAACACCTCGGAGGGTCCAGTGGTCCTCGTCGAGGTGGGTGGGGATGTTGACGGAGAAGACGTAGTTGGTACAGTGTCCTGTCGTGGTCAGGTTCCCCCGCCGCTCACTGGTCTTGTACACAGGGCACGAGTACGTTGGCTCCCGCGGGATCTCCTCCCGCACCATCGGCTGCAGCCACAGCTGTGGTAGGAGGTGCGGAGTTAAGAGATGCTCACCTTACATCTCTAGAGAGAAAGAGATGGCCAATCTTGACACATCCAGATCGTTGTAAAAGGCATAGGGATACGACACAGCTACTGAGAAAGAGGCTAAACATCTCAGCCGTGTCTGTTAAGGAAGGACACAAGATGCAGAGATGTGTCGCGGTAGGCGAGACGCCCAAGATATTTCAGCCAGAGCTCATGAGAGAGGTACAAGATGCAACAGGTAGTCAAACCTTACATCTTGAGAAGGCCCACAACTCTCAACTATCAACTAATACTGCTATTTCTACTAACAATATGGCACTACTATTACAGTTATTACTGCCATTCCTACCATTAAAATTTGATGATGAATATAAGACATTAAAGGTAAACATTATCATAACTACATGCACCACAACCATAAACACTACCACAACAACCACCACCACCAGCACTACCACCACAACCACCAAGGCGCCCACTACCACAGCCATCACCACCACCATTGCTAAAAATATAGTATAAACCGTGATGGCGCAGAGATAACACACTTCCATCACTACACCATACACTTACTGGAGGCATGTGTTCGTGAAGCCTCCTAGGCAGAGCTTCATCCAGACGTTTATTCTGGAAATCCCACCTAGCGCCCTCCAGGTAGAGGCCCTTGATGTAGGCTCCTGCTACAGGAGCGAGAGACTCTCCTCGTCCACCTCCAGCACCTCCAGAAATGAGAGAAACATTGAGTTACAAGGAGTTCCTGAAGAGGGATAACTTGGATGTAACAAACATGGTTTGCAGCACCAGATACTTCCTGGAGTGAAGAATAGAGAATAGATGGCAGGACAAGCGAGCTATAAAGGCGGGACAAGCGAGCTATGAAGGCGGGACAAGCGAGCTATGAAGGCGGGACAAGCGAGCTATAAAGGCGGGACAAGCGAGCTATAAAGGCAGGACAAGCGAGCTATGAAGGCAGGACAAGCGAGCTATAAAGGCGGGACAAGCGAGCTATAAAGGCAGGACAAGCGAGCTATAAAGGCGGGACAAGCGAGCTATAAAGGCAGGACAAGCGAGCTATAAAGGCAGGACAAGCGAGCTATAAAGGCGGGACAAGCGAGCTATAAAGGCAGGACAAGCGAGCTATAAAGGCGGGACAAGCGAGCTATAAAGGCAGGACAAGCGAGCTATAAAGGCAGGACAAGCGAGCTATAAAGGCGGGACAAGCGAGCTATAAAGGCAGGACAAGCGAGCTATAAAGGCGGGACAAGCGAGCTATAAAGGCAGGACAAGCGAGCTATAAAGGCAGGACAAGCGAGCTATAAAGGCAGGACAAGCGAGCTATAAAGGCAGGACAAGCGAGCTATAAAGGCAGGACAAGCGAGCTATAAAGGCGGGACAAGCGAGCTATAAAGGCAGGACAAGCGAGCTATAAAGGCAGGACAAGCGAGCTATAAAGGCAGGACAAGCGAGCTATAAAGGCAGGACAAGCGAGCTATAAAGGCAGGACAAGCGAGCTATAAAGGCGGGACAAGCGAGCTACTGGAAGAATCTGCCTGGACATAAGAAGGATACCTTTCAAGACACAACCTGGACGTTATATAAACTAATAAAGCGTGTCACTCTTAATGTGACCTGAACACTGAAGGTTCTCCCCTGCAAGTGAGGGACTATACTGTCAACTGCTTCATTGGAAGACAAATATAAAAGAGAAAGTCTGAAATTTAAAAGAGCTACATGAAAGTATTATGAGCCACCGGAAGAAAGTATCCTTCAAGATATTATCTTGAAGCAAAACGTCACTTGCGATAAAGCTGATCACATGAAAGTCAAATTAAACTTCGTGGATGAGCATAGTAATGCACAAGAGGCAAGAGTTTGCTGGTGGAGACGAACGCCCGTACCTGAAAGTGAAACCAAAGTTGGTCGATGGCGAGGGCGTGAGCGCGGGCGTGGTTCTGCAGGACGGCCGTCAGGAAGGAATGAGTGAAGAAGAACCCGCTGAGCCAGAACACCCGAGGCGGTCCACTGTCGTACCATCCCTGCCCGCACGCCGCCCACACGCCGCCCACACGCCGCCCGGGAATAAGGCACAAGGAATGAATTAAAGGCGAGTACAGAGTGGGTTGCAAGGTGAGTCAATAGTGGATTCCAGGTGACTTAAAGAGTTAACTAAAGGAGAATCAAGAGTGAATTGTGTGCGAATCAAAAAAAGAATTACAACAAATAAGTTACTAGTGAGTCGCGTGTGTGGTATATATAAATCACAGCTAGTCATATCGTGTTTAAAAGTCACTATTCTAATTATGGGTCAATTGTAGTCGAGTTGTACAAAATAGAGTGTCAAGTTGCACGTTAAATTGACAATGACAATGACACTTTAATTTACGGAAAAGTACATACATATAAAATGAGTTACAGGCACAATGTTGGATTTCTAGATAGAACAAGTATTTTAAGTACCTGTTCATGTGGACAAATCATATAACTATACACTGCAAGACTGAAGTAACTGAGCCGAGAATATTTGGGATCTGATGATAAATCACGTTTCATGGGATCGAAATGTTATTAATTCTTATTAGTGTACCGGTGGAATATACCGGTCTTATATTACACACATTGGTGTACCGGTGCTTATATTACCGGTGCTTATATTACCTTGGAACCGTTATTACGGTTCCAAGGGGTTGTCATAGCCAGGGGGTGGTAATGGGGGACGAGCTCCCATGACCTATAAAATGCTCCTATACGGCATGCGTCTCAAATAGCCTCTGACAACCAAGTCCAACTCCTGGCCTGCTCCGGGTAGATGGGACTCGATAGCCTGGGAAGGCAGCCCATCTAGGGGAAGGAAAACCCTGATTTTAAACCTCCGCTGCCTTGCGGCCATACCCTTGTTTTTGGGAAGGCTTCAGGAGTCAACCTCGAGGAAAAATCCGGAGTTGGAGCCCCTAAGGCAGTTCGTTGTTGACGTCGACCTCGTTCTGGCAGCTCCTGCGACGTTGCTGGAACCATGCGTATTGGCATTTGCCTCTCTATTGGATAATTTCAGCAACGTGGAGAGGGGGGACCTGCTGCATGGGTAACAGCTTCTCCTCCATATCTACCTACCCAGGCTTTGCGCCCTGGAGAGGACACTCCAGCTTCGCCTCACAGCGTCGAACCAACACGGGAAGCGACAGTCTACCGGTTTTAAGTCTTCTGCTCGATTGGCGAAGAGTGTGACGCCAGGGGTTGCTTCCGACGGTGGGAGGGGTCATCGCGCCCCACTGGGCAGCTACCGCCCGCCTCAAGCTGGGCAAACCCCAGCCAATAAGGTGTTGCCTCGCCACGGTCCGTTAACTTCACTGGGTGCGTGGGGTTTAGGGTGAAAATTGACAAGCGGCCCGACAACTTTGCACCAAGCAATACCAAACCAAAGAAGAAAATATCAACTGCCCTAAAGCTGGGCACATGGAACGTCAGGACACTGACACCAGGTTTCTCTGACGACCTGCAAGAAATCAATGACGCCCGAAAAACAGCAATCATCGATAGGGAGCTGAGCAAGCTGCAGATGGATATTGTTGCTCTCCAAGAGACCAGGCTCCCAGGATCAGGATCTGTGAGAGAGAGGACCTTCTCTTTCTTCTGGCAAGGAAAACCTCCAGATGAGACCAGAGAACATGGTGTGGGATTTGCCGTCAGGAATGCACTGTTGGGACACATTATGCCACCGATGGGGGAAACCGAACGAATTCTGTCTCTGCAACTGTACTCCCAAACAGGACCAGTCAATGTAATTAGTGCATATGCACCAACCCTGACTTCTCCAGCAGAGGCAAAGGAAAAATTCTACGATGACCTCAACAGAGTCATAGCGAGAATCCCTGTAAAGGAGCCACTGTTCATCCTCGGCGACTTCAACGCCAGAGTGGGTGCCGAGCACAACATTTGGCCCACTTGCCTGGGTCAATTCGGCATAGGAAGGATGAATGAGAACGGGCAACGTCTGCTAGAACTCTGCTGCCTTCATGGTCTTTGTGTCACCAACACGTTCTTCGGCACAAAGCCTCAACACCGAGTATCTTGGAGACACCCCAGATCCAAGCACTGGCACCAGCTTGACCTGATTCTTACCAGGCGTGCAAGTCTACCCAGCGTCAAGATTACGCGTAGCTACCAGAGTGCTGTCTGTGACACCGACCACTCCCTGGTATGTAGCAGGGTCAAGATGCAACCAAAGAAGATTCATCACTCGAAAAAGGCGGGCAGACCTCGCATCGACACCACCAAGACCCGCAACCAGGACAAGGTGGAAGATTTTGCACACGTGCTCGAGGAAGCTCTTCCTGGCCCAGCTGGGGTCACTGCCTGTAAAAGATGGGAGCACTTCAGAGACGCTGTGTTCAACGCTGCCATTTCCACCTTTGGCAAGAAGACCAGCAGGTCGGCAGACTGGTTCGAGGCTCACTCGGAAGAGATGACACCTGTAATCGAAGAGAAGAGAAACGCCTTGGCAGCCTACAAAGCCTGCCCAAGTCGGCGCAACTTACAGATCCTTCGGGCCGTCCGCTGCAAAGTGCAGCAGAGCGCCAGGCGATGTGCCAACAACTATTGGCTCCAGCTCTGCTCCCAGATACAGACTGCAGCGGATACAGGCAATGTAAGGGGAATGTATGACGGCATCAAGCAGGCCCTTGGCCCAATCCAGAGGAAGACCGCTCCTCTGAAATCTGCCACTGGCGAGGTGATTCAGGACCAGACACTGCAGCTGAAGCGCTGGGTCGAGCACTACTCTGAGCTATACGCCAGGGACAATGTGGTCACCGAAGATGCCCTGAGCGCCATTGAGTGTCTGCCTGTGTTAATGGAGCTCGACAGTGAACCGACCCTGGAAGAACTCAGCGATGCCCTAGACTCCCTTGCTTCTGGTAAAGCTCCTGGCAAAGATGGCATTCCTGCTGAGACCTTGAAGTGCTGCAGAGGTAGCCTGCTCATGGAGCTGCACGAAATTCTCTGCCTCTGCTGGGAAGAAGGAGAGGTGCCACAGGACATGAGGGATGCCAACATCGTCACACTGTATAAGAATAAAGGTGACAGGGGCGACTGCAACAACTACCGTGGAATCTCCCTCCTCAGTATTGTCGGAAAGCTGTTTGCTCGAGTCGCATTGAAGAGGCTCCAAGTACTTGCAGAGAGAGTTTATCCAGAATCACAATGTGGATTCAGAGCTGGCAGGTCCACCATCGACATGGTCTTTTCCCTCAGACAACTGCAGGAGAAATGCAGGGAACAGAAGCAGCCACTCTTTGTAGCCTTCATAGACCTGACGAAGGCCTTCGACCTCGTCAGCAGGGATGGCCTGTTCAAGATCCTCCCCAAGATCGGATGCCCACCCAGGCTCCTCAGCATCATCAGATCTTTCCATGAGAACATGAGGGGCACCGTGGTCTTTGATGGCCTAACATCAGGCGCCTTTGACATCCGAAGTGGAGTAAAGCAGGGCTGCGTACTGGCTCCAACCCTATTCGGGATTTTCTTCGCAGTTATGCTGCGGCACGCCTTCGGATCTGTCACGGAAGGCATTTACCTCCGGACCAGGTCGGATGGGAAGCTCTTTAACCTCGCCAGGCTGAGAGCCAAGACAAAGGTTCGGCTGAGGTGTCTGCGCGACTTCCTCTTTGCCGACGACGCAGCAGTCACTGCCCACTCAGCTGAAGACCTCCAACGGCTCATAACCCGCTTCAGCGAGGCCTCTCAGGCTTTCGGACTCACCATCAGTCTGAAGAAAACACAAGTCATGGGACAAGGAGTGGACTCCCCACCTGACATCGGCATCTCTGATTCCAAACTGGAAGTTGTTCACGACTTCGTGTACCTGGGCTCCACAATCTCTGACTCCCTCTCTCTTGATACGGAGCTAAACAAACGCATCGGTAAGGCATCTACTACCATGTCCAAACTGACAAAGAGAGTGTGGGCCAACAATAGGCTGACTGAGTATACTAAGATTCAGGTTTACAGATCCTGTGTCCTGAGCACTCTCCTTTATGGCAGTGAGTCTTGGACACTCCGCGCCCGTCAGGAAAGACGGCTGAATGCCTACCACATGCGCTGCCTTAGACACATCTTGGACATCACCTGGCAGGACAAGGTGACAAACAACAACGTCTTGGGGAGAGCAAGAATCACCAGCATGTACACAATGCTGAAACAGAGACGAATGCGCTGGCTCGGGCACGTTGTGCGAATGGGCGACGGCAGGATCCCCAAGGATCTCCTGTATGGAGAGCTGAGGCAGGGAAAGCGTCCAGTCGCAAGCCCCAGCTACGGTACAAAGACATATGCAAAAGGGACCTGAAAGCCATGGACGTCGATCTTGCTATATGGGAGACACTGGCTGCAGACCGTTCAGCCTGGAGGCAGTCTGTTCAACGGGGTCTCTCCAAGTTCGAGGAGTCACTTGCCAAGGAATCGGAGGCAAAGAGACAGAGAAGGAAAGCCGGTAACCAGGAAGACAGACCAGAATCGGACTTCGTTTGTGCTCGGTGTGGGATGGACTGCCACTCTCGGATTGGCCTCATCAGTCACACCAGACGCTGCACCAGGATTGACAACTAGGGCGCAACTCCATAGTCTCCCGAGACTGAAGGATGCCTACTACTACCTCCGTGAGGAAAGCAACCTTCTGAAAACTGATGAAGCCATTAAAAAACAGGAGGAAGCTCTCAACAAAATGACTGCATGTATCAGTACATTTTCAGCCCAGCGTTCTGTCTCCCAGGATGAACAAGACCACCAAAAGCTGCTAGACTCTGTTATAGTGTCGTCCCAAGATATACCTGTGGAACATGATGGTGAAAACTGTATCGAAATAGCTCTGGATCTCTTAAAAGACAAATTGCAGCTCATTCTAAACAAATCTGACGTTATTGCTGCCTACAGAGTAGGCAAAAAGAATCCATCAAGTCAAAACCAACGGAAAATTCGCCTGAAGCTGTCTTCCCAGTTCACGAAATCCAATCTAGTCCGGACAGCTGTAGCCCAACGGAAGGGATTATACATCAACGAGTGCTTGACTAGGAACAGACAGCACCTCCTCTACCGCCTGCGTCAAATCCGTCAACAAAACCCAGATGCGATTCATCAGTGCTTCGTTAGAGATGGACTGATAAAGGTGAGAAAAACCGCAGAGGGCAAAATGTTCACAATTACTAAAGAAGAGAACCTCAACGCTTTCCACTCCCAATGTGGTCTGTCTCAGCTCATTATCACTCCCAGTGAATTAACTTAATTAACCCCCTGTCAACTAGTGGGGCTAGGTTTCCTAAGTCTCATTGTTTCATTTTCTGACTTAATTTTTAACTTACTCTTAACTAGTCATTTACAGAAATTATTTATTTGAGTGCATAAATAGTTCTTCAGGTCTTATTAATTATACAGTTATAACTGAACTATTTATAGTTAATAATCATTAGCTTAAATTTGCCTATGCTTATTATTCAACTTTTCTTTGATTCCATTTATTACCTAGGTTGCCTAGCCTCGCCATGCTCCCTTACTCCATTGTACCCCTGGCTTTGCCTGCATCTCAAATTGCAAATTGTTACTTACAGTGTACCTGAGAGTACTTGTAAGCAATCTACCTCATTTTTCATTTTTGCTCAATTTGTTTTTGTATTGCTTAGTCTTGTTTATATTTTTGTTTTGTATTTCTATATCTTGTGTTTTGTATAGTCCATGTTTATATGTTTTTTCGTTAATCTCATTTATTACCTAGGTTGCCTAGCCTAGCCATACTCCCTTACTCCATTGTACCCCTGTAAGCCCCTTTTGAGTTTGCTTTGTTCTGTATTGTGTACATCTTTTTCCCTATTTTATAGCTTATTTCTACCTTGTTATTTGCCTTTCTTCCCTTGTTTTTCCTGCAATCAGCTTTTTTTATGCAGACAAGTATAGACCCTGAACTTAACCTCTTATCCACTATCTATGACAATTATCACTTTAATGATCTAAATTGCAGATATTTTGCAGCACATGATGTAAACAATGTATTAACTCATAATCACAATATCTCTGTAATCAATTTGAACGTTAGATCCCTAGGTAAACACTTCGATGATGTTAGTGCCTTGATTGAAGCTATTGACAACAAATTCTCTTTTATTATACTTACTGAAACATGGTTGAAAGAGGATACTACTCAGCTCTTTAACATGCCTAACTACTCAGCAATTCACAACTGTCGTCAACTTCAGAGAGGTGGTGGCACTGCTCTTTACTACCACCAAGAACTAACATGCTTAAAAGAAATTAGAACCAGAGACTGTTATGGGGAGTATATCTTCGCCAGCTTCAGAGTCAAGGGTGCAGAGTCTGTCCTGACTGTGGGTGCAGTTTATAGAATTCCTAACACTGATGTGTCCGAATTCAACTCAAACCTTAGAAATCTAATACTTGATAACAGACTGAACAAAAACCACCTAATTATCGCAGGGGACTTTAATATTGACCTCTGCGAGCCTGAACACCCCACTGCTGTTAGCTTCCTCAACTGTATGAATTCCTGCTTCCTCATACCCTTAATCACTAGACCTACTAGAATCACTGATAGCACTGCCACGACGCTCGATCACATCTGGACAAACATAACCTCTCCGCTTACTTCAGGTATAATCACCGATAGCACTACAGATCATTACCCCACATTTCTCTTAACTAACATTAGCAAACCACCTCTTGAGTCAAGAGTGATACGTTTTAGACTACACAATGAAACTGCTATAGACAATTTTATAACTGCTGCTGATAATGTCAACTGGGAGTCCGAGTTAGGTAACATAGTGGACATCAACCTAGCAGTGCAATCTTTTCTTCAAAAAACTCTTAGCCTTTATAATACCCACTGTCCTATGCTTACAAAACAAGTCACAACCAAAAGGCTTAACAATCCCTGGCTTACAGAGGGAATACTTAAATCTATTAATAAAAAACATGACCTTGAGAAGAAGTATAGGTTAGGAATTGTCTCCAAAGAATTCTCAAAGAATTACTCATTATTGCTGTCCAAGATAATTAGACGAGCCAAAACTAAATACTACGAAGATAAATTTACCCAAATAAAGAGCAACATTAAACAAACTTGGAGAACAATTTCTCAAATATTGGGATCAAAGAAGTCTTTAAATAACAAACCGACTCTCCTGTCTAATAACGATGGTCAGCTTTCAGCCTCTGATTCTGCTATTGAGTTCAATAGGTTCTTCTCTTCCATTGGTTCATCCCTTGCAAATGATATTCCATCTTCCAGTACAGACATTAATGACTATCTTTCAGGTAACTATCCACAGTCTCTGTACCTAAAGCCTATTAATTCCACTGACGTCAATGAGATAATCCTTTCCCTTAAAACCAAGTCTGGTGCCCTTGAGGAGATACCAACTTTAATTTACAAAAAAGCCTCCAGATCTTTAGCCCCTGCTATTGCTTTGCTCTTCAACAAGTCACTTGAACTCCAAACCTTCCCAGATATTCTAAAAAAAGCGAGAGTAACGCCTGTCCACAAATGTGGTAATCTCACAGATGTTAACAACTACAGACCTATATCTATCCTGCCGAACTTGTCAAAAATTTTTGAAAAACTAATCTATAAGCAGCTTTACTCATATCTAGCCAAACTCAATATACTTAGCCCTTGCCAATATGGCTTCAGACCCCAAAAAAGCACTAACGATGCACTTATTAGTATGCTTAACTCGATTCATACAGCTCTTGATAAAAATGAGTTCCCTGTTGGGTTGTTTGTGGACCTGCGTAAAGCTTTTGACACTGTCAACCACCAAAACCTTCTTCTTAAATTACATCATTATGGAGTCAGAGGACACTCCCTACAATACCTCAAATCCTACCTTACTGACAGGCTCCAATATGTTTCTGTGAATAATACAATTTCTCCCACCCTACCCATCAACATTGGTGTTCCCCAGGGCAGCATACTTGGCCCTCTCCTCTTTCTCATCTACATTAATGACCTTCCAAATGCCTCCCAACACCTCAAACCAATTCTATTTGCTGACGACACAACCTTCATTTACTCCAGTCCTGATCCCCTTGCTCTAAATGCCACAGTTAATACTGAGCTAAATAAAGTCCATCTGTGGCTAACTGCCAACAAACTCACCCTTAACATTGACAAAACCTTCTATATTCTGTTTGGCAATAAATCCTCTAATCAAATAAATCTCAAAATAAACAATACCCAAATTTGTAACAAATTAGATGGCAAATTCCTTGGCATTCTCATTGACCACAAGCTTAATTTCCAGGGACACATTCTAAACATATCAAAAAAAGTTTCAAAAACTGTGGGCATTCTTTCTAAGATCAGATATTATGTACCACGCCCTGCCCTGGTGACTCTCTGTTACTCCCTTATCTATCCATATCTCAACTATGGTATTTGTGCTTGGGGCTCTACTACCCAAAATCACTTACGTCCTCTAATTACTCAACACAAAGCTGCTATTAGGACAATATCCAATTCTGGCCCCAGACATCACTCGGTACCCCTACTTAAATCTCTGAATATGTTAGACATTAAGTCACTGCACATTCTCTCATGTGTATTATACATATATAAAACGCTAAACTATAATGCCAATCCTGATCTCAAAAGCTTCATAGAAGGTTGAATCAGAACCCATGAGCATCACACCAGAAATAAATACAGTTTTGATATTCTTAGAGTACGACTTAATCAAACTAGAAATGCTCTACAAATCAAGGGGCCCAGAATGTGGAATGACCTTCCCAACCATGTTAAAGACAGTACCTCTCTCAACCAGTTTAAGTTAAAAGCGAAGCTATACCTAATAAATTCCCTGTAACCTACCTTACCCTTCTATTGTCAACCAATGTCTGTTTTTTTCTTTAAAGAGCGCTGTTTGTCGACATAATTGTATTTGTGCTGCTTTTTCATCTATGTTTTCATTTCTTGTTTTCATTCTACTCATTATGCTCAATTAGTATTAAGCTTGTCATTTAAGTTTATCATGCCCGAAACGCTTTGCGTAATAGTGGCTTTAGGCATTGTATGTACTAGCTCTACCTATAAGTCAAACAATCCTTGTAAATATTTATTGTATGTATGTACCTTACCTAAATAAAATTGTATTGTATTGTATTGTATTGTATTGTATATTAGTGTACCAGTGTCTGGGAGGTGTAACTCAATGATTCGCTGCCACACCTGCCTAAAGCTGCATTATTCGGTTGCCAGGAAACCTTTGACGGCCTGTTTTCAAGTGATCTTTTCTTCTGTGCTAAACTTAAATACCTATTTTTGGATATTCAATATTCACTCGATAGTTTCACAGTTGTTAACTAAAGTCGTCCCTTTTAAAGAATCTTCAGTCAAAAAGCTAAGTTTAGTTTATTTTAAATTATACAACCGAGCCATTAGCTAAAGGGTAAATATACTGTAGTAGATTCTTAGCTGTGTGTGTTTATCTATACCTGGAAGCTAGACAGCTGGTGGAATTCTGCAGGTGGAGGACCTGGTAGGTGAGCGGCCACTTACCTGGAGAAACTGGAGTCGCTGGTCCAGATCGGTGATGTAAGAGCCGAGTCCCTTCAGAGTCGGGTAGGACCGGGCCCGCCACGAAGATGGCACCCGGCCTGTCCTCACCCCCACTAACACCTCCTCCACCTCCTCCGACAAGCTCTCCGTTCCTATAACAGAGAACAGAAAATGACTCACAGTGCTACAACATCTCTTACTCTGGTTGCACTCGACACATTTACAAACTGGTTCTGGCTCTGGTCAATTTAGCGAGTCTCCAACTCCTCGCATCTCACTTGACCTCCGAACAAGGGGACACAGGTGGAAGATGAGTACCCAGATGAGCCACAGAGACGTTAGAAAGAATTTTTTCAGTGTCAGAGTAGTTAATAAATGGAATGCATTAGGCAGTGATGTGGTGGAGGCTGACTCCATACACAGTTTCAAATGTAGATATGATATGGCCCTTAGGACGTGGGTGGTGGCAGAGGAAGAGGTTCTAACCTTCCATGGCCCTGAGGACGGCGTTGAGTGTGCTGCTGATGGTGTGGATGAGGGTGTTGTAACGACTCATCTCCTGCACCAACACAGTGTTGAGAGACTGCTCCCTCATGGTGGGGTACTTGGCGAGGGCGGCGTCCACGTGGAAGGGTGCAGGGATGCGGCTCAGTATCTCCTCACAGGTCCTGCCCACAGTGTCGCCTTCCCCGGCCCCGCCCTCGCCTGATGACAGTGATGTGGCCTGCGTCCACAAACAAATATTTGTACTGTAATAATATTTTATGTACAAGATATACAAAGGATCAGATTACAGTGGTTACTTGGTAGGCACAGTCTGTCTATTTTACAACGCCATTAATTATGAGCAGCGTCTCGGGTATACTAACACACAAAAGGAGTATCCAGAGTTTTACACTCACTAATGTATACAGTGTGACAACTACGTGAGATGAGTTTATTGATGTTGTTTATACATGTGTACATATGAAAATCTCTCAATAAAGAGGAGACAGATGTGGATTGACAGTGTCAGACCACGGAGGAAAACTGAAACAGGAATTTCCTTAAGTACTTTCGTATATTAATACATCTTCAGAAGGAGTGTATTAATATACGACTCCTTCTGAAGATGTATTAATATACGAAAGTACTTAAGGAAATTACTGTTTCAATTTTCCTCCGTGGTCTGACACTGTCACATTTTTAATCACGTGTTTATTTTCGTGATATACACACACACATTATATAAGAGGGAGGTAGAATATATATGAGAGAGTTGTCACCTGGGTGAGGAGGACGGCTGAGAAGAGCTTGTTGGTCTCGGCCTGGTCCTTGTTGATGCTGGCGTTGCTGTTCATGCCGAAGACGTGGGGCGGGGCATCTCGAGGCAGCTCGGAGATGTGCTCCAGGAACTGGGCGTGTTCACCATCCTGCGGCGTCGTGTACACTCCTGCAGAGCATACAGACCACACCCTTACTGGGAGGGGCAGGAGCACCCTGTCCAGGTGTTGGAGTCCCCCACTCCCATGATGGGGAGGGGGAGGGTGAGCGTCTTAGCCAGATATTGGGGGAGGGCAACTTGTCCGGGTGGTGGAGTGAGGAGGAGTTTGTACAGGCAGTGAAAAGAGGGGAGGGAGGAAGAAAGGAACTGTCAGGGGAAAGCACTAAGCCATTAAGACTACGTATATAGCACTGAGAAAGGGTCAGGATAAGGATTTGGGATGGGACGGGGGGGAAGGAATGGTGCCCAACCACTTGGACGGTCGGGGGACTGAACGCCGACCTGCATGAAGCGAGACTGTCGTTCTACCTTCCAGTCAAAGTGGAGGAGGAGCAATTAGTCGAGGTGATAAGAGGAGTGATTTGTCTACACAGTAAGTAGTAAGGGGGAGGAGGGACGTGTCCACGTAGTAAGGGGGAGGAGGGACGTGTCCACGTAGTAAGGGGGAGGAGGGACGTATCCACGTAGTAAGGGGGAGGAGGGACGTGTCCACGTAGTAAGGGGGAGGAGGGACGTGTCCACGTAGTAAGGGGGAGGAGGGACGTGTCCACGTAGTAAGGGGGAGGAGGGACGTGTCCACGTAGTAAGGGGGAGGAGGGACGTGTCCACGTAGTAAGGGGGAGGAGGGACGTGTCCACGTAGTAAGGGGGAGGAGGGACGTGTCCACGTAGTAAGGGGGAGGAGGGACGTGTCCACGTAGTAAGGGGGAGGAGGGACGTGTCCACGTAGTAAGGGGGAGGAGGGACGTGTCCACGTAGTAAGGGGGAGGAGGGACGTGTCCACGTAGTAAGGGGGAGGAGGGACGTGTCCACGTAGTAAGGGGGAGGAGGGACGTGTCCACGTAGTAAGGGGGAGGAGGGACGTGTCCACGTAGTAAGGGGGAGGAGGGACGTGTCCACGTAGTAAGGGGGAGGAGGGACGTGTCCACGTAGTAAGGGGGAGGAGGGACGTGTCCACGTAGTAAGGGGGAGGAGGGACGTGTCCACGTACTAAGGGGGAGGAGGGACGTGTCCACGTAGTAAGGGGGAGGAGGGACGTGTCCACGTAGTAAGGGGGAGGAGGGACGTGTCCACGTAGTAAGGGGGAGGAGGGACGTGTCCACGTAGTAAGGGGGAGGAGGGACGTGTCCACGTAGTAAGGGGGAGGAGGGACGTGTCCACGTAGTAAGGGGGAGGAGGGACGTGTCCACGTAGTAAGGGGGAGGAGGGACGTGTCCACGTAGTAAGGGGGAGGAGGGACGTGTCCACGTAGTAAGGGGGAGGAGGGACGTGTCCACGTAGTAAGGGGGAGGAGGGACGTGTCCACGTAGTAAGGGGGAGGAGGGACGTGTCCACGTAGTAAGGGGGAGGAGGGACGTGTCCACGTAGTAAGGGGGAGGAGGGACGTGTCCACGTAGTAAGGGGGAGGAGGGACGTGTCCACGTAGTAAGGGGGAGGAGGGACGTGTCCACGTAGTAAGGGGGAGGAGGGACGTGTCCACGTAGTAAGGGGGAGGAGGGACGTGTCCACGTAGTAAGGGGGAGGAGGGACGTGTCCACGTAGTAAGGGGGAGGAGGGACGTGTCCACGTAGTAAGGGGGAGGAGGGACGTGTCCACGTAGTAAGGGGAGGAGGGACGTGTCCACGTAGTAAGGGGGAGGAGGGACGTGTCCACGTAGTAAGGGGGAGGAGGGACGTGTCCACGTAGTAAGGGGAGGAGGGACGTGTCCACGTAGTAAGGGGGAGGAGGGACGTGTCCACGTAGTAAGGGGGAGGAGGGACGTGTCCACGTAGTAAGGGGGAGGAGGGACGTGTCCACGTAGTAAGTGGGAGGAGGGACGTGTCCACGTAGTAAGGGGGAGGAGGGACGTGTCCACGTAGTAAGGGGGAGGAGGGACGTGTCCACGTAGTAGTGGGGAGGAGGGACGTGTCCACGTAGTAAGGAGGAGGAGGGATGTGTCCACGTAGTAGTGGGGAGGAGGGACGTGTCCACGTAGTAGTGGGGAGGAGGGACGTGTCCACGTAGTAAGGAGGAGGAGGGACGTGTCCACGTAGTAAGGGGGAGGAGGGACGTGTCCACGTAGTAAGGGGGAGGAGGGACGTGCCCACGTAGTAGTGGGGAGGAGGAGGGACATGTCCACGTAGTAAGGGGAGGAGGGACATGTCCACGTAGTAAGGAGGAGGAGGAGGGGCGTGTCCACGTAGTAGTGGGGAGGAGGGACGTGTCCACGTAGTAAGGAGGAGGAGGAGGGGCGTGTCCACGTAGTAGTGGGGAGGAGGAGGGACGTGTCCACGTAGTAAGGGGGAGGAGGGACGTGTCCACGTAGTAAGGGGGAGGAGGAGGGACGTGTCCACGAAGTAAGGGGGAGGAGGAGGGACATGTCCACGTAGTAAGGAGGAGGAGGAGGGACATGTCCAGGTACAGTAGTAAGGGAAGGAGAGAGTTACCCAGATGGTCAAAGGAGTGAGGGTCGCCGCTGACGACGTCGGGGTTATAGAAGCGTCGCAGGATGGTGCTGAGGGTACGTCGGTCTCTCTCGTCCGTCACCTTCCCGCCGTAGTTACACTCCGCCGTCAGGTACTGCAGCGCCTCCCACGGGATCTCCTGCAGGACATCCACACGTCAAGACAGTTCTTCTGGCGAGTATGTGCATGCCATTCTCTCTTCTCTTCAAGGGATCTTTTATTTTGGCTTATTTATTATCACATATTATTTACAAATCACCGAGATGCGATACAATTAGTTAACCGTTCTAATGAACAATTCATGATTGATGACACCATACTGTACATATATTCAGTCATCCCTTAGTTATTACTAAAGTCAATACTATTTATTATATATCCGTCATATTGGATTTTTATTTAATATCATGCCAACAAACTGGTGTCAAGCCAATAAACATGCAAATAAACTTACTGGCGTTCCAACGTAAGATCAAGTAAGTAAGTAAGTAATTATCAAAAGAAGGCACCAAACCGGGAAGGCTATGTAGCACCATCAAATACGCAAAATAATCAGAGGGCGCTAAATATCACCAAGGATGCCAATACGAGAACAAAAACGCATAAGGCGAACGATATCAAAAGTATCCGAGTCACCAAGAATTCTATCGAGGGACAGGTGACCGCGAGGGGCGGTCGGAAAGCAAGACACACGCTCGTCCTGGAAGTCAGGACATTCAAGAAGGACATGCACGACCGTAAGAGGGACAATGCAACTAGGACAATAAGGAGCAGGGCGGCGCTCCATCAAGTGACCATGGGTTAAGCGAGTATGGCCAATACGCAACCTCGCTAGAGCTGTTTCCCACCGCCGGTTACGGTGGAAGGAGGACGGCCACGAGGAAACACAACATTTAAGAGTACGTAGCTTGTTACCAGTAACAGACAACCAAGAAGCCTGCCAACGGGTAAGGACTGAGGAATGGATAACCGGGTAAAAGTCGGAATACGGAATGCCTTTACGAGAGATGGGACAAGAGCGGACAGCTTCCTTAGCGGCAGCATCCGCACGCTCATTTAAAGACACGCCAATATGGCTGGGAACCCAACAAAACTCAACCGACTTAAATTTACTGTGAACGAGAAACAGCCAATGCTGGATCTCGACAACTACCGGATGAACTGGATTAAAGCACCCGAGAGCCATGAGGGCACTACGAGAGTCAACAACAACCACAAAGGAAGACTGACAACGAGAAAGCAGGAGACGAAGAGCATAGAGAATAGCATAAAGTTCCGCTGTAAAGATGCTAGTCTCCGGAGGCAAGCGACACATATAAGTGCGATCAGGAAAAACAACAGAGTAGCCAACACCGTCCGCTGACTTAGACCCATCGGTGAAGACAGAAACGGAGCGGGAGTGAGAAGAAAAGTGCTCGAGGAAAAGGCGTTTTAGAACTGTAGGAGGGGTAAAAGCTTTAGTGATACGAGTCAAGGATGTACAAAACCGCGGAAGAGGGACCCTCCACGGGGGCAAAGAAGGAACAACACGAGGAGAAACATCAGAAATACGAACGGAAAGAGAATCCTGCAGGCGAGATAACCGGACAGAAAGAGGGAGGTGGTGAAGAGGAACAGGAACCGCAGGAGGGGTAAAAGTTAAAGCACGACAGAGACGAGAGGAAGGATGTTGCAAGGACCGCGCAAGATAGCGAAGACAGTAGCGATCACGGCGGTCCTGGAGAGACAGGAAGCCAGTGTCAACATACAAGCTAAGGACGGGAGTCGAACGAAAGGCACCAGAACTGAGGCGCAACCCAGTATGGTGCAAAGCATCAAGACGGCGAAGAGTAGAAGAAAGCAGACGAGTAAGCAGGGCAACCATAATCGAGCTTAGACAGGACGAGAGAGGAATGTAAAGCAAGGAGAGTGCGCCTATCTGCCCCCCAAGAAGTATGGGACAAGACCCGAAGGAGGGTAAGGGACTTAGAGCACTCAACACGGAGGTAAGAGATATGGGGAGACCAAGACAAACGAGTGTCAAGGAATAACCCCAAAAGCTTCGCGGAATCTTTGTATTCAAGGGGATGACCATAAAGTGACAAAGAGGGACGAAGAACAACCCGTTTCCGCGTAAAAGTCATGGCACAAGTCTTAGAAGTAGAGAACTTGAAGCCATGACCTGTGGCCCAAGACGACACGGCATCAATCGCAAGTTGAAGCCGGCGTTGAAGGAGAGGCGAATCATCACCCTGACAACAAAGGGTAAGATCATCGACATAGAGAGCGGAGAAGACACCAGAAGGAAGAGAGGAAAGAAGACCATTGAGGGCAACCAGAAAAAGAGTAGTGCTCAGAACACTACCCTGGGGCACACCTTCGTATTGCTGAAAAGAGGGAGAGAGAGCGGTACCAAGGCGCACCCGAAAGGAACGACGAGAGAGGAAGCTGCGGAGAAAGAGAGGGAGATGACCACGAAGGCCAAAAGAATGAAGTTGAGATAGGATATGATAACGCCAAGTGGTGTCGTAAGCCTTTTCTAGGTCAAAAAGGACGGCAACAACGGAGGTCTTCGCAGCAAAAGCAGTACGAATATAGACCTCCAAGTTCACCAGGACATCTGTCGTGCTGCGGCACTTGCGGAAACCAAATTGAGAAGGGGAGAGGAGGTGATGGTGTTCCAGGAACCACATCAGACGAACGTTAACCATACGTTCAAAGAGTTTGCAGACACAACTTGTGAGAGCAATAGGGCGAAAGTCCTTAGGGGAAGTACCCAGAGACCCCGGTTTGCGAACAGGGAGGACAACGGCATCGAGCCAGTCCTCAGGGACTGACGACGACTCCCAGATCCGATTATACAGACTCGGTAAATACTGAGACGTGCTCGGAGGGAGATGGCGAAGCATCTCATAATGAATACCATCGGAGCCCGCCGCCGTAGAACCGCAGAGGGCCAGGGCAGAACGAAGTTCAGAGAGAGAGAAGGGATCATTATAGGGAAGCTGAAGATGAGTGCAGAAATCTAAAGGACGAGACTCAAGGACAGGTTTACGAAGAAGGAAAGATTGGGGAAGATGAAGACCAGAGCTAACAGAAGAAAAGTGGGAACCCAGTTCGGAAGCGACCTGCAACGGGTCCGCCACAAGAGTATCATGGAGGTGAAGGACCGGTGAAACATCGGGAACGAACTTACCCGCTATCTTGCGGATACGCTTCCAGATCTGGGCCAGAGGGGTTTCGGACGTAATTGTCGAGACATAAGATGCCCAACATTCACGTTTAGCCGTACGGATGGCCCTACGGGCCACCGCACTCGCTTTCCGAAAGAAAAGAAAAGAATCGGTCGTCTGCCTACGGCGGTGCTTCTTCCAGGCTGCACGCTTACAGCGGACAGCCCGAGCACAGTCCGCATTCCACCAGGGAACGCACTTCCGTGGACCCCGAGAGGAAGAGCGAGGAATAGAGCGGAGGGCAGCGTCGAAGACAGTGTCATGAAAAAGGAGGAGAGCGCGAGAGAGGGGCAGAAGGGAGAGGTCAGAGAGAGTAGCACTGAGGGAAAATAGGGTCCAGTCCGCCTTAGCAAACTGCCACCTAGGGAAAGAGAGGGAAGGGCGAAAAGAGAAAAAGGAAACAAGGATGGGGAAATGATCACTTCCATGGAGGTCATCAAGAACCTGCCATGTGAAATCTAAGTAAAGAGAAGAAGAGCAGAGAGAAAGATCAAGACAAGAAAGGGTGCGAGTTCGAGAGTCCAAATGAGTGGGCTCACCAGAATTCAGAAGAGACAGGGAAGAAGAGAGGAGAAACGGCTCAAGGAGGCGACCCCGGGTATTCGTCAGAACGTCACCCCAAAGAGAATGACGACAATTGAAGTCACCCAGCAGGAGCACAGGCTCCGGCAAGGAGTCTAGGAGGTGTTTCAAATCAGGAAGAGAGAGCGGGACACTCGGGGGGAGATAAATGGAACAAACTGTGTACCATTTCCCCACAAAGATACGAGCAGCAGAACAATGGAGAGGCGAAGGAAAAAGTAAAGGAACAAAGGGAACATCAGCCCGAATCAAGAGAGCAGAAGAATTAGAAGCCCCAGCAATGGCTGGGGGGGGGAGAGAAAGGAATAGCCACGAAAACGACCAGGACGAGCACCAAGCATCGGCTCCTGGAGACAGACACAAAGGGGCGAAAACCGCGAAACCAGAAGTTGGAGTTCGAGGAAATTGGCGTAATAACCTCGAACGTTCCATTGAAGAATGGACAACGACGAGAAGAGAAAGGACAAAAACAGAGAACAAGGAAGAAACAAAGGCGAAAGACCAACAGAGCACGTTAAAGAATATCAGGGTCGGGATCAGGGTCAGCAAAGTCAGGGTTAGGGGGCATGGGTAAACTGAGCAAAGACGGAGGGAAGGAAACGGGAGAACAGATCAGAGGTGGGCGGGCAGGGTCCGGAGGAGGAGGAGGAGGAGGAGGAGGAGACAACGGAGAGGAGCAGTCAAGGACAGCAGCAGGAAGAGGGGGAGTAGAAAGAGAGGAGCGCACCCCAGCAAGAGCAGCAACCGAAAGGGAAGCAGGGGCCAAAGAAACCTCCATAGCAGGAACAGGGGGCGCAAGCACTGAAACGGGAGTGGAAGGAGCAACAGAGCCAGAAGGAGGAGCTGAGGAAGAAAGCGAAGCCTTCTTACCCGCCGGGGAAGAGGAAGGAGAGGAGCCAGGCTTACGCTTCTGACTTAAAGAGACCGGTGTCCCAGCAACTACGTACCGGGCAACGGATTCCAGTGTCTCAACAGGAGAAGCCGAACGAGAGCACACACGACGGCCGTTAGGAGAGCGATGGACATCCGCCCGCACCGACAGGCGGCAGGGAGAGCCGATAGATGGAGGAAGAGGATGGGAAGGAGGATCGGAGGGGGACGAGGAAGGAGACACAGAAGACACGACAGACCGGGTAGAAGGAAGGGGAACCCCAGACAGAGGACCAGGAGGAGGATCCTTCGGGAGAGAACCCAAAGGGTCAGAGGAGGGGGCAGTGGGCGCATCAGGGTCCAAGGCCTGGAAACGGTTGTGAGTCTGAGGAAGGCGGGAAGGACGAGGAGAGGAAGAGCGCAACACGCGAGCATAAGAGATATTAGCATAAGGCGGGAGCCGGCGAACCTGGCGCCTCGCCTCAGGAAAAGATAAACGCTCCCGGTGCTTCAAGTTGAGGACGGCTGCCTCAAGCTTGTAATGGACACACGCACGGGAGAAGGTAGGATGGGCCTCACCGCAGTTGAGGCAACGAGCCTGGGGAGAAGCGCACTCCGACTTAGAGTGACCTTCGCCACCACACAAAGGACAGAGAGAGACAGTCCCGGAGCAGCGGAGGGCACCATGCCCAAACCTCCAGCACTTGTTGCAGAGCCGAGGAGAAGGAATGTACTCCTGGACAGAGCACCTGGCACCAGCAAGAATGACAGAGGGTGGAAGGGTCCTACCATCAAAGGTAATCTTCACAACCCGGAGGGGTTGACGGCGACTACCACGAGGGGGACGAGTAAACGTGTCCACCTGGAGAATAGAATGGCCCTGGGCAGCGAGGATATGTCGAATATCGTCGTGGCAGTCGCGTAGGTCCCGAACACCGGTCGCAACATGGGGCGGGAGCAAAATAGTGCCAACACTGGCATTCAACTGAACGTTCTTCGAGACCCGAACGGGGGTCTCGCCAAGGCAGGATAAGGCAGCCAAGCGGGAAGCAGCATCCTGAGAAGGAGCAGCAACGACACGCGTACCGAGACGAGTGGGGTTAAAAGTAATGGAGGCATCCACGGAATCAATGAGATGTCGATGAAGGGAGAAATCGTCAGGAGGCGCAGAATCAAGAGGGAGGAGATCAAAATATTTGGCCCACGAAGCGGGACCAAACAAGGCTTGATAGGTAGCAGAACTGGAAGGAATCGAGCGAGGGCGGCCGTGACGAGAACGGCGGTGAGAACCCCCAGAGAGAGAGGGGTTAAAAGGCGCAGTAGTTACAACTAGAGAAGGACGTAAGATCAAGTTACTATACTCGTAAATATTCACAAATAAAGATAAATATATTATCTGTCTTCACAACCGTTTTTTCATATTGATTGTTGCACATTTCAAGATCTGAATAAGAGGCAAGGCTGGGCCCTGGAGGGAGCGTTGGGAAGGCTGGGCCCTGGAGGGAGCGTTGGGAAGGCTGGGCCCTTGAGGGAGCGTTGGGAAGGCTGGGCCCTGGAGGGAGCGTTGGGAAGGCTGGGCCCTGGAGGGAGCGTTGGGAAGGCTGGGCCCTGGAGGGAGCGTTGGGAAGGCTGGGCCCTGGAGGGAGCGTTGGGAAGGCTGGGCCCTTGAGGGAGCGAAGGAGTAAAGCGAAGCCCTTGTATTACCGTTGGGAAGACGGGTCCCTCGAGCAAGCCTTAGTAAGGCGAGGCCTTTGAGCAAGTGTTGATGAGGTAGGACCTCTTGAGCGACCATTGAGGGAATATTGGTACTGCGTGCTCCTCAACGGCCAGTGGTACTCTTCACAAAAAAGGACACCATAGGGAAATGTTCATTATCACAAATATTTCACCTACGATAAAAACTACAGAAAAGCAAAATAATAAAATATAAATTGGGTGTGTCGTATCCTCATATCCCGAACGTAAGGCAATAAGCAAGTGTGGAAACCCAGAGGCCACAAGCACACTGTGGCTGTGTGTAGTCATCTAGCAAGATCAGAAATAGTCAGATATATTTGAGAAAAGGGATGGGGTAGGGGGGCAGAGGGTGTCTTGGGGCAGAGGGTGTCTTGGGGCAGCGGGTGGTGACTGGAGGCACGCAGCCGCTGGCCTAAGATGACCCAGAGACGTGTACCACACATGCACAGTGGTCAGTGCAGGTCATGCGGGTGCTGGCTCTTCTACTTAACACACAGGAAATCTGTAGAGCACAAAACAATAGATAAATAGCGCGCGGTAAGAAGGCATTATATAAGAGTCCCAACGTGTGCAAGTTGGGGGACATTTGCTCACCATAGTTGAAACAAGGATGCAGCCAGAGGGAGTAAGGATAACATTTATATTGTGTGTGAAAGCGTACATATTTATGCATACGCCCTGTACGATTTGTTTATGGCTAGCATGTGTTGCGTGCTCTTGTGGTGACCATATAACATTTGCACGCTCGCTAATATTATCTAAACGTTTATGCGTGGAGACGAACGGAGACAACAGCAGGAGCTAGGGCCAGATTCACGAAAGTACTTACGCAAGCACTTACGAACCTGTACATCTTCTCAATCTTTGGCGGCTTTGTTTCCAATTATTAAACAGTTAATGAGCTCGGAAGCACCAGGAGGCTGTGTATAACAATAACAACAGTTGATTGGCAAGTTTTCACGCTTGTAAACTGTTTAATAAATGTAACCAAAGCCGTCAAAGATTGAGGAAAGATGTACACGTTCGTAAGTATTTGCGTAAGTGCTTTCGTGAATCTGGCCCCAGGGCAGCAACAGTGTGCTCAAGCTAAGCCACACGTGAGGCGACAAGTGTTAGTAAGTGCTTCTAGTACTGCACGCAGTACTAGAAGCTTCTAGTACTGCACGCAGTACTAGAAGCACTACAAATATATCTATATGAGGATACCATTAGTACAGTCGTGTTCGTTCTCTACTCATAATCAAGATTTCTGGGTTCAAATCCTGGGCGGGACAGATATAGTTAGTCACATTTCCTATCACCTAATGAGCCTGTTCACCCAGCAATATGTAGGTACCCAGGAGTCAGTCAGCTTGTTGTGGGGTTGCTGCTGCTGTTGTTGTTGTTGTTGTTTTAGATTTAGCTACTTAGAACAAAATGTCCATGTAGCACAGGCTATAGTGAGCCCGTAATTGAGTTTGGTTACTCGGGACAACCTTGTTACTGTGATATTTGGGTCAAGGTACCACTTTGTGGGGGAGGATGCAATCCCACGATGTGGGGTTGCATCCTGGGAAGGGGGGCAGTAATTGGACCTTGGGTGGTACTTCTGTATAAGCCTAACATGTATAAATACACTGGCGGCATGTCCCCTAATACAATGAATTAAATTATATGCAGTACGCAGTAGTGCGGACATCTTCTCTGAAACAAAGTATTACTTAATAAAGTTCTGTACTATTCTCCAAAATATTGGCCACAATTATATTCATAGTATAATCTGCATGAAAGATATGAGCCACGTGTGGCAGCGCGACACCGTACCACGTAAGATGCTAGCAGGTTGCGAAGTTGCTGAGCAGAAATCCTGAGATCGGTATCGGAGAAGGAGTAGGGAACGTTCCACCCGAGGGGGCCGAAGAGCCGCCGCTCCTGCACGACGGCGTGGAAGAAGCAGAGGGAGAACACCAGGCGGCGGAATCTTTCAGAAGATCCCGGCCCCTGCAGGAAGTCTGGCTCCGAGAGGGGGTCCGCTAGGTACAGTCTGCAGGAGACGAGGGAGAGGGTTAGGCGGGAGGCTGGTGGTGAACACACCCGTTTACTTTAATGTCTGGCCAGGACGAACTCGGGTAAGCAATTATCAGAAGAAGAGGATCTCGGGTAGTGGTTTAATAGTTTAAGAATATTATCCTCTTGTTCTTTAATGCTAATTATAAAAGATGACATCGCTCAGCTTCATGAAGAATGAAGTCAATGGGAATAACCGGTAAAGTAGGACGCTGGATACTCAGTTTTCTGTCAAACAGGACTCAGCGAGTAACTGTCAACTATATAAAATCTAGTCCAAGTGCAGTGAAAAGCTCTGTACCTCAGGGTACAGTCCTTGCACCGCTGCTTTTCCTTATTCTCATATCAGATATAGACAAAAATACAAGTCACAGCTTCGTATCATCCTTTGCAGATGACACAAAATCAGTATGAAAATTACCTCGGCTGAGGACATTGAAAAACTTCAAGCTGATATTAATAAAGTTTTCGACTGGGCATCAGAAAATAACATGATGTTTAACAGTGATAAATTCCAGGTACTCAGGTACGGTAAAAATGAGGACCTTAAACATAATACAGAGTACAAAACACAATCAAATGTACCCATAGTAGGAAAACAGCATGTAAAGGATTTGGGAATAATAATGTCTGACGACCTAACGTTTAAGGAGCATAACCAAGCAAATATTGCGACAGCCAGAAAAATGATAGGATGGATTACGAGAACTTTCAAATCCAGGGATCCCATCACAATGGTTGTACTCTTCAAGTCACTTGTGTTGTCCCGTCTTGAGTACTGCTCAGTACTCACTTCCCCCTTCAGAGCAGGAGAGATTGCTGAAATAGAGGGAATACAGAGAACATATACGGCACGCATAGACGCAATAAAGCACCTAAATTATTGGGATCGTCTCAAAGCCCTCCAAATGTACTCACTAGAAAGAAGACGAGAGAGATATCAAATAATATACACCTGGAAGATACTGGAGGGCCAAGTACCAAATCTACACAGTAAAATAACAACGTACTGGAGTGAACGACATGGAAGAAAATGTAGAATAGAACCAATGAAGAGCAGAGGTGCCATAGGCACAATCAGAGAACACTGTATAAACATCAGAGGTCCGCGGTTGTTCAACGTCCTCCCAGCAAGCATAAGAAATATTGCCGGAACAACCGTGGACATTTTCAAGAGGAAACTAGATTTATTCCTCCAAGGAGTGCCGGACCAACCAGGCTGTGGTGGGTATGTGGGCCTGCGGGCCGCTCCAAGCAACAGCCTGGTGGACCAAACTCTCACAAGTCGAGCCTGGCCTCGGGCCGGGCTTGGGGAGTAGAAGAACTCCCAGAACCCCATCAACCAGGTATCACTGCTTTTAGAAGACACCCACCTATCCAGATGTGCCGTCTACATCACACTGACATAAATAAGATCAACACTCGACAAAGCAGAATATCTCAATTGGTCCCTGAGTGAGGCTTTGAAAGTGGCGAAAGTAAGTGCTTACAGGCACTCAGCAGTATGAAGCAAGAGATGGGTTTGAGTGGGGGCCACGGAGATAGGCACGTCCTATTTGGGGGGCAGTTAGATGCCTTGGGAACCTTCTCGTTTAAGGCTAACCCATAGTACAGTGTACAGAGTGTCCGCCTACGATGTCAGCGGGCGGGTGTTCCAGTTCCAGGCATTAGTGCCCAATGTGGATGAATATATATAACCTAAACATAACTAAGTCAATAATTCATGTTCATAATATAACCTACAATGTCCCCTGAAGGAGGGGACAACCTGTCCCCTCCCTCAGGCAACACTACTCAAGTACATTTTGTTTGGTAACATTACAGATGACAGACACACCTCTTGAGGTTGGCCCTGAGCCCCTTGGGAGGCTCCGTGACCATCTTGATGCTGGACTGTAAGACGGACACGGGGAAGTGCGCCGACGGGTAGCTGGTGAGCCACAGCCGGAAGTCAGAGTGGGTCGTCTCTGGGTTGAGGTCCTCACACATCTGTAATGATGCGGAGGTTGTAAGGATGGAGGCTCCGAGGGCAGACACTGTCACCCGTATAATTATGCCTATCGAAGTCAACAAAAATATTGAAATCAGAGAGAGAATATGTATAGAAGCCATTAACACTGACCTTCTCGAGGGATGGCATGAAGGACTTGGCCAGGTGACAGTTCTGGAGGAGGACCCAGGTGCCTATCCTCGCTCCTTCTTCGATGAGGCGCTTCGCCACGGGTCCCTGGCCTTGCCCCAGCGACACGCTCTGCAGTCGGTCTCCTCCCATCCCCTGCCACAACCAACCGTCACCAGGAAAACCACACATGAGCTTTCACCCACGGAGACTGCACTCACGAAGTCCATCAGGTGTTTCATTGGGTTTATCTGGTGCTAAAGTCACACTACACCCCGCCTCTCTACCACAACTCACAGGGTACCACAACTACCACCCGCCTCTCTACCACAACTCACAAGGTACCACACAACTACTTTACCTGATCCTCTGCAAACTTGAGGAGGAGATTGGTCGGGTCTGCCCCCGGGGTGAGAAGGAAGATGAGGGGCAGGCAGCAGTTGGAGTCGGTGAAGGTGCGGGCCAGGTCGAAGGGCGGCGGCTCTATGTAAGCCTTCCCCAGCAGGTCTGGTGGGTCAGGGGGGTGTAGAGGTGATAACATATATTTTCCCTGTTGGCTATCATCTAACACTGTATTCCCTTACACACATGACTTACCGGCCACGTAGTCTTGCACCGCCGCCACCACCTTGTCCGCGCGGAGGCACCGAAGAACACACAGCAGCTGCATACGGCTCAGCTCTTCGTCCCCTTCGCACGGGATGGTCTCCTTATGAGGGCTCTCCGACTCAAACACCTGCCGCCACTCCTGCAGGTGCCGCGGGAACTCCTTCACTAAGTGCTGGGAAGGAGGAAAACTGAGGTAATTACCAAGGATCTCTCTCAGAGCCTAACCTCAAGGACCTATAGTGAAACATTCAACCTGTCCGCTCAAAGTGCAAAGTAACACAGCACTTTTAACGGCATCTACCAAACCGTCAACATTACATGGTTGTCGTAAAGGTTAAAGCCCCGTGATACTAACATTTCCCAGTCAGTCATTGACCTCCATATCTTAAGTGGGCAGCTTAGGCGCCAGCGTTTCTGGCTAGGCAAAACAGTTGCATATTTACGGTGTCAAATCGTGAGAAACAACGCAAATGATTTTTTTATTTAATGTAATACAAAATTGGAGGTTGTGAAGTAGTAGCTGTACTTGTCATGGTGACTCGTCTGGGAGTCGGTAACAATTCCTTTAATTACAAAAATATTTATAATTGTAACTATATAATTGAACATTTAACATGGCTGGAGCTACATATACAGACACTAGGGGGGGGGGGGGTAACCGGCTGCACCCGGGTCTCTCTCATTCCTTCCTCTCTTCCCCTAGCTCTCCTCTTTCTTTCCCTAACACCCCTCCCCCCCCCACTTCCCATGGTCACTATACTCCCAGGGGTATTGTGATTGACACAATATCACCATCTTCCACACTGTAACCATCTTATCTACTCACAACCATCATTTCTGTAACTGTCTTCACTACACACAACCTGCAACAATGTGTAACTCTCTTCACTACACATGAGCATCCTCATCACTGCAACCATCTTCACTAAATGCTGTCTTCATCTCCGTAACCATCATTGGTACCCGGGCACCACCGGGTTCCCCATCCACAACCTCCCTACCCTTCACCACTTTCCTTACACGTCATAGCTTTCCTCACCCCTCACTACCTTCCCTACCCTTCACCACCATCACTCTCCTTCACTACCTTCCCTACCCTTCACCACCATCACTCTCCTTCACTACCTTCCCTACCCTTCACCACCATCACTCTCCTTCACTACCATCCCTACCCTTCACCACCATCACTCTCCTTCACTACCTTCCCTACCCTTCACCACCATCACTCTCCTTCACTACCATCCCTACCCTTCACCACCATCACTCTCCTTCACTACCTTCCCTACCCTTCACCATCATCACTCTCCTTCACTACCATCCCTACCCTTCACCACCATCACTCTCCTTCACTACCACCCCTACCCTTCATCATCCCTACGCTTCACTACACACAATATTCACCACACACACCACCACCATCACAAGGTTGTTACAGCGTTACACCAAAGTAACACTTGTACAAATAACGTGTTTGTTGGAGGGATATAATCCATGTACTGGAAAAAAAGATAGAAGGTAATACCTTTAATGAGGGCAGACAGCAGAGCCATTGAAACTGGAGCCAGGTGGTCTCTGGGAGCCAGGCAGGGGCGGGGTTGGGGGCGGGGTCGTGAGCCAGAGCCACGCCCCCCGTCAGCAGGAAGAGCCACTCACTGTCCACCACTTTATTCTCAGACCGTTGTAGGTTAACACACACCAGGAAGGAGAACACCAACTTGTCCTGACGAAGCACACGCCGCATGGTTCTTCACGTTAATGTCAACCCTGGTGCTGGCAGTACTAAAGTGTCACATTATTAAAAAGTGAGAAATTCATGTACATTTGGTAATAATGTTCTAGCGCGTTAGATACTTCACAGTTGGCAGGCAGTTGACAACACTTTGACGGCTGCCAGTATGGTCACATAAGTGGTCATACACTTCAAAGTTTCGTGTACGTACATTAATGAAGGAAGAATATATAATGTAGTGACCCAGAGGGAAAACGATTGCTATGTCTTCGTTTCTATCTGGAAGCAGAGGAACTCCAAGAGATTTATAACTTAAGCACCTAACCATCCAAGTGGTTGGGCACCATTCCATTCCCCCGTCCCATCCCAAATCCTTATCCTGATCTCTTCCAATTGCTATATAGTCGTAATGGCTTGGCGCTTCCTCTTCATAGTTTCCTCGCTATATTCACCAATGTTTAACTTTTAATCTATAAATATCTAATAAAGCAAAAGAAAATAACATGGTTACTGCATTAAAGGGGACCCAAAAATCCCCTCTAATACGTTGTGTGTTTTCCTCTGGAAGCTATGGGTCCCCCTTCTTCCAGCCAGAGGTGGTGCCCCCTTCCTTATTTTTAATCAATTTTCTATGATATATCATTTTAATTAAAAATAAATATTATAGTTTGTATTGAGAGCTTGGAGGTGGTGTTGCCTGGCAACCACAAAACACACCACCACTACCAACCTTCTCAAACAGTCCTGTACACACGTTGTGGTAGAGACTGAGGGTGAAGTGGTTCCTGAGGGCGTTGAGGCGATTCAGAAGCTCGCTCGCCTTCTCAGAGTTGTCAATGGAGTTGGAGAAAAGGTTCACGAACCAGTTTAGGGAGAACTGGTACATGGGGTCGAGGGCGGCCAGGTCCCTCAAGGTGAAGAACAGGATGGAGGCGGTTATGGCCACTGGACGGTATCCCAGACGAGTGGCGTTGATCTGGACAACACAGTATGGGTTAATGACCGAGGCTCTTGTGGATCTGACCAGCATAGTATGGTTAACTGATCAGACCAACACAGTATGATTAACTGATCAGACCAACACAGAATGATTAATAACCGAGGATGATTGGTTGATTAGGACAAAAGAGTATGATTAACTGATCAGACCAGCAGAGTATGATTAATAACCGAGAATTTCATTGGCAATCTTCGTTATCCCCCCCCCATCCCCCACCCGTCTCCAGTCATTACCTCCCTGGTCTCCTAGCTCTAACCCACGAGTGATGCTGACCTTCTTCTCCGTCTCTTCAGCAATGGTCTGCTTCTCCTGCGTCTCCTTCACCAGTCTGTTGGCATCACTGAGGATGTTGATGGCCGTCTCGTCCTCCAGGATGCTGCCCTTGGACGACGAAAGTGTTGACAGGATCCTGTCTTCCAGCTCCTTAAGGTTCCTGGAGGGTGACAATACGATGGATGGGGGGTGGGTGGGTGGGTGGGTGGGTGTGTGTGTGTGTGTGTGTGTGTGTGTGTGTGTGTGTGTGTGTGTGTGTGTGTGTGTGTGTGTGTGTGTGTGTGTGTGTGCGCGCGCGCGCGCGGGCATTTGATAAGGTTCCGAGTAAAAGTGATAACTTATTTGTGTTTAACATAGTAACGTACTGAGGAGATATGTCTTGTACTGAGCATGGATGTATTAAAGGCAACACGCAGGGTCAGTATTGGGTCTGGGTGTCTTAAACTGTGCATAAAGAGAGACTAAGAGGAAACAAAGGCCAACTCAGAACATTTGCCAATGTTACTGCGACAAGTAACAAATATAATCAAAGGACGGCTTCGAGGCATCGAGATCTTTGCCTTAGCAAAACAAGATGTGAAAATATACAAGACTGGGTATTAGACTTTTTGAGGCAATACTGTAAGTTTTGGTGACCAAGAAGCTGAACACAAGAATGTTGTCTCCCAGAAGCCTGGGGCATGAGTACGACCTGAGGAGCCTCACTTCTTGTTCTGTGCGGTCTGCAGCATGAGTGTGACCCTCTCCTCCTCCAACTCGGGTTTCTCGTGCGCCACCACCAGGGCCAGCAGCTGGTCCTCGAGGCCGGCCCCAGTCAGAGCAAAGTTGACGAGGGTGACCTTGACCGACACTTCCGGCACGTAATTGGGATTGCTGAGCTTCGTCGTCAGGTACATCCTGAGGGAGGGGGGAAGTGGAGTTAAGGTACATCCTGAGAGAGGGGGAAGCGGCGTCAGGTACATCCTGAGAGAGGGGGAAGTGGAAGCAGGAACACCGCTCGTGTACTTACTAATCCACCATTTCCGAACCAGTAATTATATACCTATTTTATATAAATCTTAACTTATCTAAAGATAGGGTCACCCTACCCTATGTGGGGCTCACCCACATAGGGTAGGGTGAGCCCCACAAAGCCCTAGCACATATAGGGCTCACCCTATACATGGTAGGATCACTCTACCGCTAGTGGAGTCATCCTACACCTTGTGTGGGTCACCTTACCTCTAGTAAGGTTCCTTACACCTTGTGGGAAGTCACCCTGTACTTTTTCGGAGTCACTATTCCTATTGTGGGTCATCCTACCTTTAGTAAGGTTCCTTACACCTTGTGGGGGGGGGTCACCCTGTACTTTTTCGGAGTCACTATTCCTATTGTGGGTCATCCTACCCCTAGTGGGGTCATCCTACCACTAGTGGGGTCATCCTACCACTAGTGGGGTCATTCTACCCCTAGTGGGGTCATTCTACCCCTAGTGGGGTCATTCTACCCCTAGTGGGGGTCATCCTACACCTTGGGGGGGGGGTTTCACCCCACCCCCTACTGGGGTCCACCACACCTTGTGGGGTTAGCACAGAGACAATTCAGTAGGTGTGGTACCTGAAGTCGGCAGAGTACTCGATGGTGGCGTCCCCGAGCTTGATGCAGGTGGAGCCGCTCTGCTTGAAGGTCTGCTTCAGGAGCAGTGGCTCCAGGATGGGGTCCAGCTCCTCCCCAACGTTCTCCAGCAGCACCTACAACACACAAAGGAATAAGCATAATAAACTTATTATAATTAATACAAAACTTGGCCGCTCAGAAACAAGTTTGTCATAAAGGATTTTTTAAGATAGATTGTAAATCAAATACAAAAAATCATATATAAGGTAATGGAAAGCTTTGGCATTTCACGCAAAAAAAGTGAATTACAAAATATTTAACTTCAAGAAAACTGCTTGTTAGGAGGTCAAGATTATATACCCGATTACACTTGACTAGACAAAGAACCACAAGCTAAAAGACCAGTGAAGGCGAGATGATAAAGTGGATATTAACGGGCTATTCATGCCCGTGCCACCTCTTGGGTGGCCTAATCTTCATCAATCAATCGGTATTCCTTCATTCATGCACATTCATCTTTTATCTTTTAGCTCTAAATTCATTAAGCAATGAATCCCATTGCTTAATCTACTAAAACGTCAGCCTTTCAATTTGTTTCTGAAGGAAGTATCCTTCCCGGCCAGGATACGAACCCATGACAAAGACACTCGCCTGGCGTTGCGCGAGCGCTATGTCATGGGTTCGTATCCTGGCCGGGGAGGATTTACTGGGCGCAAATTCTTAACTGTAGCCTCTGTTTAACGCAACAGTAAAATGAGTACTTGGTTGTAACAACGATTCTTCGCGGCGGGGATCGTATTCCAGGGACCTGCCCGAAACGCTACGCGTACTAGTGGCTCTACAAGAATGTAACAACTCTTGTATATATCTAAAAAAAAAAAAGTAAGGCAATAAGTGTATGGCGCACTTGAAGGCAGCACCGAGGGCGTATCCCCAGCTGCGAGAGAACACCCGCGCGGGGATGAAAACTTTCCTGGTGTCTCGGGGGGTTCCCGCCTCATAACAGGTTTACCAGAGTTCATAAAGTACAATTTCATAGCTGACCTTGAGGTAACTAAATCTACGCACGCGGTGAAGACAACAAGTTTGGTATTAGTGGCCACCAGGAAGGAATGTATTAAATACGGACACCAGTCAAAGCCCAAGTCCTCGAGACCGGACGACGTATTGTCTGGTATTAAATGTGAAGATGACTTTTGTCAACCACTGTCTTACATCTTGGCTAAATCATTAAGAGTCGAGTCGGGACCCTGAATCGTGAAGGCTCCAATAAGCCTTGAAAAACACAAATTAAAAATGAATTCACAGAATGGTTTTACTCACAAAATAATGAATTAGGAAGGGCTAAATAATGAGTTATTGGGAATATCTTTATCTTTTTTATCTTTAATTTAATTCGGACATGGTTATATCAGACATAAAAGAGAGTCAAACATGCAAAGACGGTGGGAAACTCACATGGGCAGAAAATAAATTCAAATCAAGATTAGGAAAACAGATATGCAAATGGATGTTAGAGTTTAACCCCAACAAGTGTAAGGTAATAAAGTTGAGAAAGAAGACCCGATGAAATCCATAGAACTCCCTTCTGTTCTGTCCAAGTTTGGTGGCAAATTTATTATCTTTATCATAAGTTGTTATCTTTGGTTACTTAAACCTATATTATTATGAATGTGTTTATGTCCGAAGTTCCTGTTTGACACTAACTACTATTTAGATTGTCTCTGGTTCACCTCCTCACCTAATATGCTTATCGGATGGCGGAACCGCCATCACCAAGAGATGTCAAGACTTCCCCACCACCACCCTGAGTAGACAGAACTTCCCTGATACCACCTGGAGGGGGGGGGGGGGGGGAGCAACAAGTTCATCACTTACCCATCCGGCACACACCCCACACCTTCAGCTTGAGGCACTGTAAATATTAATATATACTGACACCCCCTACCCTGACCACACCTGTCCAGAACACACCTGTCCTGGCTTCTCCTGCCCTGACCACACTTGCCCAGATCACACCTGTCCTGGCTAGTCTTGTACTGGCCACCCTTGCCTAGACCACACCTGTCCTGGCTTCTCCTGCCCTGACCACACTTGCCCAGATCACACCTGTCCTGGCTAGTCTTGTACTGGCCACCCTTGCCTAGACCACACCTGTCCTGGCTTCTGCATTGGCCACACCTGCCTTCACTAAACATCGAGGTGGTCTTTGTTTTGAACAAAATAATAATCAACAAGCCGTGGTAGATACCGTGGCCAGCCAGTACCCACTGGCTGGCCCGGTTAGGTCACAGTGGTCGAGGTACTTACTGGCTGGCCAAACTGTATACAGTTCTCCAGGGTGCGAATGAAGTCTGGGTCAGAGAGCTTGATCACCTGAAGGGAGTTGTCCTTCTCCATGTTACGGATCCACTTGTTGGCTTGTCCTTGTGGGTCGATGAGCAGCGGCCAGCGTGTGGTGTTACTGTGGACACAAGATGAAGGGCGGGTTACGTCTGTCATGCAGTCAGTAGTACTGTAAGTACAACCACCTGTCGCTGGCTGTGGCGTCATCTGTTACTCATGGCAGTAAGTCATGAGTACTCCTTGGGCGCCACGGAGTAAGCGCCAGCTTTAATTGTATAATGACTTCCAATGACAGCAAAATATTATAAGGGAGAGCTCACAAATTCATTCACTCACACAATCCCAAAACATCAAAACTATAAATAAAAAAACTATAAAAAGTTCAAAGGTTTGCTACAATGATGGTTGCCCTTTTGCAGAGTGGTAGACGGATGAAAGAAGTGAGAAGGCGGTGGATGCCAAAACCATCACTATTTTCACGGTTATTGGCAGAGTACTGGGAACGTTGACCAGACCACACACTAGAAGGTGAAGGGACGACAACTGGCAGTACTGGGAAGATTGGACACCAAGAGCGTAGTTGTCATCTTGTAAGTACAATTAGGTAATCCCACACCCGCGTCCCTACCTGATGATGACGCCGTTGTCTATACTGAAGGGGTCGGTGGGCAGGCCGTTGAGAGTCCAGTCACGGATGGTGAGCGGGTCGCCCAGCACCTAGCAGGAGACGAGGCGTTACAGAGTAGGTAACTGCTACCACTACAGTGTTATACACATCACACGCCAACTCGCTGTACTAATATAACCATCCTGTGTATTATAATGTGCTCTGCTGACTGGATGCAACACCATACAACCCATCTCATATATGAAGAGGTCTGCCTGGCTCTATCACATTAATGAACAAATGATTCTAAGTTAGCCTAATGCCTGCCTCACCGTGCAACACCAGGCCGCCTGCGACCACCACAGTACTGACCGAGGCCAAGACAAATTCTCCGGAGCATGGCACGCCCCTCTCGCGACACTCCTGGAGCCAGCGGGTGGTCTGCTCCGTGCGGTACTCGGGTGTGAAGGCCCCCAGGTACGCTATCACCCCCGCCGCCAGCAACATGTCTCCTGCAGCAGTCAAATGCTCACTAACAAGGCTATTCTTATTTAATAGCATTTATCCTTTGGCAAGTTAATACAAACTATAAATATACGATCCATATGCTTATTGCAAGTGTGAGGAAGCTGTGAGGTAGATGTAAACAAGACTAGAGTAGGACTGGCGCACCTGTTAGGTAGATGTAGACCTGGGCCAGGTGGTGGGCGTTGTCCGTCCAGCGGGTCTTCTCCCCACCCAGGGCGGCCAGCAGCTGCTCCGCGCGGTCCTTCTTAATGCTACACAGTTCCACCTGAAGGACCAACCCTGCTTGTACTACTAACTAACTAACTAACTACCTCGCTCGCTCACTCACTCACTCACTCACTCACTCACTCACTCACTCACTCACTCACTCACTCACTCACTCACTCACTCACTCACTCACTCACTCACTCACTCACTCACTCATACTCTCACTCACTCACTCATACTCTCACTCACTCACTCACTCATACTCTCACTCACTCACTCTTACTCTCACTCACTCACTCTTACTCTCACTCACTCACTCACTCTTACTCTCACTCACTCACTCTTACTCTCACTCACTCACTCTTACTCTCACTCACTCACTCTTACTCTCACTCACTCACTCTTACTCTCACTCACTCTTACTCTCACTCACTCTCCCCTACACTCTCTCTCCCCTACACCCTCTCTCTCTCCCCTACCCCCTCTCTCTCTCTCTCCCCTACCCCCTCTCTCTCTCTCTCCCCTACCCCCTCTCTCTCTCTCTCCCCTACCCCCTCTCTCTCTCTCTCCCCTACCCCCTCTCTCTCTCTCTCCCCTACCCCCTCTCTCTCTCTCTCCCCTACCCCCTCTCTCTCTCTCTCCCCTACCCCCTCTCTCTCTCTCTCCCCCTACCCCCTCTCTCTCTCTCTCCCCTACCCCCTCTCTCTCTCTCTCCCCTACCCCCTCTCTCTCTCTCTCCCCTACCCCCTCTCTCTCTCTCTCCCCTACCCCCTCTCTCTCTCTCTCTCCCCTACCCCCTCTCTCTCTCTCTCTCTCTCTCTCTCCTACCAACTCCACAATATATAGTATTCATCAATATGACCTTAATAAGCAACTGGTAATATTTATCATCAAATGCATAATTAACTTAACCCGCCATTATGTCTTCATGACAAACAAATGGTAGTTATACTTCGTCACTAGTTCACTCATCATCTGTTATACCTCATCACTAGCTCACTCACCGTCTGCTATAGTTACACCTCATCACTAGCTCACTCACTCACCGTCTGCTATAGTTACACCTCATCACTAGCTCACTCACTCACCGTCTGCTATAGTTACACCTCATCACTAGCTCACTCACTCACCGTCTGCTATAGTTACACCTCATCACAAGCTCACTCACTCACCGTCTGCTATAGTTACACCTCATCACTAGCTCACTCACTGTCTGCTATAGTTACACCTCATCACTAGCTCACTCACTCACCGTCTGCTATAGTTACACCTCATCACTAGCTCACTCACTGTCTGCTATAGTTACACCTCATCACTAACTCACTGTCTGCTATAGTTACACCTCATCACTAGCTCACTCACCGTCTGCTATAGTTACACCTCATCACTAACTCACTGTCTGCTATAGTTACACCTCATCACTAGCTCACTCACCGTCTGCTATAGTTACACCTCATCACTAGCTCACTCACCGTCTGCTATAGTTACACCTCGCCACTAGCTCACTGTCTGCTATAGTTACACCTCATCACTAGCTCACTCACCGTCTGCTATAGTTACACCTCATCACTAGCTCACTCACCGTCTGCTATAGTTACACCTCGCCACTAGCTCACTGTCTGCTATAGTTACACCTCATCACTAGCTCACTGTCTGCTATAGTTACACCTCATCACTAACTCACTGTCTGCTATAGTTACACCTCACCACTAGCTCACTCACTGTCTGCTATAGTAACACCATCACTAGCTCACTCACCGTCTGCTATAGTTACACCTCGCCACTAGCTCACTGTCTGCTATAGTTACACCTCGCCACTAGCTCACTGTCTGCTATAGTTACACCTCATCACTAACTCACTGTCTGCTATAGTTACACCTCACCACTAGCTCACTCACTGTCTGCTATAGTAACACCATCACTAGCTCACTCACCGTCTGCTATAGTTACACCTCATCACTAACTCACTCACTGTCTGCTATAGTTACACCTCATCACTAGCTCACTCACCGTCTGCTATAGTTACACCTCATCACTAACTCACTCACTGTCTGCTATAGTTACACCTCACTAACTCATTCACTGTCTGCTATAGTAACACCATCACTAGCTCACTCACTGTCTGCTATAGTTACACCTCATCACTAACTCACTCACCGTCTGTTCAAGTTCAAGTTTCTCCTTCTTGACAGTATCGAGCTCCGCCTGGAGCCCAGCCAGCTCCTCCTGGACGCCCCTGAGCGCCTCTTGCTTCTTACGGAGCTCGCCCATGAGTCCCTGGTACTGGTGGTCAGCCCGCTGGAGAGCCTCCCTCTTGGGCGCCACCTTGCGGTCCACCTCCTCGTACCTCTCCATGGCCAGCACCCACTTGCACAGACCTGCACATACACACACACACACGCTCGTCTTAACTTAGTATACACACTCATGCCTGCCTCCTACATTTACTATTCAGCAATAATATTAAGGGTAAAGCTTAGTAAATCTACGAGGTAGGCATGTATGAATCTACGAGGTAGGCATGTATGAATCTACGAGGTAAACTCTTTAAACTTCGAGGTAAACTCGAATGAAACTACGAAGTAACTCGCATTGTTACAATTGAAACTACAAGGTAAAGTAGCATGAAACTATGAGGTAAGATGTTGTCAAGGAGGACGTGGGAGGTAGTAAAGATGTTAAGGAGCACCTGGGAGGTAGTGAAGATGTTGTTAAGGAGCACGTGGGAGGTAGTAAAGATGTTAAGGAGCACCTGGGAGGTAGTGAAGATGTTGTTAAGGAGCACGTGAGAGGTAGTGAAGATGTCGTCAAGGAGCACCTGGGAGGGAGTAAGACGTTGCGAGGACTTACTCTCGGCTGCCTTAGACGCCACCATAATCTTCTCGGGCTTGAACTCATGGTTGTCGCGGTACTTGGAGCGGATGGTCTGGATCGCCTTCTGGCTGATGTTCTCCTTGTCAAAGTTGAGCAGGTTCTCCTGGAGGAGGACATGACGCTTGTCACCTTGGCCTCCACTCAACCTCACGCTCAAGTTGTTATTATTTATTAGTGTCACTTCATGGTCTTCCACAGTCGGGGACTGGAAGCCTCTTAGACTTTTCGAACCCCTGTGAGCCTAGGCCAACAACTATTGATGACTTTCATGCGGGATACAACCCACAACAATGTTCTAACTCCCGGGTATTGTCATTCAGGACATTATTACTAGGCAGACAACGCAAACTAACGCTACATTCATTAGCATTAACGAAGGTACAATCCTTAGATGAGAAGGGACATTTCCATCAATATTTATGTTATAACTATTAGCAAGTATTTGATTTTTCCTTTCTCTGGCCCTTAACTCCTGGTTATTAAATACTTGTGCAAGCAAGCAAGTATACATGCATGGCGTCTTGTGCCGTGTATTTATTAAGCCAAATAATGCGTATTCATTATGTTTAACAAATAATTATAAACTCATAAAACACGGGGTAAACATTTATTCAAATCATTCGCATCTGTAGTTTCTAATTGATAACTTTATGCCTCAGTGTTAGTGGCCTTGAAAGAATGTAACACTCAAACCCCCAATGTACGGACTTTCTCAACCCTATGTACCTTCCTGTATATAAATAAATCAAATTAATAAATAAATATGGTTTTTATAGAGTGCAGATTTTCTCACTACTGAACGATCGAGTTAGTTAACTTATAACAATAATAAACAATATGTGGATCACATAACTGAGTGAGTGCAAGGCTTTGTAATGTAAGAGTTGTAGGATTATACAGAACTCCCATTATGGTGATATATCAATGAGAACAGCCGACTAGAGCATACATCTGTGAACACCCAGCGCATAGGTTCGAATCCTCTCTACGGCCCCTGTAGATTTTTTCTAGTTGTAGGTTTATTAATACAACTCTGAAGGATATGTTTCACTGTGACATAAGAGAACCGTACCTTAAACTTAATATCTCCCAGCAGCCTCTTGCTCACGGACCAGTACTCCTCCACCATCTTGCCCGTGCCTTGAGGGTCCGGAACGCGGTCCGGTTTCTCGTCCTGAGGAGGAAGTTACCGTGAGAGACGCTGACGAAGCATTACTGGGAGAAGGACGACTTGTGAGGAGGCGGGTGAATCCACGTTACACCATCAATGGCGTCCAAGAAATGTGTAAGTACTTCATTCAAAATGATGTACTGCCAGGAATCTTGGCGAAGTATCCAAAATTTGCTTACTGTAGGTGCAGCCTGCACATGACTGTCCAGTTGGGTGGGTGTGGAGCAAGACTAGTAACTGTGTGACTCACCATAGATGTAAAGTGCCTTGTATAGTGACTGTTGTGAGCCTGGAACGTGGTGTGGAGGTGTATATAACACCTCACTAACATTCTCCTTATCTCTACAGTGCTTTAACAATTTTATATATTAATTAATAATAATAAATAAATATTATTATTATAGTAACTAGGAAATAGAACAATGATTGATGAAGATTAAACCACCCAAGAGGTGGCACGGGGATGAATAGCCCGTAATAAAAAAAATATTACAAGTCAGTGGGCACGACAGACAGGAAGGATACAGGTGAGGTGAAAAACAATGTCTTTGGTTCATTAACATAGAAACAAGAGAAAAGTGCAGAAGGTTCAATCACATGCATTGATCAATGGGCCTTCTGAAGTTTCCTCATTCTTATGTTCATGAACTAAAGACATTGTTTCTCGCCTCACCTGCACCTTCCTGCCTATATGTCACCATCACTGAATTGTAATATTTATCCTTCTGAAGCTGTATTGATTAATACGAAAGTACGTAAGGAATTTCCCGTCTCATTTTCAACATCAACAATTGTAGTGTCTAACAATTTGCATTGGTTTCAACAGTCATTATTTTGTACTTGCATCCATAGTAAGAATAGGTGTTGTAGTGTAAGGGTGGGCGGGCGGCAGGTGTATGGGAGCAGGGATATGAACGATAAGGCGAGTGTACAACAAGTTGAGGCGGTACTGACAAGGAGGACGCAGACGGCCTCCATAACCAGCTTGACGCCGGCAGGAGGGTTCTTCATGGCTTTGATGAAGACGATATCATCTTGCTTGATGGTGTTGAGGGCGGCGGTGGCCTCCTCCAGCAGCGGCAGTGCCAGGTTCAGTTCGGCCTCACACTCCTTCCGGATCCCGTTGGCAGCCTCGGCAGCCTCGTTGGCAACCTCCTCGTCCTGGCGCACCACGCGCTCAACCTGCACCCCACCAGGTACACCGTCAGTACCTGTACCCCCATATTACTACAGGAGTAAATTGTTTAGCATGAAGAACAATGTGAAAGAGCCTTTCTGCCACTCAAGTCATATTATGACTCGAGTGGCAGAAAGAGTGGCATTGTGGTTCTGCCCCCCACGGGTGCGGGGCCATAATAAATTAATGAAACTAGCTAAATAATAAACTAATTAAACTAAAATATCTCGCTGTGCTAGAGCCTCTTGGGGTGGTGTTAGTTTGATATACTGTACATTGAAAGTAAATCAAGTTAAACAAACTAAGTAACTAACTCAAACTAATTTGGTAGTTCAAGTTCTGAGCCCAGTATATGCCTCTTAAAAGAAACCTTTTTGTTTATCCAATTTATATTACTTATAAATAATTTTAGATAAATAGAGCATGAGACAAGACAACCTCTTCTCTTAATTCTTATCAATATTTTCTTAATTCTTACCTGTCATCTCATTTTTCATCTCGTTCTCTTAGCTTATAAATTGTCTATCTCTACCACTCTTTTTTCCCAATAACAACTTGAAACTTGTCCAGGACGGACCGAAAAGTTGTCCATTTTTCATTTTCAGATTTGTGGGTTGGGTAAGATAACCTAATACATACTGCATCATATTTACATATCTATCGAGTTACATTATGTATGACATTAAGAAATGGTTCAAAATGAATGCTTATATATTCCTATTAAGCTGTAATTACAAGTTTAAAGACATATTATTAACGGAAATATTTACAGCATAATATTTGAACAAGGCCGCGGGGACGCTAAGCCCCGGAAGCACCTGAAGGTAAGGTAGGTAAGGTAAGGCCAAAACTATCATCAACGGCTGAGAAATATATACCAAGAAATGGAGTGAAAAAAACATCCCGACTCTAACTCTTGCTTTCTCAACACAAACTAATAACGACCATCTGTATCTCAAAAGGTTTTCTTTAGAGGGCAGAGACACGTGAGGGAGCCGGTGAGGGAGTAGACCCACAAAGCGAGGCTGTTAGACTGACCTCGGCAACCTCTCCCCTGCGCTTCTCCACCACGGCCATCTTCTCCTCCACCTCCCGGGTCTTGGTGAGCAGAATGGGCTGCAGATTGAGCAGCTCCTGTTGCATGGCCAGCACCGACGTCTCCGCCTCCTCCAACCTCGCCAGACCCGTCGTGTACCGGCATTCCTGCTTCTTGACCTCGCTGTGTGGTCGTATTGCAGCCCGCACGGGTCACCACCACGAGATTACATCAGGGGACGAGCAGACAGAAGTGTAGAGGCGCAAGTCACGGCGACAACACCCACAGGAGATAACAAGGTAAGTTTAAGTGTGAACAGTTTACGCAGTGATGCCACATGTAGCCATGCTGACCAGTGGCGTATGTACCTGATAACGCTGATATTATCATCAACTTCAACAATAATATCAGTAACCCGAACCATAATAGCAGCTGTGGAAAATATCCACTGTTAACAAACATTTAACATTAGGGCTCAACCTGACACACATGACAAACCCAATCAAATTGGAGCTTGTTGCATTGTTGATGTTTAAAGCCGAGTAGAATTAGTGACGACAGATATGCGATAACTGTCATTATTGATTCTCATCGATGGCATTAAATGTCACTTTTTATAATGTCTCCTTATCGTGAAAGTGGGGATAACATTTAAGTATGAAACCCAAAGAGCATATATGCCTGGAATGTTAAAATAACACCACACTTTTCACTCCTCACGTCACCACTGTGGAGAGGTGAGACATATGAGGAGAGAGTTGTGGAGGAGTACTGACCCTCGGCGCCTCTCGAGGATGACCATGTAGGTGTGGAGGAGCTGGAGGTAGGAGGTGGGCGTGACGTAGTTGTAGCGACGCAGGTGCTTCAGGAACCTGTGGATGACCTGTGGATGACGCCTCACCGACACAAATATGCACAAAAGAAGACCACAGAGTATAAGATCAATAATGTGGAAATGCAAAGTTAAAAATTACAATGTTGGGGAGTTACTTCTCAGGTAACATGGCTTCTCCATTAAGTTCACACATACACGCACAAAATCTGTAAAATGTTTTTGATTGTGATCAAGACTTGCACTATTTACCATGATGGGGCACAGACCTCCCGGAGGCGACATTGTGACACTACCTGTCGGAGAGGTCCTGGGTGGAGGTGTGGAAGTACTGACACAGGGAGACGCAGCCCTTGAGGGTCTCCTCCGGCAGCTCCACCCCCTGCAGCAGCCTCACTGCCACGGCCTCCAGCGCGTCCTCCGGCCAAGACTGTTAGGGAAGGCAACGGTTGCTGGGGTGTTACAGGAGACTACTATTTCTTGTGTTGCGGCCAGCCGCGTTGTGTTGCGGCCAGGCAGTGTTGTGTTGCGGCCAGGCCGTGTTGTGTTGCGGCCAGGCCGTGTTGTGTTGCGGCCAGGCCGTGTTGTGTTGCGGCCAGCCTTATTGAGAACGCTGAATGCTGTTTTCTTAACAGTATATTGAAAGGGTTGTTGGGTGTTGTACTGAAAGAAGTGTATAACTGAAATGTTGTGTTACTTGGAAGTCCAAATGTCGGCCTATGAGCGAAGTTAATTAATTAGTTTGTATTGTATTGTATAAAGAATCTTGAGAGAGAGAGGGACAGAGAGAGGGGGGGGAAGGGGGAGGTATATCTCACCTGGAACCAGTCGATAGTGCAGCAGGAGAGTAGAGCGGGGAACTTGCGGAGTCTGTTCCTGAAGGCTTCGCCGCAGGGGGACATGGCGAGCACCACATGCAGCTGCTCCCGCACCCGCTCCACGAAGAGTGTCCACAGCGCCGCCGGGCTCCCGTCTGTCTGTCGCAGCCACAACACTGTCAACACTTCACCTCTTACTGTCTTCTGACTGCTTGTTACATGTGTTACCAACACCCTGACCACTTGTGTTGTCTGTGCTACCATTATCCTTAACGTATTGAACTCTTGTGTGACCCGTGTTGCCAACAGAACCTAAACACCTAATCTAATCTAACCCTAATTATACACTCGATTCAAATATATAATATTAATTTATATTTAAGAAAATGCCGATTTTGAAAACAGTACAATATGTTAAAACCGATGAATGCGCGTGTGGGGGATAGCGGGGGGGGGGGGGGCAGCTTGGACGAAAATTGGCCGAGGATGGTGTCTCCAGGCAACCCGTTCTCGCACTTTCTTACAGTCAATATTGACTTATTAAATACGTGCATATGTGACATACTAAACATACTAGTTTACCTTGAAAAGCTTCATAGAAAACACCGACCGGTGTAAGGTCGGTGTTTTCTATGAAGCTTTTCAAGGTAAACTAGTATGTTTAGTATGTCACATATGCACGTATTTAATAAGTCAATATTGACTATACGAAAGTGCGAGAACGGGTTGCTCCAGGACCCCCAAGCCCAGTGGGAGAGAGCCGCTACTCACCTGTTTGCTCTTGTCCCTCTGCCTGTCCACGTTCCTCATCTTGTCGCAGATGGTGTGCTTCTCGTCCGTCGGGTAGAGCCCGGGGATCTCTCCGATGCTAAGGATGCTGCTGATCGCCTCCAGGAAGATCTCGTCCTTGATCTAATGACCGAGATCACAGTTAGAGAACACTTCGAGGTTGTCTTGGTGGATGGTGACCATTATGGCAGATGGTGAGTGAGAACTCTGTGGATGATGCATAACTCGAGATGATATAATTTGTTTAATTTGTCTTTAAATTCACCTGAATTTTGAATTTTCCATTTCCGTGTATTAAGTACCGCACCTATAACAATAATAATAGTAATCACACACAGAGATCACACTAACGTGATGCATCAAATGAACAAATCCACAAAATCAACATAGCTATAGCGTAGCTCAGTCGATTAAGGCAGTGTCTGGGATGCTCCCGGACGCAGGTTCGAATCCTCGTCACGGCCCCTGTGGATTTGTTAATAATAGTAATACTAATTTATTCACAAGAAGGTACAATGGGTTGGTGAGATTATATAAGATTGGTATTTTTACATGCTTGCAAAACCACTAACACGTATAGCGTTTCGGGCAGGTCCTTAATCTAGCATAACAAGATGAAAAGGTACATTGTAGCAAGGTTTTATATCAACAAATAACTACAATGTAAATTGACAGAGGTGAAGATATATGTCTTAAGTACTAATATTGGGGAAATGAATAGTACAAGTTACAGTGCGAGTTTAAAGCACAAAGTAGGAAACTATGAGAATGAAATTAGGTACTTTTTGGTTTTACTTTTAAATGGGGCATAAGTGTGTGTGAATAATGGTAGTCGTAGTGAAAGGAAGAACCCTATAATTACACATAAAATGAAGGAATCATTTGGGCCAATAATGGACATCTCAGGGCTGAAAAAATCTCTTGAGAATCGCAATGTCGCTTTTACTGGTGAACTTGGGAGGAGGTGGGAGATGTTATGCCAGGTATGGCTATCATTTAGTGAATTTATAGGGGATGACTTAGGCAGTGAATTGATTAATAATGGATCACCCTAGACTGAAAGTGTTGTCATGGAATGTTAATGGTTTAAGAAACAGGGTTACAGATGTTCATTGTTATGTGATGGGAAATGATATTGATGTTGTGGCTCTCCAGGAGACGGGGGATAGGAATGAAGGCTTATTGAAATTAAATGGTTATAAAGGGTTTCACCTCTTCGCCGCAAATAACATCAGAGGCACGTCAATTTATGTAAAGAACTCCATACCAGCAGAGTTAGTAGAACCGCCATCAAAAACGCAAGGTATAGAGAGTGTCTGTGTTAAATTATCATTAAGGGAAGGGGAATTTATTGTAGTTAATTTGTATGTATCCAGGAACTGCTTCGACGCCAACTATCTACCTGACTGCATTTATACTGATCCTTCACTGGTCATTGGGGACCTTAATGCTCGGCACACAAGCCTTGGGACAGTGGGTAGCATTAGTACTAATGGGGTCAAGTGGTTACAGTTTCTACAAGATCATCCAGATACCTGTCTATTGGGAAACAATGAACCAACTCACATCAGGGGAGGACGGCTTGACTATGCCTGCATTTTAAACTCTCAGGGGATTATGGGGGAGGCTCGGGTTGTTCGGGAACTACTTAGTGACCACTTTGCCTTGAACGTTGAATTACCACTGGGGAAAAAACAAGTCCACTTTCAAAGGAAAAGGCTAAATATTAATAAAGATATGAAAAATTATTTTATTCAAAATATGGGAGATTGGTATCAACAATACACGCCGCTCTGCGTTGATAGTTTTTACGAGGATATGGTCGAGAACATAGAGAAATTAGTACAGAGGGAAAATAACGGGGGCAGGGGAAGCAAGACGCATGGACCTAAGAAATTTAAATATTCCAATGATCAGCAAGTCAAGGGGTGGGAGAGAATGCTACGGAGTGCACATAAAGAATGGATAAAAAATGGAATGAGGGATGAAGAGAAAAATACAATGTTGGAAGTGGCTAGGGAATGCAGTCAGGTGAGGAAGGAGGCGCGGGACAGATACTGGCAAGACTTTGCTCAGTCCATTGGTAATACTAAGAACCTTAAAGACATATGGAGAGCAGTAAATAAAGTCAGGGGTTGTAAGACCAAATTCATTGCTCACTCAGATCCAGGGAAGGTTGCTAATGAGTTAGTAGATAAATGGGCTAGTGCTGCTGGTATGGAGTCCTTACCTGCAGACACGAGAATCACCATTGAGTCATGGGAAAATATTAGAAATGGAGTAACTTTATGTGCCTTAAATACAAGATCTATAGCGTGCACTGAGATAACTCACGATGAGCTACTGGATGCTATAAAAAGTGGCAGCTCTACTGCTCCTGGGAAAGATGGAGTAACGTATGACATTCTTAATTATTTAGCCGGTATGAAACCTAGTCCCTTACTTGATTTGTTTAATATGAGTTATAGAGAGGGAAAGTTACCAAGAAAATGGAAAGAGGCAGTCATCATTCCTATCCCTAAGTCAAACGGTGGCTACAGACCTGTCTCCTTAATATCCTGCTTTTGTAAAACGATGGAAAGGATTTTGTTAAATAGGCTACTCTACCTTGTAGGTGATAACATGTCCAGTAATCTCTTTGGTTTTATCAAAGGCAAAAGTACTGCGGATTGTCTCTTAAAGTGTTTGTCTAATATGGATGACAATTGTAGAGTTTTTGTTGATCTACAAGGAGCATTTGATAAAGCCAATGGGGAAGTAATCTTATACGAATTAGCCAATCTGGGAATAACAGGGAGATTGTTACACTGGATAAGGGATTATCTACAAGGCAGAAAAGGTCAGGTGTATTATCAGGGATGCATGTCTGAGGAACGGAGGTTTCAGTTAGGTACCCCACAAGGGGGAGTATTAAGTCCCACCTTATTCAATGTATTAATGAACAGATTAGCATCAGAAATGTATCCTCCAGGGGTCACGACGATCATATATGCTGATGACATTCTTATACAAGGCACTTCCGGGAACAAAATTCAAACTGCTCTTAACATACTTGGTACAACCTGTCACAAGTTAGGCTTAGTTATAAATGCAGATAAAACCAAATATGAGTATAGGAAACGAAGAAATATAACACTTACTCTAAATGGTGTGGAACTGAGCCGTGTTAAGAAGTACAAGTATCTGGGCATGTATGTTGGATACACATGTGAGAGTAAGAATGCTGAAATAAATCATATCAGCACCTTATGTAAAGCCCGTCTGCATCCTCTAAAAGCACTAGCTTTTTCTGGTAAAGGTGTTGGGGTACCTATCTTACGGATGTTATACATAAGCACTGTTCGGTCCCTGATAGACTACGCAGCACCCGTTTTGTCTTACACAGGCCAAGGCAGAATTCAAAAAATAGAGCTGATACAGAACGAGGCTATGAGGATTATTCTTGGATGTCAAAGAAATGCAATGATTGAAATAATGAGAATGGAATTAAATTTACAGAGTGTGTGTGATGGAGTCCGTGACATTAACACTAGAGTAGCTATTCGTTTCATGCGGAGAAAAGGAGGGGATAAGCTGTTTGAGAGTGTTCAGACCTGCTTGAGTGACGTACACACTTCCAGGAAACTGAGGGAGACACGCTACACGAGGGGATTAGCTCATGACCTCAGGGAATACGATGTACTTGACTGCTGTAAACCCTCTCGACAGGGTAATATGTCTGCTCCCTGGAAAGTACAGAAAATAGACGTCGAAATTGTACCCCTCAATGTGAAAAAGATTCATCATGAACCGGGACAATTACGGTGTATGTATGGAAGCATGATATCCCGGTTACCAAGAGGCAACAGTTTACATGTATATTGCGACGGGTCGGTGGTGGAGGATGGCAGGGCAGGGTGTGGTGTCCTAATAAGGGAATATACGGAGTTTGGGACTGTGGACAGGAAAATTGAACTCCGGCTTAGTAATTATATATCATCCACACAAGCTGAACTGCAGGCCATTCTGGCGTGTTTGGAGGAAGTACGTCATGACTGACGACAAAAATGTTTTTGTATTTGTCGATAGCCGAGGAGCACTGGAGTCCTTAAACAGTCGAAACCCAGTCTTCATGTCTATAGTTGAGGATTGTAAGAGAAGAATAGCTGAGATACAGCTGAAAGGTCATAGTGTGAAATTCATGTGGATTCCATCTCATGTTGGAATAGTGCTCAACGAGGTGGCGGATGACTTGGCCAAACGTGCCACATCAAAACCACAAATTGACATTGAATGTGAATTCACAATGAGACAAATAAGAAGCAAAATCAGAAATATTCAGGCACAGGCAGGAGTGGAGAGGAGAGGGATAATGTATGAGAGAAGTCTAACCATGCAACACTACATGTATGTGAGTCAAAACACCCTTTTCACTTATGGTAAAAGGAGAAATGCTTGGAGTGACTCTGTGTACATGCGGCTCAGGCTTGGGTACAAATATTACTGGGAATATGGGATAGGCGTTCATGATAATGACACGAAGTGTAAACTATGTGGTATGTTAAGGTCTCACACCCTTGCCCATTATGTTCTTGATTGTCCGTTGATTAATGTATATAGAAACACTGAGATAAGGACTGTTCCTGAGCAAATAGCCTGGATGTGTCACAAAGGAAAGGTTGATGATATTCTTGAGAGATATAAGAATTTTGCACCAAGACTGTAATATTTTCTTGAATTATCCGTGATATTTTGTTGAATTATCCGTATAACTAGGTCACAAAAGTATTTGTGTACGTCTGATACCATACCACTTGTGAAGGAGGAAATGTACATGTTTATCTCTCAGAATGTTTGGTAACAGGTTTATTGTTTGTGATGTGTGTCTATGTATGTACTAACACATTGTACTGAACGGGGTGAGAATAGCTTGAGCTACCTCATCCCTTTGTGTGTATTTTACCTCAATAAACTTATTTCAATTTCAATTTCAATTTAGGTTGGACAATTTTTGAATTCATCAGGGAGAGATCCATAGACTGGGTCCTTTTATCTGCATGGAGTGTTTACACAGATTTAGTCTGACTCTGGGGATATCGAAGATATATTTATTTCTGGTGTGGTGCTCATGGGTTCTATTACACCTATCAAGGAAAAGTTTCAGATCAAGATTAGCGTTTAGGAACTAGATTTTGTACATGTAAATTCTCACTCCATGAGAATGTGTAGAGCGAGTGTATGTTTAGCATGTTAAGGGACTAAGCACAGGGGCGGTGTGTTGTCTGAAGACAATTTGTTATAGTTTTTTAATATCTGCTAAAACTTGGCAGCTAAAATATAACTGTAATAGTACAATTATGTTTTATGGTCATCCATCTGGGACATTTATTTTTAAAATTAATTGTAACTTTTATTATTTGTATTAAAAAAATGTGTGTACTCACCTAGTTGTGAGCACACATTTTTTGTTGTTTACTGTACTCACCTATTTGTGCTTGCAGGATCGAGCATTGACTCTTGGATCCCGAAAGTGTGGATCCCGATCACTGTGTGTGTGTGCGTGTGCGTGTGCGTGTGTGTGTGTGTGTGTGTGTGTGTGTGTGTGTGTACTGACCTGGGTGTCGCTGAAGAGGAAGACAATATGCTGTTCTCCCGTGCCTGCCTTCTTCAAGATAGTCTTAAGGTCCTCCCTCCACTCCGTGATGCCGTAGCTTCTGCTCATCTCCACCTGACATTATAAACAAACACTCAAAGTGGCGTCACACGACATTGTAAACACTCAACATGGCGGCGTCATACTCGTAACTTGCAGGAACGGCCCGCTCATGGTCAATACTAGCAGGAACGGCCCGCTCGTGGTCAATACTAGCAGGAACGGCCCGCTCGTGGTCAATACTAGCAGGAACGGCCCGCTCGTGGTCAATACTAGCAGGAACGGCCCGCTCGTGGTCAATACTAGCAGGAACGGCCCGCTCGTGGTCAATACTAGCAGGAACGGCCCGCTCGTGGTCAATACTAGCAGGAACGGCCCGCTCGTGGTCAATACTAGCAGGAACGGCCCGCTCGTGGTCAATACTAGCAGGAACGGCCCGCTCGTGGTCAATACTAGCAGGAACGGCCCGCTCGTGGTCAATACTAGCAGGAACGGCCCGCTCGTGGTCAATACTAGCAGGAACGGCCCGCTCGTGGTCAACACTAGCAGGAACGGCCCGCTCGTGGTCAACACTAGCAGGAACGGCCCGCTCGTGGTCAACACTAGCAGGAACGGCCCGCTCGTGGTCAACACTAGCAGGAACGGCCCGCTCGTGGTCAACACTAGCAGGAACGGCCCGCTCGTGGTCAACACTAGCAGGAACGGCCCGCTCGTGGTCAACACTAGCAGGAACGGCCCGCTCGTGGTCAACACTAGCAGGAACGGCCCGCTCGTGGTCAACACTAGCAGGAACGGCCCGCTCGTGGTCAACACTAGCAGGAACGGCCCGCTCGTGGTCAACACTAGCAGGAACGGCCCGCTCGTGGTCAACACTAGCAGGAACGGCCCGCTCGTGGTCAACACTAGCAGGAACGGCCCGCTCGTGGTCAACACTAGCAGGAACGGCCCGCTCGTGGTCAACACTAGCAGGAACGGCCCGCTCGTGGTCAACACTAGCAGGAACGGCCCGCTCGTGGTCAACACTAGCAGGAACGGCCCGCTCGTGGTCAACACTAGCAGGAACGGCCCGCTCGTGGTCAACACTAGCAGGAACGGCCCGCTCGTGGTCAACACTAGCAGGAACGGCCCGCTCGTGGTCAACACTAGCAGGAACGGCCCGCTCGTGGTCAACACTAGCAGGAACGGCCCGCTCGTGGTCAACACTAGCAGGAACGGCCCGCTCGTGGTCAACACTAGCAGGAACGGCCCGCTCGTGGTCAACACTAGCAGGAACGGCCCGCTCGTGGTCAACACTAGCAGGAACGGCCCGCTCGTGGTCAACACTAGCAGGAACGGCCTGTCGGAAAATCCGACACCATTTAATATATCATACAGATAATAGCTGTATTACCAACAAGTTACCCATAGAAAACGTAACTTGTAGTGGAATTACCGTCTATAGAAAACGGGATATCATCACCACATACTATTATAATTCACCAGCTATTCTGCTGGGAATTATTCTTAAATACATTAGTCTTTGGACTTTACCATCATAAAAACATCTTATATAAATTAACTTAATTATCAATATTAAAGTAGAGTAAATGTGACCCTTCTATCACGTTCTGAAATCTGGACAATGTAAGCCAGGCGTCAGAGTGGAGGAAGGAGGGCAGCCATTGTTGTTTATTGAGACCAGAGGCTCACACGGGAGCAAATTCGGCTCCTGTTAAATTTACTTGGACGTAGTGTTATGGAAACCAAAGGTGTACCATTTTTCAACACGCTGTCTACATATCAAGTTAAGTGTTCTTTCCGAAACCCATTATCTATCATTAGTGGCCATTAATGTCATTATATAGGGTGACCCGGTTAGAACGCGAAATCGCCTCATACTAAAGGTAATTAAGCCAGGTCTTTAATGTTCCATGTACTGTTTTCTCTGATATACTTGTCATATATAGGTATCTGGCTTCACAGCTAGCGCACTTTTGACAGGTCAAGACGAGGATGCAAGATTTGTGCACCAGTTACTGGGTGATATGGAAGCTACCTCAAAGAGGATAATTTGGTGTCTACACCCTAGTTATACCTGGTGGACTAACCTGCTGTACTATAAGATAAGGAACCTCTTTAATGTATGTAGTTATTTCTGTAGTTTGATTGGCTGCATATATATATTAATTTAATAACACCCCCCCTAATGTGTAGAGGATCGATTTGTGAGATTATGAGATTATTGCAGAAATACAGTCCACTTATTATACAAATTGCTATCGAAGTATATAAATTAACGTAAATATAAATTCATATAAATTAAATAAATATAAATCTCACAGGTCGGTTCCCACATTATTTGGACCTTCGGAACCGGAATATTTGGTCCTTTGAACCCACATTTGGTCATCTTAGTACCGGATGAACCAGTTAACCAGTGGATTCATTAAATATACTAGTGCAGTGTGATTTAAACAAAGGCCAGCAGTCAAGACGGCAGCCTAGCCTCGAGGGAGCTCAGGAGCCTCCCTCAGCCCAGTTCAGCTTCGTCAGCGGTTTCATGCACACCCACAGATATTTGGTGGCGTGTTATTTCGTGAAATGACAGCGCTAATATAGAATCCAGCCAAATTAGTGACTGTGTCTTCGCGAGATTGTTCACGGATTTCGTGGTGTTACATTTCGCGAGAGATTATCTACGAATTTTGTGGACTTTATTTCGCGAGGTCACTAATAATATTTAATACTTCTAGATAATATTAGAAGTTTCATAGAGACTAATTAAGAGGCTATTATCAATAATTGTGTATATTATTTCTCCAAAATAGAGAATTATTTAATATATATTGCACTAGTGATCACAGTATAATATTTACTAATTGCCAACCCACAACAGGGTAGGATATGACTAGTTGAACTATTATTGTTCATCCTAGTCCCATTATTACAATAGTCAGTTGTACTATATTGAACAACCTAACACCATTAATGAATGGTCCAGACCCTATTTTGGGTGTAATTTTTATCAACTCGAGTTGAGTTGTATATATAATAAATTACTTATGATCATTACACCTTTGAGTGATTAATTAGTGTCTCTACCATCCTAGGGTGATATAGAAGAGCTAACCTAAAGGTACTTCCAGTGACACTGGTTTATCACTCAAATCATTAGTGTGGATGATTGTATATATATATAATGTGTATTAATTTTAAGTGCTAACCTCTAGTAGAGGTAGGATTATTGCCTAGTGAGTTCAGAATTTACCCTAGGCTACCATCAGAGCTTGTTCAGTATTATGAGCAGCCCAAGTACAAGCCCCACAAGGCTTCACCAACGAGCCAGTATGGATAATGCAGGGAGAATGAAAAGAACCCTTGCAGGTCTTAAAGGCCACTTAACAAGACAGATCAAGAAATGTGAAGATTTGTCACAACAATCAACAGTTGATTATGCTGACCTGGAAAGCTATTATCAAGCAGCTGCAGGTAAATTTGAGCAAATCAAATGCCAAATAGCAACATATGTGGCTGAACTTGCCAACACCAATTTATCAGAAACAGAAATAGACGACATTATGGTTGATCTTGCGAATTATGAAGATCACACTCAGGCCACGTTACAGCCTTATGTCAAATTAATTGCCCAGAACAAGGCAACAGCAACAACAACAACAGTTGCATCTAATACGAGTCAAGCGGAAGCTCGACTCCCTCCAATTAATTTACCCACTTTCTCAGGGAAAGATGAGGAAGATTGGGACGAATTTTGGAACAAATTCGTTGACCTTGTAGACTCAAAACAATCTTTACCAAAGAGTAGTAAATTCTCTTATTTGCAAGGCCAATTATCAGGTGAGGCTAAAACAGTAGTATCCCATCTGAGATTAACTAATGACGGCTATGATCTGGCAGTAAAACTCCTCAAGGATAATTATGCTGATCCAGAAGTAAGAACATCACATTTAGTTCATGAGCTGTTGCATTTACCCCCACCGGAGGCTTCAGCTGATTCACTCCAAGTCTTCAAGCTGGAGATAGAATCATTGATCAATGCCCTCAGCCTGACAGCAGATACAAACGGGGCTGAGTGGGTCTTGAAAATAATTGTCCAGGAGAAAATACCTAGGGACATATTGAGACAAATGAGTGCTCATTACAATAAAAGTATCTTATCCATGAATGAAATATCTGAAGGTTTAAAGTCAGTAGTTCATCAATTACGAACACATGACAAATTAAAACCACCAAGTAAACCCTCAGAAACCAATAATAGTAAACCAAAGAGTACCAAAGGTACTCCAAATCAATCTAGACAATATAATTCAACACCAAAGTGGAACAGTGGCAGTGTGGGCGTATATGCAGTGGGACCCTCCAAGCCTATAGTTACTGTGTCACCCAAGAACATGACACCAAAGGGTACTGGAAGCTATGGAACATGTTTGTTCTGCAATGAGAAACATTCAATGTACCACTGCTCTAATTATCCTGATAGTGACGCCCGTGTTGAGCGACTCAAAGATTTGCAACATTGCACGAGGTGCCTCAGGAAACATAACATCAAGGACTGTGATACCCAATTACACCCTTGTAATAGGTGTAACAAAGGTCAGCACCATGCAGCATTGTGCAGAGACACCAAAACAACGTCTCCAAACCCCAAGGTGGAAGATAGCATTCCCACCACAGTACAGTACTGCAAGGTGCAACAAACAAACAGTGTCCAATCGGCAAAGTCTAAAGGTAATACGACTTTGCCTACTGCCCAAATTACCATCCTGAATAAGAGGGCCAAGGTCCATACCCGTGGGTTGTTTGACCAAGGATCCCAGAGAACATATATCACTAAAAAGTTGGCAGATGAACTACAATTAAGGCCTGTAGCCCAGATGTCATTCAACATCTCAGGGTTTGTAACAGATGCAGGACCTCAAGTCTACCAGGTGGTACAACCATCAGTACGTTTAGGCAGGTACATCTGTCGAGTACAAGCCATTGTGGTGGACAAAATACCAGTAGACCTACAAGTTCAAGGTCTGAGAGCAACAGCCAAATTCCTGAGAAATAGAGGAATAAAATTGGCAGATAATATTAAGTCTGATCACCTCAACGACTTCGGTCTCCTTGTAGGGACAGACTATTGCCATCGATTCATCGGTAGCCCTACTAAATATCAGGGTATAACCATGTTAAACTCTGCAGGGGGTAAATTACTCTCAGGCCCAGTATCAAGCCTGAGGAGACCTATGCCTGCAGATAAACAATACCAGTAGAAATCTAAATTTGTCAGCTGATTATATTTCTCCAGTAGCATTATACTAAGGAGATTACAGCTGACTATAGTAACAGAGGTTGATGTTAGTATCATCATTTAAAGCTGGAGATGAGTTCATGAGGCCTCAGTGGCAAATCAGTGAACAGTAGCCTAAAACAGCTACAAGTCACTGCGACCAATGTCACTGAACCCACTGCAGTCTCAGAACCATACTTTACTTTAATGATGAGCTATTCAATCTTCTGAATCAATTAACTAAATTAAACCCTAATAAATCTGATGACTGATTTGATACATTTATTATTTAATCAAGATGTATTCCATGGGCCTCAGTGTTTATATATCAGTGACCAGTTACCTGAAGAAACTTCAAGTTATATCTAATGTCACTGATCTCACTGCAGTCCCTGAATCATACTTGACTGTAGTACTTGATCACATCCAGTCTTCTGGGTTAAATAATATGTAATAAGGCTTGAATATTAGCCTTTCAAGAGTTGACAGGGAAATGAAATCGCATTAGACTTCTAATCCCTGCAACTCTAGTACGGGACATCCGTCCTGTACGAACAGACACACAAATGTGTGATTACTAACTACTAACATCAAATTAATCAAATAATTCGAAGGAGGAGTATCGGTGTTCGTCTGTTCTAAAGAGGACTTCGACCCGTGAGCAGCCCCCTGGGGAATTATGTCGGAAAATCCGACACCATTTAATATATCATACAGATAATAGCTGTATTACCAACAAGTTACCCATAGAAAACGTAACTTGTAGTGGAATTACCGTCTATAGAAAACGGGATATCATCACCACATACTATTATAATTCACCAGCTATTCTGCTGGGAATTATTCTTAAATACATTAGTCTTTGGACTTTACCATCATAAAAACATCTTATATAAATTAACTTAATTATCAATATTAAAGTAGAGTAAATGTGACCCTTCTATCACGTTCTGAAATCTGGACAATGTAAGCCAGGCGTCAGAGTGGAGGAAGGAGGGCAGCCATTGTTGTTTATTGAGACCAGAGGCTCACACGGGAGCAAATTCGGCTCCTGTTAAATTTACTTGGACGTAGTGTTATGGAAACCAAAGGTGTACCATTTTTCAACACGCTGTCTACATATCAAGTTAAGTGTTCTTTCCGAAACCCATTATCTATCATTAGTGGCCATTAATGTCATTATATAGGGTGACCCGGTTAGAACGCGAAATCGCCTCATACTAAAGGTAATTAAGCCAGGTCTTTAATGTTCCATGTACTGTTTTCTCTGATATACTTGTCATATATAGGTATCTGGCTTCACAGCTAGCGCACTTTTGACAGGTCAAGACGAGGATGCAAGATTTGTGCACCAGTTACTGGGTGATATGGAAGCTACCTCAAAGAGGATAATTTGGTGTCTACACCCTAGTTATACCTGGTGGACTAACCTGCTGTACTATAAGATAAGGAACCTCTTTAATGTATGTAGTTATTTCTGTAGTTTGATTGGCTGCATATATATATTAATTTAATAACACCCCCCTAATGTGTAGAGGATCGATTTGTGAGATTATGAGATTATTGCAGAAATACAGTCCACTTATTATACAAATTGCTATCGAAGTATATAAATTAACGTAAATATAAATTCATATAAATTAAATAAATATAAATCTCACAGGTCGGTTCCCACACGGCCCGCTCGTGGTCAACACTAGCAGGAACGGCCCGCTCGTGGTCAACACTAGCAGGAACGGCCCGCTCGTGGTCAACACTAGCAGGAACGGCCCGCTCGTGGTCAACACTAGCAGGAACGGCCCGCTCGTGGTCAACACTAGCAGGAACGGCCCGCTCGTGGTCAACACTGGCAGGAACGGCCCGCTCGTGGTCAACACTAGCAGGAACGGCCCGCTCGTGGTCAACACTGGCAGGAACGGCCCGCTCGTGGTCAACACTAGCAGGAACGGCCCGCTCGTGGTCAACACTGGCAGGAACGGCCCGCTCGTGGTCAACACTAGCAGGAACGGCCCGCTCGTGGTCAACACTGGCAGGAACGGCCCGCTCGTGGTCAACACTAGCAGGAACGGCCCGCTCGTGGTCAACACTGGCAGGAACGGCCCGCTCATGGTCAACACTAGCAGGAACGGCCCGCTCATGGTCAACACTGGCAGGAACGGCCCGCTCATGGTCAACACTAGCAGGAACGGCCCGCTCATGGTCAACACTGGCAGGAACGGCCCGCTCATGGTCAACACTAGCAGGAACGGCCCGCTCATGGTCAACACTAGCAGGAACGGCCCGCTCATGGTCAACACTGGCAGGAACGGCCCGCTCATGGTCAACACTAGCAGGAACGGCCCGCTCATGGTCAACACTGGCAGGAACGGCCCGCTCATGGTCAACACTAGCAGGAACGGCCCGCTCATGGTCAACACTGGCAGGAACGGCCCGCTCATGGTCAACACTAGCAGGAACGGCCCGCTCATGGTCAATACTTGCAGGAACGGCCCGCTCATGGTCAATACTAGCAGGAACGGCCCGCTCATGGTCAATACTGGCAGGAACAGTCCGCTCATGGTCAATACTAGCAGGAACGGCCCGCTCATGGTCAATACTGGCAGGAACAGTCCGCTCATGGTCAATACTAGCAGGAACGGCCCGCTCATGGTCAATACTGGCAGGAACAGTCCGTTCATGGTCAATACTCACGGATTTGTTTGATTACAAGCGTGTGCCCTGGACGACTCGCCTGACATGTCCACGCCCATGCTCATTAGTCCACCAAATGCTAAATTTCCTGACGCTATTAATTTCAGTAATCCACAAAAAAAATCCGTTGGGGACTAGAACGTACAAATATTGATGTGTTATGTGAGGAGAGGGTAGACACACTCACTCCCCCTGTCATGCTATCCCCCTCCCCCTGCCTTGCCGTCATCTTGCCAAACTCTTTCATAACAATCGTAAAACTCACCTCAAACAGCTCGTAGTCGGTGATGTGGGCGGCGAGGCGTGTGAGGGAGTGCCTGCCGCTGCCCCCCACGCCCACCAGCATGGCGTGGCCCCGCGGCTGACGCAGGACACGACATATCCGTGCCAGGTGTTCCAGGGCGAACCTGCCGAGGCGCACAGCCGGGGTTAAGCACACACACACACAAGTGCAGAGTTAGCAAGCAGGTGCATTACTCTCATGTTTGGTTTGACCACACATTGTCATGCTCAGATATGTCCAGTCTGCCTGGCCTTAACCACGGGCTACAACTGGCCCATAACTTAACAAGAGGCTACACTACTTACTTGAACATAACAAGGTTCATGGGCTTCTTGCTCATGTTGTTGAACTCGTGCAGGTATCCCTCCACCACCGACCTCAGACCCTCCAGGTCCTCCACCTGCCGCAGGTACAAAACATGTTTTGTATACACCACGAAACATATCTACGAATTTGTATATCACTTTTCGTATCTTTAAGACAAACACAATTATCCTTGTATCACAGTTTGGAATCAGTTAAAATCTATTAAAAATATAACATTCCTAATCTTTTGTAGCACAAATAATGAAAATTCCAGTAGAATTGTGTTTTATTTGCAGAAATATTCCATGTATAAATGTTGAGGGGGTTGAGACCCCCACCTGGACATAATGACGACTCTCACTCTTGGGGTCAGCAAAGTCACAATACACCAGGTTACGAAGGTTGCTCTCAGACACCTGTCATGGATAAATAATGGATAAATAACACCATGCAAACAGAAATTTTGATAATTTGCATATTCATTTAAACATCGAAAATAGATTATTGTCTTAATGCATATCGATAAACACCATATAAACAGTAGAGCAACGGTGAAGGGATCCCGTGGCCAGTATGGAGGGCATCCCACACTAACGTCTCTTCGCGTCAGCAACTGAGAACGTTTGGGAGTAGTTTGCAAGCAAGTAGTTTGCAAGCGTAAACTATGCAGTTTACGCTTACAATGGGCACAGCGCCAGATGACATGATATCAACACCATCATGGCGGTAAATGGCCCTAACGTTATATAAAGGTGACAGGTAAGAGTGGTTGTGCTCGATAATATTATATCAAGGACACAAAATGGAGAGTGGTTACCCATGATAACGGCAGGGCACTAGGTCACGATTATGGAAAAGGACGCATTAAACTTAATAGCATATATAGCGGGCAGTGCGGGAGGACGATAGATATTGGGAGAAGGAACTTCACATGAAATCTTACTTATGTGGAGCCAATACACTAATAGTCTGGAGACTATTATTGGCTGCACATGCACAGACGCAGATGTACTTGCTGCCATTTACAGTGTAACATATGGAAATAAGACAAATACAGGGGCTTGAGGGTTTAATAAAGCCAAGAATAATAAAAATAAAGACAACTAAAGTATTGCTGGAACTGTTAACCTCTCCGTTGCCTTCCACATCTAGCTCAGCCAACAGGTGGTGGAAGTCTTCGTTCAGGTGGTTGCTGCAGGCGGCGGCGACGCGGTCCAAGAGCCACCTGCGGTCTGCACTGTCCACCAAGCGGTCATAGAACACCCGTAGAACTTCATGTACCCACATCTTCTTCATGGAGCGCAGGTCCTCCATGGTCTCCGGCACCGACAACAGTACTCCCTGTGGAGGCTCAAATATTGTTATTTGCTTAGCTAAACGAACTAGAGGGTTCAGTTCCTGAACCGATTATGTGCCTCTGTAATCCTTTACACCACCGCCCACGGGATGGGTATGGGGTGCATAATAAAGAAAATTGAATTGGAGGCACGCGGTTATCTCTGCTCAGAAGGAGACCCTTAACACTCCTTGTGGGCCTCACACCTTAAAGCGTACTGGCGGGTCCTAGCACTGTGGATTAATCTCAACAATTTCATGGGGTTTAAAATATATTTTCAAGAAAAATATAAAAGCATCATAAGAGGAAAACCTTGACTAATGTGAAGGAAATAAAACTAATCCTTCAGGCGACCAGGAAGAATGTTACAAGAACAAAGGCTTCCAAGAATACAAGGTTCTTGGAAGGCTTTATAAGAAGAAATTGTAAATATTTATTGAGGATGACACCACAATCAAAGGAAAATTCAAATTGAAGTGAAAATCTATCTCGAGGGTCATAACTCACCTGGATGACCCCTACAACAGCCCTAACTCACCTGGATGACCCTGAAGCAGCCCTAACTCACCTGGATGACCCTAAAGCAGCCCTAACTCACCTGGATGACCCTAAAGCAGCCCTAACTCACCTGGATGACCCTGAAGTAGCCCTAACTCACCTGGATGACCCTGAAGCAGCCCTAACTCACCTGGATGACCCTGAAGCAGCCCTAACTCACCTGGATGACCCTGAAGCAGCCCTAACTCACCTGGATGACCCTGAAGTAGCCCTAACTCACCTGGATGACCCTGAAGCAGCCATAACTCACCTGGATGACCCTGAAGTAGCCCTAACTCACCTGGATGACCCTGAAGCAGCCATAACTCATCTGGATGACCCTGAAGCAGCCATAACTCATCTGGATGACCCCTACAACAGCCCTAACTCGCCTGGATGACCCTGAAGCAGCCCTAACTCACCTGGATGACCCTGAAGCAGCCCTAACTCATCTGGATGACCCCTACAACAGCCCTAACTCGCCTGGATGACCCTAAAACAGTCCTAACTCACCTAGATGACCCCCTAAAGCAGCCCTAACTCACCTGGATGACCCCCTAAAGCAGCCCTAACTCACCTGGATGATCCCTACAACAACCCTAACTCATCTAGATGACCCCCTAAAGCAGCCCTAACTCACCTGGATGACCCCTTAAAGCAGCCCTAACTCACCTGGATGACCCTAAAGAAGTCCTTAAGATTGAAGATATAGTGAGAGCGGGAGGGGGTGGGCCTGAGGTGGGTGGCGGCGGCGCGGTACACCTCCAGGGTGCCCGTCACGATCTCTCCGATACACGGGTCGAACATCTTGCTGAAGCCTCGGGTGTCCAGGTGCCACAACAAGATCTGCACCAGTGTTGCTTATATATAAGTTATTTATAATAAAGCCTGAAATAGTATAACAAAATATGTTATCTTCTACTGACCAGGGGCCAGATTCACGAAAGCACTTACGCAAACACTTACGAACCTGTACATCTTTTCTCAATCTTTGGCAGCTTTGTTTACAATTATTAAACAGTTAATGAGCTCGGAAGCACCAGGAGGCTGTTTATAACAATAACAACAGTTGAATGGGAAGTTTTCATGCTTGTAAACTGTTAAATAAATGTAACCAAAGCCGTCGAAGATTGAGGAAAGATGTACACGTTCGTAAGTGCTTGCGTAAGTGCTTTCGTGAATCTGGCCCCAGGTCAGTCAAAGTAACACAAGCAATTTCCAAAAATTGGTAAATTTAACGTGTTCAAATTATAATTTACACTGCTTATTCAGCAGAGTGTAAAGGAACCATCAGTTACATAGACTATGGTTCCACACAGTCACACAGTTTATAGTACAACCTATAACAAAAGTTCACACACAACCTCACAACATGGACAGGGACCTTGGAAAATATTCCGTGGATGGTAGCGTCATCGAAGTCGTTGACAGCAATGACGTTGAAGTGTCGCAGGAGGCGAGGAGTGAGCGGTGTCCTCCCACTATCTCGTAGACTCATCGTCGACACCAGCTGCAGCAGGTAGGGAAACCTTAGCCTAAATACCAATATGTTTCTACGTTCATTTTTCACTGCAAATTACTAAACACTGACTTGACACTTTCTCAGTGTTTAAGAAAGAGATCAATGACTCCCAGGAGTAAGTTATTGGGTTAGCTTGTTTGTACAGGCGACTCATTCTTCTCAAACAATATGACGATGACAAACGTTCAGAGTTGGTGTATGATGCACATGTGTGGGTAGTGTAAAGCTTGCCAGATTTGAGGACGTTAGTATATTGCTCATCTGTTGTGACTTCTGCTAAGCATTTAGATATTTCAAAACCGCTGTCCGAGACAATTAAGGAACTGGTCAAAACTATAAGAGTGATACGTGCTCTGAAGGTGGGCTTGTGTCTTGGTCCTACCTGCATGTCCTCGAGATGGATGGGTTCCACTTCCTTCCTGATGTCGTACCAGGTGGCGTGGTCAACCAGCTGTCGGAGCAACTCCAGTGGAGGGTGAGTACCGAAAGCGTCCGTCTGAGGCAAGTTGAGGTCATCCACGAAGAGCACACAGCGCTTCCCAACGGGAGGCCCATACACACCTGAAGAAGGTGCGCACACGGTTCAAGGAAGTGGGGTGGGGTGGGGGGGGGGGGGGGGGGGGGAAGATGAGGATCACATACCTGGACATCACACACACACATATGACTAGACGCTGATAATAAGATTAAGATACAGTGTGCCAAGATACAGAGGTTACACACACCAACATCAATGCTAACAATGAGAATATCACAAATTGTCTAATACTTCTGTATCTTGTATGTACCTGCATCAATTTAAGTGATGCAAAGCCAACAGACTACAAAATTAATACTCAATAGTAAATAATAGAAGCCGTGACAAGTGAGGTGCAGGAGGCAAGAAGGTCCATCACAGACGCGGTGGTTGGAGAAACTGACCTTTCTTGCGTTTATCGAGGCCACTCATGACGAGGTCCTGGACATGAGTGGTGGTGGTGTGGGCGGAGAAGCTCACGAACATGGGCTTGTACACGTCTCTCTTCAGCTTGTTCCTCAGGAAGTCCTGCAGGGTATAGCAAGGTGGCTGATAAAAGAGTTCCGCAAAGATACCATGCTGCCAAGGTAATTTATGCGTGAAATATCTTAGATTTTTATTTTAATGCGGAATACAAAAAACTGTGTAAAATTAACCAAGAAATACCAAAAGAAACGTTACTGAAACTCATGAGTTCCATGGTTACAAGTGTCTACATTATAAATAAGCAAACCCTTTTCATTGAGCAGCATGAAATTTGGAAACGTGTACACAAGCCATTGATAGTGTAGACCTGAAACAAGAAACTCGTGCACGAGCTCTCAAGCTTTTAGACAAAGATGAGGTTGTCCTCATGTAGACGCCCATCCAACTACTGGCCAGATCAAACGATGCTCAACCAGTATGAGCGAGCGATAGCACCATTCACAGCAACACAACAACAACAACAACAACAACAACAACAACAACACAGCAACATCATTCACAGCAACATCATTCACAGCAACATCATTCACAGCAACATCATTCACAGCAACACAACATTCGCTGTCTGACATTCTTTCTTATAAACTCAGCTAAATATATTAATAAATATGCCCAAATGACATATGTGTTTTACCATGTCATCGTCCTATGCACATAATAGTACCATCTACTCAGTTGTTATCCCATGATGTGCCAATTACATTTTGGATTTACCATAATTGGGACACGAACTTTGTCTTCGAGGATCCTACTAAGTCATATTTCTCCAACAAATTAAAGACCTTTGAACTGTGAGCTCGACAGCACTCACCGAGACGTAGACGGACTTGCCGGTGGCTGGAGGACCGACAAGGAGGAGCGGCTTGCCCTGAGACAGGAGGAGGCTGAGCAGAGCGGCGACACGGACAGTAGTAACTGTAGGCACCAGGATCTGGTGGGCGGCCACGTCGCGAGGAATGGAGGCCGCGTTAGTGAGGTCCTCACTCCACTTCTGCCAGTACCCGCGACCCTGCAGTACACCAACACGCCTCCTCATAACCTGCTCACTTGTCCCTCAAACTCTAGAATCATCACATTGTTGATTACTTACAGCATGTGCTGTTATGAGACAAGTGCGGATGTTTACATGGTGTTCCATGACCCAGTGCTCTGCATTACGGCTAGATATAATATACACTCAAGTTTATTGTCAGTCAACAAGTATGCTATACTGTGTTTGTCGAGGCGGTGCATCTCTTGTTTGATAACCGAGTTAATTATCATGAACCCTATACCCATGCTGTAGGATCATGAACTGCACCCGGGACTTCGTTAAACTACACAAGTACAGTGACTATATTGAAGGAGTTTAGGTACATGATTTTAGTTAAAGTTTGTTTTGATAACAAATATTTTAAATTATTTGAAGATCAACAGAAACGTATCTGTATTCTTGTATAGTTTTCACATTAACAATTTGGCTTAAGGCATTGTACTTTGCTTCAAATCCAACCTCGAGTTGATGTACAGTTACCGTCTTGAGCGAAGAGGAACTGGTGCCTACTTGAACTTACTTTAATACATTCATAGAAGCGAAACAATCTAAATAATCCGACTATCGTAGATGAGTTTAACATATATTTTAGATTTCTGTCAATAGACGGTTAAGTATAATATCATATTGAGCATTTTCTTGCTGATCAGGATCCGCACAATCAAATATCTCAAGTCTGTTTTTCATATTCTAAATAACAGCACATGTGATGATGATAATAATAACAATAATCACAAAAAATCACACTAACGTGATATATATCAATGAGAAAACCCACTAGTGTTGTGAGGTGCTGTAACACCGTAAAGGTGTTTGGTTTAGTTTATTTAAAATATATATAGTTCATGAGTCAAAGGTAAAGTCGTAGGTAAAGCCTTGGTTCACGCCACCTCACAACCCTAGTCGAGTTTCTCAATAACAACACTAACAATAATAACAACAGCAACAACAGTCTAGCACAGACCTCCTTAACAAACTTGTAGTGGAAGACGGTGTCGTCGTCAGGTATGGGGAGCTGGTAGTCGTGGGGGGGCGGGGGCACTTCTGCCAGACCGTACCTGTAAGATGGCCGCACATTCTTACCTCCTCGTTAATGATATTCTTTAATATTCTGAATTATGTCTTCGTGTCAAGGTTTCACTTTACGAGTCTTTATCGTCGAGGATATTTAGTGTTTGTCTTCAGAGCTCAGACAAAATCTGTACATCCTAAGCAAAGTTTTAGAGGAAGTAATTACCAAAAGCGCCAAACCCGGAAGACTATTTAGCACCGTCTGTGCCACAGAATAGTAAGCAATTCCTAGATATAATTCATGATGTCAATACGAGAGCAAAAACATAAGACGAGAGATGTCAAAAGTACCAGATTCGCCAAGAATTTTATCAAGTGACAAGTGAATCGAAGGTACACTGGAAAGAAATATTCCTTATCATCCTGAAAATTAGAACATTACAAGGGAAGATGTGCGAGTAAGCGTAAATGCAGTTATGACAGACGCAAGACTCATTGGTACTCCCATTAAGTACCAATGAGTTAATCGCATGTGGCTAATATGTAACGTAGCCTACCACCTGTTACGCTCGTGAGAGAGAGGTCACCGGGATAACTCTCACCAAATGTCAACCAGTTATTCGTCATACCCGACAATCTATTTCTTCAATGGTTGTGAATCGAGTTATGAATGCCAGTGTAGAAATATGAATAAGATTTCCATTTTTCAGCGAGGGCCGAGTGTGTGACGTGCTGCTTGTCTATATCATGGAAGATGTACCCATCTAGCCCGTAGTCCTAAACCATCAAGAGGTACAACTCCAACTGATGAAATGATAAAAGCAGCAAATAAAAGCAGATGCAGGAGCAACAAAGGATATTTGTTACGTACAGAAGAAAGAGATCAAATGAGTAGTAAAGGAGCATAAAGGCCGCGGAGAGCAGGCCCGTCACTCACATCTCGGTGGTCTGATGGCTGGGGTCGCCGCTAATCAACTCTCGTAGAAGAAGGTCGAATTTGGCTCTGGAGGACTCGTCGAGCGGGCCGCCTAGGGACCAAATGGTAGAGAAGAGGAAGATGCTCTGCGGTAGGAAGAGACAAGAGTTATAAGAATGGTGAAGTGGTAACTCTCCGCACAAGGTAAAGAAATCCTTCCCGTTGTAGGGGACAGGAAGCCTGTACGAGGCTTGAGGTCCTCCTCTGAGTTGAACCTTCCCCACGATGCAACCCACAACAGTTGCCCGACTCCCAGGTACTTATTTACTGCTAGGGGAACAGAATCGTCTGGAGAAAGCAAATATTTCCATTTGCAAATCATTTCTGTCCTATCCAAGCTCGAATCCGGAATAGCCGATTGTGAGTAGAGAACGTAGACCACTATACCACAGGACCCTTCAAATAGATGTACATTTATTCCCACCCATTCCATATGCCCTTTCCCTTTTCCCGCTTGTCTGGACGCTGACAATGGGACTACTATACACTATGTAACTTACTCTCTTTTCAGTGACTAAATACTTGTACTGAATTTAGAAAAATTGCTAATGACATGACTGTAAAAGTGGCGTGTGAGCAACGCTAAAAATTGTGTATTACTGAAGTCGCTCTACGACGAATTAATTTACATTTCTCATAAACAGGCTCATATTTAATAATACTCATATTCCGCCCAAGTAAAACAGAAACAAGCAACACTTAGTGGGCCAGCCAGAGGCTTAGGACCCGCGTAGGAATATCCCTGCAAAAAAAATAAAAAAAATAATGGTTTAGCTAAACTAGCACATCTGAATAAAAATGATAAAGAAATATGTCTCCAGGAGATCAGCTTCAGCTTGTGCGTACCTCGAGGTGAGCTCGTATATCAGACTCCGGGTGGTGCTTGGTGTAGGCGGGATCTGTGAACTCGTCGAGAAAGCAGTCGAAGATATTCATGAGGCTCTGGACCAGGTTGAGGTCGGTGGTAGGGGAGACGCCCTTCTGCACGTACGACTCGCTGCGCTCCAGCTTAAACCACAACAAGTGTTTCCTGATGAAGCACAGCAACGGGGGCACGAAGCGATGGAAAAGAGCTGTAAGGACAGCCTTGTGCTGCTGCGTCAGCGTCTGGGGCAGCTTGGACAGCCATGTTTCCACCAGAGGTCGCCAGCCAAGAGCCAGGGGCTCCATGTACACCATCCCGCACCGCGATACCTGGAACGTCACGAGTTTTGTCTTGGTGACTCTCTTTATGCTAGGAACCGGAGCACCTTTCAACAATATATAATATTAAGGGTTGATTACACAGGTACTGAGGAGGTGGTCTTAGAGCAGACGATGAGTCACAATAACATGGCGGAAGACATGATGACCAAACCACACAACAGAAGACGAGGAGACGACGACGTTTCGGCCTGTCCTGGACCATTATGTAAAGACCATCACAATCGACTTGATAATGGTCCAGGACGGACCGAAACGTTATCGTTTCCTCATCATCTGGCGAGTGGTTTGGTCATCAGGTAGTCTTAGAGCCAAGTACACCATTCATCGCTGTTATTTAATATATAAATAATTAACTTCATCTGTTGTGAAGGGGATACAAGAGACGTGCAAGTCAGCTGGCCGCTTTCCGCTGAACCTACCTTTACCTCAAAAGTGCAGAAACAATTAAAATATAATGCAAAAACATTTGGGTCATGTTGAGGCAGGTCAATCGATTTTGTATACGATGTTTGTATACATTGTTGGCTGCAAGAGCGCCAAAGAACACTTGGTGTTAGTGTCACCGCTTACATACTGAACCAGAATTTACTGTACATTTTGTGCATAGTTATTTGTTGATATAAAAGCTTGCTATAATATACATTTTCATCTTACCTGATATGTTAGATTAAGGACCTACACGAAACGCTATGCGTGTTAGTGGCTTTGCAAGAATGTACAAATACCAATCTTATGTAATCTCACCAAGCCATTGTACCTTCTTGTGAATAAATTATTATTATTATTTGTATCAGTAGTAGTAAACAAAACGATTAAACTGAAAACTTTTCGCAGTAAATTAAATATGGTTGAAAAGCTCGAGTTGTAGCCAAGGTTTAGTAAACCAAGACGATGGCAGTGTTCAGTAAGTGATATTTGAATACCGTGGCAGGAGAAGCATTCTCCAGGTGGTGGACCTCGAAGATGATGTTCGTGGTGGAGGAGAGACAGATGATCTCCCCTGACATGAGACACAGCTTCTTGTTGTCGTCCAGCACAGAATTAATATTCTCAATCCACACGCTGTCCACCGGCCCGTCCAGCACGATCCATTTTCTGTGGGCGCCAGGAGTGATGAGTATTGTGCTTTACAAATCAAAACTGGTGCAAGTATGCGTCAAACGCCAGGCAACGTTAAACAAAGTAAGAAATTGTGACTCATCTTTACCTATCTGGAGAAGATGACACAGCAAACTTGCGGAAATTGACAGCGAGAACTCCGTCCGACCACTCATGGGAGGTGGGGTCGAACTGGCCGTACAGCTGCCCCACCGTCACCGCCTTCGGGTTGATCACACACACCTGGACGCGGTTCTCGCCTTCATCCTGAGGTACCAGAGGGTCAAGGTCGAGTAGCAAGTACAGACAGTGAGAGGTTGTTTATTTAGACTCTTAAAGAGTGACCCATGTGCAAAATAATAGTTCCCATAAAAACAAGTTTGATGAAATTGGTGTACATTTAATTGTATAAGAAACTGTAATTATTTTGCAAGATTTGGGCCTGACTCACCCGGTCATTCATGATGGCGAGGGCCTTGGCCAGCGTCCTCAAGGCCACCGTCTTGCCGCCGATGGGATTACCAATGAGCATAAAGCCGTGTCGGACCCGCATCGTCTCGTACACCTGCTGCACCTTGTCCATGAAGTAGTTATTGGCCCGGAGTCCCGCCCCGGCGCACACCTCCCTCACCGCTCGGTGCAGGTACGTGTAGTCTGGCTCCGGTAACACCACCCCAGGGAACAGGTCCGCGATGATCCCCTGCCAAGTAGGATCATCAACACCAAGTATCACTCCGCCAGGTCTTACCTGTAACACCAGGTCCTACCTGTAACACCAGGGCCTAGTGCCAGGTCTTACCTGTAACACCAGGTCCTAGTGCCGGATCTTACCTGTAACACCAGGTCCTAGTAACCCCAAAAACGTAACACCCCGAAACGCTGAGTGTACTAGTGACTTTAGGCATAGTATGTACTAGCTCTATCTAGAACTCCAACATTCTGTTTGTAACTCATCTTGTATGTATGTACTTTTACCTGAATAAACTTTTTTGTATTTATATTATTTATTTATAATGACATGGCGGCGACCCTGCCAGGCACACAGCGTTACAATATCCTGGCAAGTGACACGTAAAAGGTTCTCAGGAATTATACCATCTCATGAGGGTACGAGGGGCAATTTGGCACACAGATGCTGCCATTAATATTTTAATGATGGAGAAATGGTGTTTAATTGTTGTGAGAGAAGATGCTGACCTCAAACAACGGGAGGTCATGAGCCAGGAACTTGGGAAGATTCACATCACGAATTGATCTGTAGACAGAAGTATGTTGTTATTGTGGGCGTCATGCTATAAAGAAACTGCATATGTAGCACTTTCTTATTGAATTTATATTGCAATGTCGCACTTTTGTTTAGTTGTCAAGAAAACTCAAAAGATAATATGGATGCGACTATACATACAAGCTACCACAAAAGCACTCACACAGTATTATAATTAACATAGCATAATGAGAACCACTGAGAAATGCGCTCTAACAACACAGCAACATTCATATGGCGGTACCTGAGCACTAACACGGCCTCCTGCATATCTGGGTACTTAAGCTTCAGCGTCCCGGCAGCGATCAGCACAGCCTTCACGGTCCTCATGCCTGTGGGAGGCACGCCAGCGGGTTTATCATCTAACGGCAATGAACTTTATTTTACAAATTTAAACAGCAAACACCAAATTAAAATATATTCATTCCAAATCTCAATTATAATACAGTCAGCAAAATGAAGGATCTCTCCTTCACATCAAGACTGAGTAGAGAGTGAAGCTGCGGGCAGGACTGACCATAGTCGTAGTGGGGCTGGGCGGACAGCTGCTCCGAACACAGCCTGTACGTCGCCACGATCTTCCTCGACATGCTCCGGGCGGCCACGAAGCCAAACGAGTAAAGGGAGATCTCAGCGATGAGTCCGTAGTCTGGCACCATCATGGCCACCGAGCGGAACAGTGCCTGAGGAAAGGTCCAGTGTCTTAGAGGGAGGAGGAGGAAGATACCTTAAAGGGAAGGGAAGTAGAATCAGCGCGCACACACACAGACGGTACTAGAGGGGTGACACGAAGACTTCTAACATGGATGAACAATTTTCTGACAAAAATGAAGGTGGTAATCAGAGGCAATGTATCAAACACGAAATGTTACTATTGGAGTACTACAGGGTTCAGTATGAGCACCAATAATGTTCATTGCCTGCATGAACGATGACCTGGAGAAAACAAGTATATGGAGCAACACTTTAGAGATGGAATTCAGTGTAAATATGTCACATTATAGAATGTAGAACAAGAGAACATACACAACCTATAACTATAAATTATGTGAAAAGGATTTAAAGAACTCTGATAAAGAAAGAGATCTAGGTAGTATCACAGTGTCATATGACAAAGTACTGGGAAGAGGAGACACCACGAGCGTAGCTCTCCTCCTGTAACTACACTTAGGTAACCACAACACCCACACAACCAAGGCCACAACACCCACACAACCAACACCACAACACCCACACAACCAAGGCCACAACACCCACACAACCAAGGCCACAACACCCACACAACCAAGGCCACAACACCCACACAACCAAGGCCACAACACCCACACAACCAAGGCCACAACACCCACACAACCAAGGCCACAACACCCACACAACCAAGGCCACAACACCCACACAACCAAGGCCACAACACCCACACAACCAAGGCCACAACACACACAACCAAGGCCACAACACCCACACAACCAAGGCCACAACACCCACACAACCAAGGCCACAACACCCACACAACCAACAACCACAACACCCCACACAACCAAGGCCACAACACCCACACAACCAAGGCCACAACACCCACACAACCAAGGCCACAACACCCACACAACCAAGGCCACAACACCCACACAACCAAGGCCACAACACCCACACAACCAAGGCCACAACACCCACACAACCAAGGCCACAACACCCACACAACCAAGGCCACAACACCCACACAACCAACACCACAACACCCACACAACCAAGGCTACAACACCCACACACACAACCAACACCACAACACCCACACAACCAACACCACAACACCCACACAACCAACACCACAACACCCACACAACCAAGGCCACAACACCCACACAACCAACACCACAACACCCACACAACCAACACCACAACACCCACACAACCAACACCACAACACCCACACAACCAAGGCCACAACACCCACACAACCAACACCACAACACCCACACAACCAAGGCCACAACACCCACACAACCAAGGCCACAACACCCACACAACCAACACCACAACACCCACACAACCAACACCACAACACCCACACAACCAACACCACAACACCCACACAACCAAGGCCACAACACCCACACAACCAAGGCCACAACACCCACACAACCAAGGCCACAACACCCACACAACCAACACCACACACCCACACAACCAAGGCCACAACACCCACACAACCAAGGCCACAACACCCACACAACCAAGGCCACAACACCCACACAACCAACACCACAACACCCACACAACCAACACCACAACACCCACACAACCAAGGCCACAACACCCACACAACCAAGGCCACAACACCCACACAACCAAGGCCACAACACCCACACAACCAACACCACAACACCCACACAACCAAGGCCACAACACCCACACAACCAACACCACAACACCCACACAACCAAGGCCACAACACCCACACAACCAACACCACAACACCCACACAACCAAGGCCACAACACCCACACAACCAAGGCCACAACACCCACACAACCAACACCACAACACCCACACAACCAAGGCCACAACACCCACACAACCAAGGCCACAACACCCACACAACCAACACCACAACACCCACACAACCAAGGCTACAACACCCACACAACCAAGGCTACAACACCCACACAACCAACACCACAACACCCACACAACCAACACCACAACACCCACACAACCAAGGCCACAACACCCACACAACCAACACCACAACACCCACACAACCAAGGCCACAACACCCACACAACCAACACCACAACACCCACACAACCAAGGCTACAACACCCACACAACCAAGGCTACAACACCCACACAACCAACACCACAACACCCACACAACCAACACCACAACACCCACACAACCAACACCACAACACCCACACAACCAACACCACAACACCCACACAACCAACACCACAACACCCACACAACCAACACCACAACACCCACACAACCAACACCACAACACCCACACAACCAAGGCCACAACACCCACACAACCAAGGCCACAACACCCACACAACCAAGGCCACAACACCCACACAACCAACACCACAACACCCACACAACCAAGGCCACAACACCCACACAACCAAGACCACAACACCAATACCTTAAGGTTGTCCGGGAGCTCGGAGCGGCCAGCGTACCCTGGGTTCATGGTGATGAAGACGGCGCAGGTTGGGTCCAGACTCACCTGGGGACGGAGAGCGATGCAATAACACGTCTAAATATCTTGTTTTAATGTAATTAAAATAATGGAATACTGTTTTAATAGGCTTACTGTCTTTTACGGCTGTTAAGGTCAGAACGATTACTTTACATTTTATTTAGAGTTCAATGAATTAACAGTATGGGAATGTATTAGTTGGGAATGTATTAGTTGGGAAATTAGTTATTATTAATGGGAATGTATGAATGTATCTCTCTCCTCACTACTCAACTCGAACTATAAATTACCTTACATTCATTTCTCGTATGCTCTCTCTCTCATTAAAGTCACTTTACCTTCCAACTTTTCTCAATCCTTACCCGACACATTCCTTTACCTATGTGCTCTGGAGGGTGAGGCACAGATATGATAGATATCTGTCTACAGGGGCCCCCCTGGCTGGTGGCTCCGTTGCAGGATGGCATCCCCTTACTGGTAGCGTCCTTTACTGGTAGCCCCACTGGAGGGTGGCATCCCTTACCTCAGTGCCCTGGAGGGTGAGACGGGGAGCCCCTGACTGGCCACCCTGCTCAGACCCTTAAAAGAGATGGTAATTTCGGAGTATTTATACACTCCAAAGACCACCATCATCACTTGCTCTAGTGCTCTTGGGAGATGGTGGTCTTTGGAGTGTATAAATACTCCGAAATTACCATCTCTTTTAAGGGTCTGAGCAGGTGGTGGAGTGGGTTAAGGCGTACCTGTTATGCCAGTTGCTGGAAGGCTTCTGTGCTGGCTAGGGTTCGAGTCTCCTGGTGGGAAAGTGTTCTAAAGTTGTGTGTATATATATATATATATATATATATATATATATATATATATATATATATATATATATATACATATATATATATATATATATATATATATATATATATATATATTATATATATATATATATATATATATATATATATATGTCGTACCTAGTAGCCAGAACGCACTTCTCGGCCTACTATCCAAGGCCCGATTTGCCTAATAAGCCACGTTTTCATGAATTTATTGTTTTTCGACTACCTAACCTACCTAACCTAACCTAACCTAACTTTTTCGGCTACCTAACCTAACCTAACCTATAGAGATAGGTTAGGTTAGGTTAGGTAGGGTTGGTTAGGTTCTGTCATATATCTACATTAATTTTAACTCCAATAAAAAAAATTGACTTCATACATAATGAAATGGGTAGCTTTATCATTTCATAAGGAAAAAATTAGAGAAAATATATAATTTCAGGAAAACACGGCTTATTAGGCAAATCGGGCCTTGCATTGTAGGCCGAGAAGTGCGTTCTGGCTACTAGGTACGACATATATATATATATATATATATATATATATTATATATATATATATATATATATATATATATATATATCCAGAGGTGGTACTCCCTTCCCTATATATATATAATATATATATATATATATATAAATATATATATATATATATATATATATATATATATATATATATATATATATATATATATATATATATATATATATATATATATATATATATATATATATTTCTAGTCTGACGCGACACGGGCGCGTTTCGTAAAACTTATTACATTTTCAAAGACTTCACAAATACACAACTGATTAGAACTTACGTCTCTCTGATATTATATCTACATTTGAGTGAGGTGGGAAGGATGATGTGGCATTAACACAAGACAGAACAGGGGATATTAATAGGGTATTAAAAGTATCAACACAAGACAGAACAGAAACAATGGGTATTGAATAGAAGTGTTTGTAGAAAGCCTATTGGTCCATATTTCTTGATGCTTCTATATTGGAGCGGAGTCTTGAGGTGGGTAGAATATAGTTGTGCAATAATTGGCTGTTGATTGCTGGTGTTGACTTCTTGATGTGTAGTGCCTCGCAAACGTCAAGCCGCCTGCTATCGCTGTATCTATCGATGATTTCTGTGTTGTTTACTAGGATTTCTCTGGCGATGGTTTGGTTATGGGAAGAGATTATATGTTCCTTAATGGAGCCCTGTTGCTTATGCATCGTTAAACGCCTAGAAAGAGATGTTGTTGTCTTGCCTATATACTGGGTTTTTTGGAGCTTACAGTCCCAAGTGGGCATTTGAAGGCATAGACGACGTTAGTCTCTTTTAAAGCGTTCTGTTTTGTGTCTGGAGAGTTTCTCATGAGTAGGCTGGCGGTTTTTCTGGTTTTATAGTAAATCGTCAGTTGTATCCTCTGATTTTTGTCTGTAGGGATAACGTTTCTATTAACAATATCTTTCAGGACCCTTTCCTCCGTTTTATGAGCTGTGGAAAAGAAGTTCCTGTAAAATAGTCTAATAGGGGGTATAGGTGTTGTGTTAGTTGTCTCTTCAGAGGTTGCATGGCTTTTCACTTTCCTTCTTATGATGTCTTCGATGAAACCATTGGAGAAGCCGTTATTGACTAGAACCTGCCTTACCCTACAGAGTTCTTCGTCGACTTGCTTCCATTCTGAGCTGTGGCTGAGAGCACGGTCGACGTATGCGTTAACAACACTCCTCTTGTACCTGTCGGGGCAGTCGCTGTTGGCATTTAGGCACATTCCTATGTTTGTTTCCTTAGTGTAGACTGCAGTGTGGAAACCTCCGCCCTTTTCCATGACTGTTACATCTAGAAAAGGCAGCTTCCCATCCTTTTCCGTCTCGTAAGTGAAACGCAGCACGGAACTCTGCTCAAATGCCTCCTTCAGCTCCTGCAGATGTCTGACATCAGGTACCTGTGTAAAAATGTCGTCAACATACCTGCAGTATATGGCCGGTTTCAAGTTCTTGTCGACTAAGACTTTTTGCTCGATGGTACCCATGTAGAAGTTTGCAAACAGGACACCTAGGGGAGAACCCATGGCGACCCCATCTACTTGCTTATACATGTGCCCATCCGGGCTCAAGAAGGGTGCCTCTTTAGTACAAGCTTGGAGTAGTTTCCTCAGAATACTTTCTGGCATGTCAAGAGGAGTACAGGCTGGATCACGATACACTCTGTCGGCTATCATTCCGATTGTCTCGTCCACAGGTACGTTGGTAAACAGTGATTCTACGTCCAACGAGGCTCTTATCCCTGTGGCCCGTGTGCCCCGCAGTAAGTCCACAAATTCCTTTGGAGACGTCAGGCTGAAGGCGCAAGGAACATAAGGAGTCAGCAGGCCGTTGAGTCGCTTCGCCAGTCTGTACGTGGGTGTGGGTATCTGGCTAATGATTGGTCGAAGTGGGTTTCCAGGCTTGTGCGTCTTGACATTTCCATACGCATATCCAGGTTTATATTCCCCAATGATCTTTGGCAGGTGGAGTCCGGATTTCTTGGCGTTCACAGTTTCGATCAGTTTGTTGACCTTCTTTTCCACAGCTCATAAAACGGAGGAAAGGGTCCTGAAAGATATTGTTAATAGAAACGTTATCCCTACAGACAAAAATCAGAGGATACAACTGACGATTTACTATAAAACCAGAAAAACGGCCAGCCTACTCATGAGAAACTCTCCAGACACAAAACAGAACGCTTTAAAAGAGACTAACGTCGTCTATGCCTTCAAATGCCCACTTGGGGACTGTAAGCTCCAAAAAACCCAGTATATAGGCAAGACAACAACATCTCTTTCTAGGCGTTTAACGATGCATAAGCAACAGGGCTCCATTAAGGAACATATAATCTCTTCCCATAACCAAACCATCGCCAGAGAAATCCTAGTAAACAACACAGAAATCATCGATAGATACAGCGATAGCAGGCGGCTTGACGTTTGCGAGGCACTACACATCAAGAAGTCAACACCAGCAATCAACAGCCAATTATTGCACAACTATATTCTACCCACCTCAAGACTCCGCTCCAATATAGAAGCATCAAGAAATATGGACCAATAGGCTTTCTACAAACACTTCTATTCAATACCCATTGTTTCTGTTCTGTCTTGTGTTGATACTTTTAATACCCTATTAATATCCCCTGTTCTGTCTTGTGTTAATGCCACATCATCCTTCCCACCTCACTCAAATGTAGATATAATATCAGAGAGACGTAAGTTCTAATCAGTTGTGTATTTGTGAAGTCTTTGAAAATGTAATATATATATATATATATACATTTTATATATATATATATATATATATATATATATATATATATATATATTATATAAGAAAGAGGGAGGGTGAGATAGGCATAAGGGGCGTGTTCATTACCCAGGTAAGGTAGTGTTGGTACGGCCTACCAACCGTAAGTCATTACAGCCACAGCGGCCCTGCTGATCAACAAAGCTCAAGAGTGAGAAGCTTGTAGTGATACACTGATAAAGACTGATAAAGATTAAGCCACCCAAGAGGTGGCACGGGCATGAATAGCCCGTAAAAGTGATACACTCCAGAAGTATGGTGTATATAGGGGTGACGTGGTACCTAGGTTGAGCATGAGGGCCTGGGTGAGGGTGCGGTAACAGCGGTCAGTCAACAGGGTGATGACCAGACGACCAGTGTTGCCCAGGTACTCGTACCCGTAGTCCAGCTCCGCGTTGATCATCCGCACCTTCAGGATGTCGTCCTGGGGTACACACACACGCACAGTTACGCTCACTATCACGCTACTTTCGCAACCCGTTCTCGCACTTTTAGTCAATATTGACTTATTAAATGAGTGCATATGTGACAAAATTTATTGTGGATATTTTAGTTTACCTTGAAGAGCTTCATAGAAAACACCGACCTTACCTAACCTTCTTAGTATGTTAATTAAGATAAGCATCTTATTGCTTCGTAATTACAATTATTACTTAACCTATACCTATAATTGGTTAAGTAATAATTGTAATTACGAAGCAATAAGATGCTTATTTTAACATACTAAGAAGGTTAGGTAGGGATAGTGTTTTCTATGAAGCTTTTCAAGGTAAACTAAAATATTCACAATAAATTAGTATGTCACTAATGCACTTATTTAATAAGTCAATATTGACTTAAAGAAAGTGCGAGAACGGGTTGACTTTCTATACCCCTCACCACGGCCACATTTAAATATTGCAAACAACTGTTTCAATAAATCTTTATATTAAAACAAATAACGTTCACATTGTCCTCGTTAAGAGTGAAACAATATATTCTCCTCAAGGTGTCTGAGTTTTAGTGTTGAGAGTGTAAAGGAGAGAGATGTGGAGGTTGGCGCACCTGCCAGTAGTAGCGGAGCTGAGAGAGCCAGGTGAAGTCTGTGAGGTCCGTCACCTTCTTCTTCATGATCTCGTCCTTGAGCACATCACGAGCGTGTACGTCCAGCACCACCAGAGCTCCTGAAGTGTAAGGCTGCTACTTATCTCTTGCATGCATAACACCTCTTATATATCTAAGAGCTCTTAGAATTGTTAGTCCAGAGTTCTTAGATGCAGAGTTTGAAAATGCTGATTCTGTTGCATTCAAGTTTTGCTACCCAGCAAGTTTTTTTGGGAAGCTTGACGTGGCAAAGCTCAATATATATATATTATAAGAGCCGTGAGCGGCAATTGGAGTGACTTACCCAGAGTGGTGCGGTTCTGCTTAGAGAGTTGACCTCTCACCAGTCCCACCACTTTCTCGATCTGACTGTTGCACAGCTCGTAGTAAGTCTCCATCTCCTGCCTACCTTCCCTGTACACGGAATACCACTTCACAACACCACTCAACAAATGCTTAGTGTTAATATTAATATCATATATATATTCACATTATACCAATCAAAATAATTCACCAGATGTTTCCTTTCTTTACTACGTTATGTAAGGCAATAGATAGGTTAATATACATAAGGATCTTACTGGATTAGTGTTGAGCTTAACTTAACATCCGTGGAGGCGTAATGCCACCTCAGTACCTTACTGATCAACCAGCAAGTACACTTTATGTTCAGGACAAAAGCATTTTTTAAGTGTATATATAAAGCGAAGTATAAATCATGATGTATAGCTTAAGATATACGAGAGGCGAGAGAGAGACGAGAGACAGACAGAGAGAGAGAGGTAGGTGACGTACACCATGCAGCGGGAGACGTGAGTGGTCCAGAAGGTCTGGGAGACACACAGCACCGCCTGGCCTGGCCACTCCAGAGCCCAGTCCTCCCGGGCCTTGCTCGAGTACGCCTCCATGCACGATTGTACCACCTGCACGTAACACAAAAGCTCAAGGTTAAGGGCGCTCAACGGGATCCAATGATTCATGGGGTCATTTGTCGCTTTTTGTCTGTATCTGAAGGGTTATTAAGGCACTCACACTAGTTTCCAGACTAATTATAATTTAGTACTGAACTTGCTTCAATTAAACTAAGCTCTCGACATATAAACCGATAAACGGAGTACACCTCACTTGTCTTAGGGTTTTATTACTAACTTCATATATATGTTAGTAACCTTTATTATCCCAATTTCGAACATTAATGCAGTTTTCCTAATTCAGATGTTTACATATCGTGTCTGCCAGATGATTTTCACAACCACAAGGGTTAATTTCCGCATTGTTTAGCTAACAGCTGGTATTTTTTATTTATTTTCCCTAGATTTATTGCCCAATACTTGTCTTTGTAGCCTTCGAGTACCAGTCTGAGCATGACGGCAGCTTAAGTGTATTGAACTTGTCACTATGTACGAGCACTGAGCACATACCTTCTTGATGCTGGACTTGACGCTGGCCTCAAGTTGCACCAGCCACTTCTCGACTTGTCCTCTGGCCTTGGCTGTGCTTATGATGTGTGTAAGTCCAATGACCTCGCCTTCACTCGACCTCACGGCAACCACTTCCAAGTCGTCGCCGAAGTCCAGGGAGTTGACCCCCTCGAAGCATTTCTTGAGGTGAGGCTGAACCCTGAGAGGAGACGGAGAACATAATCTCAGGTGAGGGGTAACTAAATTATCTCATTGTTTACTTGTCCCGTTTATGTCGATGGAAACTGTTTCAGATATTTATAATGCCAAAGAAACATGTTTTTATTAATGTGAATAAGCCGTTTTCTTCCTCACTTGGATATTTTTTATATCATACATACTGGAGAGAACATTATTACTTCATATGTTATTAATGTGTTGTACCTGCTCGGGTCCTTCGTCTCGCTTAGGATCTCAAGAAGCTCCTCGTTCGAGAGGAAGAAGAATCTGGGGAAATAAAGACGCTTTTTTTCCAGGTACTCGTTGAGGCCTCGCTGGATCAGTTCCAACAGCTCTGACGACTTCCGGAGCCGCTCCAGAATCTTATCCACTTCCAGTACGGAAAGAACACGTGTGTTCTGTCGTACACTCTTCATGATGTCCTTCCAGGTCTTGTCCACTGTGTTAAATCTGCAGTGACAAACTTCACGGTTAATTGAACATGCGATTGTCTTCTTAATACTAAGCCTATAAGCGTCTTCGTCAAATTGGACAAAGATACAGGTATTACGTTGAAAAAATAACAAGACTGATGAAGTTTAGTGGAATCAGAAGTATTGTGGAAACTAAATAACACTAATAGTTAACTGAAACAAATCTTCCAGAGGAAAATATTATGTATTTAAAACAAAAAATGTTTTAAATACATAATATTTATGTATTCAAAATATTATCTAGGTTCCTACTTAAGACTTGCAATCAAGTCTCGTCTCAGTAGAAACTTAAAAGGGACTGTGAAGCAGGAACCAACGGCATCCCGGGGTAAACACTTTAATTAATTAAATATATAATACAACAAGAATGATTTTTAAACCGTTAGCAAATTTATTATCTTAATGTTGGCCGTGTTCTTACAGACGTGAGCCTCCGCACACGCCCAATACTTCCGTCTGACTGAAGGTCGGACACTACCGGTGAAACTTTGCAGAACTAAACTTTAAAAAGAAACAATATTTTCATTCAAGGTGTGACTGTACCAGCTGCAGTAAGTCTTGCTATTGAAGCATATGTGAAAAAAGACCTAAAAATGACAGGGTAAAGACGACAAAAATTTACTACTGAATAAAGTTCACAAGTGCATATTTTGTGAAAATTTAAGACTCGATCGTGAAGGTTTTTTTTTCCACCAGTTTAATGTTGGCCTTAAGGTCTATAATCCACGGGAGGGCTATTAAGACCACCACAATAACTGACCAAGCAGCCAGTATACTTTAGTCCTGAACGTAATTCAGGACAAAAGAATATTGTCAGAAAGAATATTGTCAAAAGAATATTGTCTAAGACAAAAAGGACTCTTAGAATATACACACCAAGAAGCGGATTGCACAGCTTGCTGCCTATTACACTTTTTATCACTTAAAGATAATGTCTGAGGCATATAGAACATTGGACGGAGGTACTAACCTGCGTCCCTCCTCGGGCATCTGAGCCATTATGTCTGGGGAGCCGAAGATGGGTTCCAGATAGATCCAGGTAGCCTGCACCCTCAGCCACTCGTCCACCACCTCCTGCAGCTGCGCCAGCGTCGTCTCCCACGCCGCCTGTCACACACACACACAATATTATTTACCTGAATTTACTTAAGGACAACTGACCCTCTAGTGGCCTCGACGAGGACAGTACGCCGGCGGCCTGTCAAGATCCCCCTTGATGTCCTGGTGATTTCTTCTAGCTATGTTATAGAAAGTTTTATTTTGTATTCTGGCCCGATGATCGACTTTTCTCAGCATGATAGGCTTACATACATTACTGTACTTTATTTGTATATTTCAGACACTTACAAAAAGAGTAACAATGGGCCATGTAATATTCTTACCTCAACAGATGCTCAACATTCGATGATTTACTACCAACATTCAACTCATGACACTCACCACCTCCTGCTCGATGGGTTTGATGAAGGGCGAGGACCTCATGGACTGGGTCTTGACGATGTGGTCGTCGAGGAGGAACTGGATGTCCTCGACGGCTGAGAGTACCCAGGTGTCCGTCTCTCGGTGGGGCTTCAACACCAGCTCCATCTCCTGCCACTCACTCTGTCAAGCAGCAGCAGGTACTCTAGTCAACCCCCCACGCTCCGTCTCCATTATCGTCCTTTCTAACTCTCCCATCACTTCCTACACTTTACACTTGAATGATCATCAAAAAATACTTTATAGGCTCTCCAGTTATGACAATATATGTGTAGTGATTGTTTTAACTTACATACTGGCAGTGAGGCCCACACACCACCAGTCATGCAAGGAATCATTTATAACTACACCATATACTAATCCTTCCGGAGTAGGATTATTTGTATTTGAAGTATGTGGATGAAGCATTTGCAGCAATACGGTATGAACACCATGATAGTTACCCTTTCTGATTTTTATAATTATTGTTAGCATTATTGTTTTGCTAGCTGTAAGTTTTGTGAAAGGCAGAGAAAAGCATAGTATTTGACCCCAGGAGATAGTGAGGAGGACCTACCAGTGTACAATGTCGGCTGCTTACCTTCATCTTCTCCAAGTTCCTCTCAAAGACGTGTTCCTTGGAGGCTGCCTCTGACACTGACTCGAACTTGGAGAGATAGTCTTCAAGGTTGGAGTCGATGAGGCGCTGGAGAGTGGTAGTAGCGTCCGCTCTGGGTCGTCCAGGTGTGGAGAAACAGGTCAAACGGACTCACTATAACTCGTGTATTAGGATGTGTGGAATAGACTGTGGTTCACCCTCACAATATAGATCACACCATCATAATTACAAGTATTGTAATTATGCTGTTTATAAACAAAATTGAATTTGAATTTATTATACTTTGCATTTCATTGTATCACGATGACAATACTTGACAGCGAAATTAGCAACCCAAATGGTGACTTTAATAGATTTTGATAACCAAGTAGTTGACTTCCACGGTAGACAGGATTAATCTTTCACACGGTATAATAATACGCGTTTTTCATCAAAGATAAATCAATAATATTATACATTGTAGGTTTATGCATAGTTAGGTCTTGGTAGTGTTGTTGTTGTTACTGTGAGTTAGGAAGTGTTTAAGATACAAACTCATGACGAACGAAGTATGTTTCGAGTCATAGCTTTGAACATGGTGCTGTCAGCCCGCAACCCGTCCTCGACTCAAGTCCATTACATCCAGCGGTCGACCCCACAGACACATTCATAAATTTTTACATGCTGTTCACTCAAACCGAGAATTTTCTCAAATATAAATAAATATTATAATATAGTAGCATATTATGCATATATGGGCATAGGTTAGGTTAGGTGTTTAGGTTCTGTTGGCGATTATTTGTATTTGTAGTACGTGAGTGAAGCATTTATAGCGTTGTGGTTCGAACAAAATTTCTCAGTGAAGCACTTGTTCCGGAAGTGTTCGAACGAAATCTGTTGTGAGTCGTGTGTAACCCCTTTTTCATTCATAAACAGGAGGTTTGGTAGGTGCACGGAATCACTTTTGGGTCTTTGTTTGGAGGACGGGCTGGAACCCGTCCTCGACTCGACTGTTGATGTTCGAACATTTCCGGAACAAGTGCTTCACTGACGACTTTTGTTCGAACCACAACGCTGTAAATGCTTCACCCACGTACTACAAATACAAATAATCGCCAACAGAACTTAAACACCTAACCTAACCTATGCCTATATATGCACAACATGCTATTATAATAATTTATATTTGAGAAAATTCCCGGTTTGAGTGAACATCATGTACAAATTTATGAATGCGTCTGTGGGGTTGACCACTGGATGTAATGGACTTGAGTCGAGGATGGGTTGGCGAGGACAGGCTGCCTGAGGACGGGGTTGGTGGACATCTTAAGTACTTGAGACACATTATGATGAACGCCTTTGACTCACATTGTCTACAATCCTGGTCTCATAATCATTGTATCTTTGAAAAAAATATTTCACAACAGAATGATGTTTGAAGCATAGACGATACCCCACCACCTCTGAGATCATCTGCCAGCGCCTCACCTGAGGGGATACCCCATCACCTCTGAGATCATCTGCCAGCGCCTCACCTGAGGGGATACCCCACCACCTCTGAGATCTCCCAGTGCCTCACCTGAGGGGATACCCCACCACCTCTGAGATCTCCCAGTGCCTCACCTGAGGGGATACCCCACCACCTCTGAGATCTTCTCCCAGTGCCTCACCTGAGGGGATACCCCACCACCTCTGAGATCTTCTCCCAGCGCCTCACCTGAGGGGATACCCCACCACCTCTGAGATCTTCTCCCAGCGCCTCACCTGAGGGGATACCCCACCACCTCTGAGATCTTCTCCCAGCGCCTCACCTGAGGGGATACCCCACCACCTCTGAGATCTTCTCCCAGTGCCTCACCTGAGGGGATACCCCACCACCTCTGAGATCATCTCCCAGCGCCTCACCTGAGGGGATACCCCACCACCTCTGAGATCATCTCCCAGCGCCTCACCTGAGGGGATACCCCACCACCTCTGAGATCTTCTCCCAGTGCCTCACCTGAGGGGATACCCCACCACCTCTGAGATCTTCTCCCAGTGCCTCACCTGAGGGGATACCCCACCACCTCTGAGATCTTCTCCCAGTGCCTCACCTGAGGGGATACCCCACCACCTCTGAGATCTTCTCCCAGTGCCTCACCTGAGGGGATACCCCATCACCTCAGAGATCTTCTCCCAGCGCCTCACCTGAGGGGATACCCCACCACCTCTGAGATCATCTCCCAGTGCCTCACCTGAGGGGATACCCCACCACCTCTGAGATCTTCTCCCAGTGCCTCTCCTTCAGGCCCGGGTTACCCAGCGTCTGCACCAACGGGAGGTTCTCTCGGAACGTTTCTATTCGCTGTCGAACCTGGACCATAAGGTGAAAGTTTCGTCAAACCAAAAGTTGATACCAGATAATGATAAACCAAGATTTGATGCAATTATAGTTCACTGGTTGATATTACAAAGGTTTACCAGAAGTATATATGAAGCATTACCGCGATGACTACGTTCTTGGCGGCGGGCAGATCACCGAATCCTTTCTCGAGCTTATATACGGTGCGCCAGGTGGCTGCCACCTCCTGGGATATTACGTCAGGGTCGTGAGTGCCCACGGGAGAGTGCAGCCACTCCTCCAGGCGATCCGACCACTCCACACCCACCTCGTACAGCTTCAGGAATGGCGCCAGTTTATCCGACACCTGTAGGGGGGTCCAGGTTTAATAATTCAGGGTAATATGCAATAACAAAAGATCTACATTTTAAATATTCAAGTATTTTTCAACTAATAACAATTTCACCTAACTAGCAGTAATTTCACTGTTCAGTGAACTATATATTTTTGAGCAGTGAAATAAATTTCCTCGTAAATTTAAGTGCTTCTTGAAATTGGTGGTCTTAGGCTCCCAGCCTATCTGGGGCGGCGGGCCCAAGATGGCGCCGCCAGTGAGTGAGTGAGTCAATTGTTTATAATACATCGTAGCATTATCAACATTTCTCAGCTTTCAATTAAAACACATTATCTACAAAATATAATTTAATGACTTAGTTCATATTTTGCTCTTTCCAACAACACACATTTCAATATGCAAATCAATGTAGTTAAACAAGGTTGAATTATCTGTCATATGATTGGTGTGGAGTGACTACTCATGTTTCCTGAGCAACACTAAGGCCTGCAGCCACACTAGCACACACGTGTTTATGCGCTTGTAAAAACCCCACACCTGATGCATGAGTAGGTAGTGTATTCCCTAATTCTCTTACCTAAAACATCTCTATGTTGTGAGTGGTGTTCTAGAAGGTCTTTACCTGTTTTCTCAGTGGGTGGTAAGCGGTGATCCTGGAGCTCCTTACCTGTTTTCTCAGTGGGTAGTGAGTGGTGTTCCAGGAGAGAGCTTCCTCCTCCTTGTTGATCTGTTCGATATAGTTTGCAGCATGGTCGAGGCGGGAATGGAGGGACTTTGCTCGCCGTAAATATTCATGGATTTCATTGTGGTCTCCCAGGGTCTGGAAATCTTCCAGCTGCACTGCATATTCTGCCAACTCCTCCTGGAATTTCTCACGCCTCTCCTGGGTAGCCATAAATGAAATATATAAATAAGCTAATAAAATTGAAAATAAATATAATGTATGAAAACGAAAAACACTGTTCTGTGCTAATTTATTAGTTGCATTGATACTTATAAAATCTAAGTGTTTAATAACAGCCAGTGGAAATCAAAAGTAGTAGACAGAGTAAGCATTCAGTGATGATGGTATATTTAATTCCCATTAACATTTTACATAGAGCCATAAAGTTGAATTGAATACATCTTGCTGAGATATATTGACGAATATACACATTTCGAGGCCAGGAGGGGAGTTTCGTACCCTGAGGTTGGCCTCGTACTCAGCCCTCTTCTCCGTGATGATCTGGAGGTGGACCCGGAACACCTCCGGGAGGCGGATGAACCAGGCGAGGGGCTGGACGGCGTCGTTACACTCCTCAGAGCTCAACGACATGTTCTCCGCCAGGAACTGTCGAGCAGGATGGAGAATTCTCGCTTACAATATCTACACACGCTCAACGCACACAAAAAGGATATCACTAAGGTTGCATGTAAACAGGATAGCACCGGTAGCCAGAGCCAAGCTGGCTGACTAAAACCAGCCTGAACAAGAATGTAAATAAGGAATTATTCAGAATATTATACACCGAGTGAGGTCAATACTATTGCGCGGCGCCGGTGTCGAATCCACACTTGGGTAAACAATATATAGATTCAAATATAAAGATTCGCTGCAAGACTGGTTATCATAATTATGAGAACTGGGGTACGAAAACAGACTAGACAAAAATAGAAAAGCTGAGACGACCTGAACACAACATAGACAAATATGAGATACAATTATTGTAGACTCGGGAGGGCAAAAGTACAAGCAGGACTTGGACAAAATGTCCTGGGAAGAAACAATAAATACAGATGAATCCGAGAAACATAGTGCACGAACATCATCATCACACAGCAGGATGGAGTCGATTAAGGCAGTGTCTGGGATGCTCCCGGACGCAGGTTCGAATCCTCGTCACGGCCCTTGTGGATTTGTTCATAGTGCACGAGTTGCCATCAAGCATAATGTGTAAGAAGAGGAGGCACTGGAGTCCCAGTCCATCTACGGCTTCCAGTGAATGAATAACAGGGCAATGTGTGTTTCCGATTCTCTGTAACAGACAATTTAACGATAAAACTCATGGCCAGACGATGGACTCACTCCTTTAAAAATAGATTCACACACACACACACACACACACACACACACACACACACACGTGTACTCATAGTGGCAGCTTAATTGATTGCAGAAGTATTGTGCAAATTAAACGTTTTGGTTATATAGATTTTAATTAACATTTCACGATAAAAAAAAATAACTATTTGACCTGGAGCTGGGTATGGAGACGCCAGACTCTGGTCTCCAGCTTGTGCAGCTGGTTCTCCATGACGTCCTCCATATAGGCCTTGTGCTCCATGAGCTGGAGGGTGTCGCCTGGGGTGCTGAGGGCGCGTTCCGTGATCTCCTTCAGTTCTCCACACAGCCTGAAACACCGCCACTTATGACATCTTAACACTCAGGCAACACCACTATATTATTACTAAATGTGTTTGTCATACTGAGAGAGAGAGAGAGAGAGAGAGAGAGAGAGAGAGAGAGAGAGAGAGAGAGAGAGAGAGAGAGAGAGAGAGAGAGAGAGAGAGAGAGAGAGAGAGAGAGAGAGAGAGAGAGAGAGAGAGAGAGAGGAGAGAGAGAGAGAGAGAGAGAGAGAGAGAGAGAGAGAGAGAGAGAGAGAGAGAGAGAGAGAGAGAGAGAGAGAGAGAGGAGAGAGAGAGAGAGAGAGAGAGAGAGAGAGAGAGAGAGAGAGAGAGAGAGAGAGAGAGAGAGAGAGAGAGAGAGAGAGAGAGAGAGAGAGAGAGAGAGAGAGAGAGAGAGAGAGAGAGAGGAGAGAGAGAGAGAGAGAGAGGAGAGAGAGAGAGAGAGAGAGAGAGAGAGAGAGAGAGAGAGAGAGAGAGAGAGAGAGAGAGAGAGAGAGAGAGAGAGAGAGAGAGAGAGAGAGAGAGAGAGAGAGAGAGAGAGAGAGAGAGAGAGAGAGAGAGAGAGAGAGAGAGAGAGAGAGAGAGAGAGAGAGAGAGAGAGAGAGAGAGAGAGGAGAGAGAGAGGTAGGAGAGGGCAGAGAGAGGGAAAGGGAAAGTAAAGGAGAAAAGGTAAGTAGGATAAAAGGTGAGGAAGGAGTAGAAGGGAAGGAGTGAGGAAATACGAGACTAATAGACGTACATATCAGCGGAGGCGCAGTATTGCTGGTGGAGGTGGGTGAGCATCTCCCGCCGGAGGTTGGTAACCCTGGACACCAGGGAGGCCACCAGCGCCTCGCAGTGTACTTCGTACGGTCCCATCTCCACCACCTGCCACAACCGTCGACGGTATAATGTAAGAAATTATATCCTGTTCTAAACTCTACCGTGCATAAAATTTTCTACATAATTATCAATGTCTGAAATGTGCTTTAAATATCATAACACGTTCAAACAATGGAACAAGAACAGAGGTTATATTTTAACTCTAAGGTTCTTTTTTCAGTTTTATAAGGCTTGCCGGTTGTCACTTAAGGACGCGTGTCATTGAAGCTCTTCAATATCTACAGAGGCAGAGAGACAGTTAATACATAGTAGCAGAGGCAGAGAGACAGTTAATACATAGTAGCAGAGGTTACGTTACACACACACCTTGTAGCATGAGGTGAAGTGAGTGTTACACAGTCGACGTAGGCTGGTGCAGTAGGTGGTGTGAGGGCGGCAGGTGTGTCTTGGTCCCTATAATGGTAGAGTGTATCTAAGAGTGCAGGTGTGTCTTGGTCCCTATAATGGCAGAGTGTATCAGAGTGCAGGTGTGTCTTGTTTTACGAAGATGGTAAGGTGTACTTAAGTGTAAGCCGCACGTTGATGATTTAAGGTGATGATCAGATGCTCTGAGGATGAGTGTTGAATATGTAGCGCCTTGGTTACTAGAAGAAAGACCCAATGTAAAGAGCATGAACTATGCGAAGAACTGTAAAGAGTGTGATGAAGATTACCTGCTGGGAGGAAGTAAGGATGTCGGCTCTCAGTACAGAAAACTCCGTCAACTTCTCCACGTAGGACTCGAAGGGATGGTCGCCTGACATGAACTCCTGCACCTCCTCCTCGGCCTGCCGGGGTGAAAGTACTGGTGAAGTTTGTAGTCTAGTATGACTCACGTGTGTCAAGGCACGCAACAGTCCTTCACATTCCCTACAGTTCAAGCAAAGAGCAAAACTGACCCTGTCACAACTATAATACACTCCAACACATAATCTACAACTCAACAAATTAACAATAACGTAGTGTGGTTGCTGCCGTCATGTGGGCTCACCTGGCCGCTGATGAGGGAGTCGTACTTGTTGTACCTGGTGGCGTGGTGGGTCGGGGCCACGTTAGACTCCCAGATCTCCTTCAGCACTTGCTGCCTCAGGCGGCCTATCACCTCCTCCTCCACCACTGGCTGTCAGGGACATGCACAATAGTTATGAGTTCATGGATGATTCTTCCTCGGTCTGCAAATTATAATTGTATATATTTAAATATTGTTATATATAATTATTGCTAATTACATGGCAGTCCATCATCACCCAGCAAAAATTTGCTATCAGAACCATAGTTTGCGTGTAATAAGAATATTAAACGCAAACCCCGATGTATGGACTTTTACAACTAACTGTACCTTCTTGTATATAAATAAATATATAAAAACAAGGTTTATAAATTTATAAAGTAATAGAGAAATCTAAAATTTTGGAATTTAAAGAGACTTATTAGCAAAACTCTTTCATAAATGTGTACAGTGAGACGTGTTGTGTGAAGGAAGCCAATTATGCCTCGGATGAAGCACATCATATGACATCAACTGCACTTCAAGGTCACCTCCTGCAAGTATATTTAACTAAAGAGCAGATAGTAGTTTTATTACATTATATTAATTATTTTCCATCTCGTACATGTCCATATGTTAGAGCATTTCTTAAAAGTGAAGAGTCAAATATCCAGACAGCAACAGTCTCCTGCCGTCCGTCCCAAGCGCTAAATACAATAAAATTGCAATATTACCGAGATCAATATTTTCCTGTGATTGAGGAGCATAAGTAAGGAGAAGACTTACAGTAATGTTGCCCTGGCGTCCCTCCCACTCGGCAAAGAGCTTGGTCTCAAGGCGCGGCACAGACATGCTTAGCTGCACCATCTTGTCGTAGAGGGAGAGCAGCGACGCCTCCACCTCCTTGAAGGGCGGCTTGATGACCACCTGCCCATCATCATACTGTCAGTCTTACCATCACAGTAGAAAGTTGTTTTCACATATCCATACATTAAAACATTGATTGTAACCATGATATATATGTGCTTCAACCTACAGTTTAGACCTATTGTCGTATGTATGACCCTCTGTCCTGCGTGACAGTGAATACCAGCATTATCCTCACTTTAATAAGACTATCAAAATCCTCAGATGAGGCAAAATTGGAATTAATTTTGTCAATAAAGATGTTAATAATAATAATAAGTCTTACCATCATGCTACTGTGTCCCTTATTATGTGCATTCTTTAGACAATTTCTTATAATTTTTGGTTTGTTGATAATTTGTGTGAACTATTGTTCGAATATTGTTCGATATTGGAATATGAAGATTTTTAAGCGAAACCAACACCCCTTTTACATATATTCTATTTAATGACAATTATGAATGGACCAGTTGAATAATGACCTGCTTGCCGTTCAAGAGAAGGTGTAGCTTTATCACCATCGGCTTCTTGGGGTGGCCGCTGGAGCCCGCCTGCATGAGGATGGAGTCCTCATCTTCACCGTCCTCCTGCCCTTCTGTAGCAGCCGTAGTAGCCTCCGTCACCTCCTTGCCGGTGCCTTCAGGGCCCTCGCCAAGAGACTCCCCCAGACCCTCGTCTGTTGTGACTTCATCGCCTTGGCTTCTCTCACCCCCTGACATCACCGATGGGCGACCTAATAAAGGAAATCATAATATGAATAATAATAACTGACAAAATTATAATACCAGCAAAGGAATTCACTTTCATTATGAAGTGGCCACAAACTTAAGAAAGCATTTTCTGACCTGATGTAGGCTCTTTAACCCAAAGAGCTATAGAAGCAGGGTCCTGGAGGTTGGGTTCGGCGCCGCAGAGTGAAGCGGTGGCAGAGAAGAGAGATAAAAGGCAGAGGTACTGGAGGTTGTGAGTCATGATGGTGACGGCAGCATTACAGAAGGAAGAGAGTCGTGCCGGTTGACTGAAGCCTGGCATCTGGCCTCGCTGAAACCCCTGCGTGGTAACAAACACTCTCCATATCTTTCTCGGCACAGTTTAATGGGGTGCGTGTCACAGGTAAAGGTGCACTATATTATATATATATACATGCATTCAGACTCACACACAGACACATTCTGTCTGTCTCCCTCTGTGTGTCTATCTATTTATGTAACTGTCTCTCTCTCTCTCTCTCTCTCTCTCTCTCTCTCTCTCTCTCTCTCTCTCTCTCTCTCTCTCTCTCTCTCTCTCTCTCTCTCTCTCTCTTTCTGTCTATTTGTCTCTCTATCTGTGTCTTTGTCAGTCTCTACCTGTGTTTGTCTCTGTCTTTGTCTGTGTGTGTAATGTGTGGGTGGTGGCCAGTGAGAGGAGCGTAGTGGTGTGGAATACTAAAACAAGAACAGTTACCCCTTACTCTGATAAAGGTCTGTGGCTTGAGAAACCTATGAAGCTGCAGCGGCATAGGCCTAAGGCACTCTCATAACTAGGTATGACCTTTAATTCCTGTTGACTCTCTTATTGGGGGGGGGGGTTGTCCTGTGTGTTTTAAAGGATCTAAACATTCCAAAGACCCCCACCCTTTAAAGTCTATCATCTAACAGCAGGTTGAAAGAACGAACTGTTACTCTGTTTCCGATATAAATTTAGGTTTTGTCACTTGGAGTGTCTCACACCCTACGAGCAATAAGCAGCATGTCAACGTAATGGCCTCAGACTGCAGAGGAGAGCCAGGACCTGCTATGATACACATTAACTATTTTATACTTCTCTTCTCAACATTAATTAAAGTGTCTCACACACACACACACACAATGGCTATAAAACTAATGCTTGGACACGTTAGCTTGACCCGCTACTAAACCCCAGACAAGACCGCAGGTAGTGGGGGAGAGCTAACAAACACTGAGTCACCTTGTAGAAGATAGTCTGGATTTGTGTGAACCAGAGAGTGAGGGTGTCGTTGGTTGCGTCCAGCTGATCGGCCACTCCAGCCATGAACTCTTCCAGCTCCAGACTACCTTTGCCTTCCATGACCTTCGCCACCTCCACCAACCGTAGACCGCTGTAGGGAAGATCAAAGGGCGCCTCGTGTAGAAAGAGTGAATAAGGCGTTTGATGTAGGGAGGGTAATTGTGGGGTTTTACATAGGAGGAGAGAAAACAGTGGCTGATGAGGATAAAAACATAAGAACGCAGGAAACTACAGTAGGCTTTAATGTTGCCCAATGTGAGGCACCTCATATATATATAATCAACCAAACTCACTCAGCACTTTTCAAATCTAAACTGATCCTAGTTTGCATTCATTGGTTCGTGTTCCATTTTATGTTGGCATATTTAGCACCTTATTAATATATCAAATTGTTATACCCATTTATCCATTTGTTAATTGAATTTTTTAATCTCTCTTCATAAGGAAGGCTTCTAGTGACTAGTGACATTTGTCATCATTTTCCGTAAACGTTCAAGTAAGTTACGTCCATTCTATAGTATGGTGACCCAACTGAGCTGCAGCATCTAAATCGGGCTAAACAGGGGAAGAAAAAGATGAAGGATAACATAAGACGTTATATTGCTAGAGCTTCTAGATATGAAGCCTAGTAATATGACCTAGTTTGCTTTATTCCCTACATTTATGCATTAATTTTGTGTACTTAAGATCCATACCAATCATGAATCTTAGATCTTTTTTTCACAGATTTCAGCATTGTCCAGGTGACGTGTCTTAACTATCCTACTGTTACCCAAGCTCAAAACTCTACATTGCTCAGCAATAAACTGCATCTACCAATATTCCGCCCATTTTTAAACCCTATCTAAAGCGTCTTGTAGCGAGGAAAGGCAAGATAGTTATCAGGAGAAAGCACTAAGCCGTTATGACTATATAGCACTTGGAAGGGTTCAGGATAAGGATTTGGTATGGAACGGGAGGAAGGAATGGTGCCCAACCACTTGGACGGTCGGGTATTGAACACCGACCTGCATGAAGCGAGACCGTTGTTCTACCGTCCAGACCAAGTGGGTGGGACCCCCAGCCATGTCTCAGTGTCAACCCCTCAACCGTGAGGGGCTTGAGTAATGACCCAAATGGTTGAGCACCCACTTGAGTAATGACCCAAATGGTTGAGCACCCACTTGAGTAATGACCCAAATGGTTGAGCACCCACTTGAGTAATGACCCAAATGGTTGAGCACCCACTTGAGTAATGACCCAAATGGCTGAGCACCCACTTGAATGAATACCTAGCTAAGTGGTCCCCAAGAGAGCTGGAACTGACCTGTACTCGCGGTACCAAAGCTCCAATGTCTGCAACATACAAGAGTTGAGGAGGTGGAGGTTCTTCTTGATGGAGTTCTTAGAGGGAGCCCACGACTCCAGTGCCAGGCGGCTCGACTCCATCTGTGAAACTCAACATGTTAGCTGACGCCTCCTACACTGCACGAAGCACACAAGCCAATATCTGCTGCTTTTATTCTAACATTTAACAAGGAATTTTAAATTGAAAATACAAAAATATTTTGTTTACTATCTGCCTACATTTCAAAACTCAGTATTTGATCATTAACTGTGGAATATAGATGTTGACTCTTGCCACCGGAGGCGGCTAGTTTATTGTGCACCCCATACTTATCCTGTGAACGGTAGCGCAAAAAGGATTAGAGAGCACAAAAGGCCTTTATCAGACCTAAACGGAGATTATTACATTAACAATTTCATCTATCTTTTCACACCTTATAATTATAAAGTCAGCTATTTACAGAGAATACTCTATTTCAAGAGCTATATATTTACAGTAAATTATTATACATTAATGGTAGATCTTATCGCTAATACATAATTGTTTAAGTAATAAAGATATTACAGTCATAGGGGAGATGCTGTTTATTATTATTAGTCTTCACAATACACTACTCGTTTCTTAATCTCATATGTCGTATATCTACTGGAGAGAAACATGGACACAGTGCAAGGATTTCAGGTATTTTATCCTCAGCAATTATATTTTTTGCCATTTCAGTCCAGATTCATCTCTAAATGGCTCAATTTTACTGCAGTCCAAGATATAATGTTCGAGTGTGTGTCCCTGTCTTTGTCCACACACACTTTGCACTTATATAGATGTCTGATGCATTATCCTCTTGACCTACGTATACTAAGACTAGTTCCTAGGTATAATCTCCTGAGCCTTGAAGATGCTGGCACTACCCTGTTTTCATCTTAATGTTCGAAAAACGTTTGATCCTAAACAAGATAGATATGTGAATTTTGTTGGAACAAGTCCCCATTGATTTTACCGAACAGAGACCCTGCTTAGACAAGAGGTCGTTCACCAGTCATGGGCAGTGGAGCAGGAATCCGTTCTCATCACAAACTGCCGGCTAGCTAGACTCCTCCATACCTGCATGGAAAGTTGTTGCCGGGGACGAGGCTTGCCGGAATCGAGGACAAAATCGACGGCGACCTTCCTCATATTGTGCTCGTAGTCCCTCTGTAGCTGTTGTAGTAGGTTCTGGCACGAACCCATCTGAGTCCTGGACATACACAAAATTATCATATCAAATTAAAGGAGCGCTAACCACGCCGCTGCAGTACTGCTGTAGTGATATAAAGATATTGTTGTGAGCACATGCTGGCACAATGTTCCCGATGACATCAACAATGGTTGTTGGATGTAAAAACTCGTGGTGAGAGATTCGTAAAAAATTCCCACTGAGAAAATGTACACGACGTCACGTCTCATGGCGTCGGCTGAACATTTACCAGATTATCTAAGAGGCATTACTACCCCACAGAGGCCAATGATATGAGCAGCCAATGTCATGAACGCCACTGATCTACAGAGCAATTGACACGTGGTGCCACAAACCTTCAGCAGCAATAGTCAGAGCAGTTGCTGACGTGAAGGACCAAGTAGTTGCTTATCTAATCTGCTATTGACATAAAATGTCAATAATCTATGCTTTCATTGACTTAACTTGGCACTGACCTAAGGTAACCGTGAACTGAGGTGTCGCTGTGAAGAATCATTATACTCAAGTGATCTAACCTGGCACTCACATTAGGTACCATCGACCTAAAGTGTCACTGAGATAATGCTGACCTTAAATAACACTGACCTGAGGTGCTTGGGGACGAGGCCAAGAATGGCGGAGACCCAGGACTTCTGGAAGGGGCTGGAGCGCATAGAGAGGCCTCGGGTGATGAAGTAGTGGTAGCGACGTTCTAGCTGGTCTCGCCCGCTCTTAGTCCGACACTCTTCTGTCTTGAGCAGCTTGACCAACGTCCGTCGGAACTCCTGCCGGTTCTCCAGCAGCTCCAGGTAGCTCGCCTTCTTCCTCGCCTACACACATACCACAAGGCTTTAGTTATGCAACACGCCTGCCGCAGTCAATAAAAGGTAAAAAGTTAAAATTTCTTTCTCTTTTACCCAAGAACTTTGACTATTACCCAAGAACTTGGACTATTACCCAAGTACCTGTACTATTACCCAAGTACCTGTACTATTACCCAAGTACCTGGACTATTACCCAAGTACTTGGACTATTACCCAAGTACTTGGACTATTACCCAAGAACTTTGACTATTACCCAAGAACTTGGACTAGTACTCAAGTACTTGGACTATTACCCAAGTACTTGGACTATTACCCAAGTACTTGGACTATTATCCAAGTACTTGGACTTTTACCCAAGTACTTGGACTATTACCCAAGTACTTGGACTATTACCCAAGTACTTGGACTATTACCCAAGTACTTGGACTATTACCCAAGTACTTGGACTATTACCCAAGTACTTGGACTATTACCCAAGTACTTGGACTTTTACCCAAGTACCTGGACTATTACCCAAGTACCTGGACTATTACCCAAGTACTTGGACTATTACCCAAGTACCTGGACTATTACCCAAGTACCTGGACTATTACCCAAGTACCTGGACTATTACCCAAGTACTTGGACTATTACCCAAGTACCTGGACTATTACCCAAGTACTTGGACTATTACCCAAGTACCTGGACTATTACCCAAGTACCTGGACTATTACCCAAGTACCTGGACTATTACCCAAGTACCTGGACTATTACCCAAGTACCTGGACTATTACCCAAGTACCTGGACTATTACCCAAGTACCTGGACTATTACCCAAGTACCTGGACTATTACCCAAGTACCTGGACTATTACCCAAGAACTTGGACTATTACCCAAGTACCTGGACTATTACCCAAGTACCTGGACTATTACCCAAGTACTTGGACTATTACCCAAGTACTTGGACTATTACCCAAGTACTTGGACTATTACCCAAGTACTTGGACTATTACCCAAGTACCTGGACTATTAACCAAGTACTTGGACTATTACCCAAGTACTTGGACTATTACCCAAGTACTTGGACTATTACCCAAGTACTTGGACTATTACCCAAGTACTTGGACTATTACCCAAGTACCTGGACTTTTACCCAAGTACCTGGACTTTTACCCAAGTACCTGGACTTTTACCCAAGTACCTGGACTTTTACCCAAGTACCTGGACTTTTACCCAAGTACTTGGACTTTTACCCAAGTACCTGGACTTTTACCCAAGTACTTGGACTTTTACCCAAGTACTTGGACTTTTACCCAAGTACCTGGACTTTTACCCAAGTACTTGGACTTTTACCCAAGTACTTGGACTTTTACCCAAGTACCTGGACTTTTACCTAAGGAAAGTACAACATTTTGCATAAATAGAAGTCCTGTAATAGACAAATTCCTTGAACTAACAAGTTTGTTATATTTTGATACATTGGCGTAATTCATCCAATTATGGCAGCAAGTGTGTTACTGACTGGAGGCCGCTCGGCTCCGGCGATGAAGCGGCGCCGCTCCCTCCTGATGGCCGCCTGGTGCAGCTTTATCTTCTTCGTCAGCTCCTTCGTCGTGAGTTTTCGCCGAATTTTAAATGGGTCATCATTGGATGTTTGGTCCTGCTGCGGTAGGAAGCCGGGGCCTTGGTCACCCAGTGGCACTCCTCCTTGGGCGCTGTTACCCTCGTAGGGGTCGTGGCGGGGGTCTGCCACCCTGCTAGTGCCCGGCCTGGAAGACCCCTTCATTCCTGAGAGAAAGGTTAACACACAATTAACTTATGTCATAAAATATGTCGCTACTTTATTGAATTTATATAATCTTTATATTTCTATATTAATTTTACTTTTATATATATCGAATTACATAGGTTTTATGATTAACTATTGAGAGGTATTATAAGGATTGATCACATTTTACCCAAGTACCGAATATATGATCAAGTTACTTGGAATTGTGGTAAAGTAAGAAGTTACTCGGTACCCGTGTGTTAATGGGTGTTAGGTCATGGTGGCTCCCACAACGGCTCCTGGGCCGTGTGTACCCGACTCTGAAGGTGGACATACCGTGGAAGGGCGAGGGAAGCACCCTCTGTAGCGCAAGGTCTGAGGCGGTGTGAAGACCGAGCTGGGAGAGCGCCTCCAGCCGGCGACGATGCAACTGCCGCTCCTGGTCCTGGATGCTGTACCCAGGCAGGCGGAAGGCTGGCTGGTGGCGGAAACCACGGCAGGGTGTGAGTTGTCGAAAGACAGTCAGAGGCAGAGCACCATGAAGAAATGCAGACATTATAAACATAGTGACACTACAAGAGGGACCGACGAGCAGTTATATGACATAGTAAAAGTCTACGCAGAGTTCGCAAGTGTCAGTGGACACCTGAGAGTACATGTGAGAGTGTGTGATAAGATTGAGCAATTATCAAAAGAAAGAACGAAAAAGACTATGTATCACTGTTATGGGAATATTCAAAAGCGCTAAATATCACTCAGGATCCCAGTACGAAAACAAAAGAACATAATTTATAGGATTAACCAAGGCTTCTATGGACAAGTGACAAGAATGAATTATTTCGAACAAATATTTCACGTGACTGAGGACATACCATGCGGGACCGCGCCGGCAGGAGGCGGGCATTGTCGCCGACCTCGTGGGTGAGGCTGCCCTTGCTGGACCTCCTGTCCCGCTTCACGCCGCCCTGCAGGCGCCCCTCCCCGCCAGCCCTGGCCTCGCCCGCGGCACGCTGCTGCTGTCCTCCGTGCTGCCCCACCACAGAGTCCTGAAGGAGAGGAAACGGTGAAGTTTTACCATCTCCCGATGTTGTTTAAGTAATATCGATAAAAAATTTTGTTTAAATGCCATTGAAGCTTCTCTGAATTTGAGTGATCGGTAAAGGCATTGACAAGTGAGTCAGGCGTTGTGTCATGGAAAATGAATGACATTACCTTCGCCATTAGGCATATATTATATTCAAGACAAGATATACAGTCCAGTTACTTGAAGCCGCTATATAGACAAATAATAAGGGGTGAAAACGACAAAGTAATGATGTGGTATTACCAAGAGTAACGCGTGTGGCACAAGTTATAATGTAGGACGAGAACAGGAGATGCTTTTCACTCACAGGGTTATTAACCCATGGAACCGCCTACCAGCCGAAGCGGTAACTGCTAAAACTGTGCTGAATTTCAAAATATACCGGGAAAAGATCATCAAGGCGAATGGGTGGACCTTCGACAAGCCGAGGGCTTCCTGTCCTCGTCGAGACCACTATCGTTATTGGCCCTCGGGTAAATGAGGTGTGTGAGGGGCCATACGGCCACTAGACACAACTAGCAGTCTGTCAACCTGTCCTCTTAAAAATAACGTCACTTTTGGCTCGTATGCGCGATATGGCCAAATTTGGACGTAATTTGAAATGAAATCGACTCACAAAAGTGACGTTCTGTTCCGTTTTCTTTTTGAGTCGTCCGGCGTACGCGCAGAGGTCTACCGTTACCCGTGATAGGTGGGAGCAGGTGACCAGTCTACCAAGCCTGAGCACTCCAAGTGTAAACTCTGCCAGTAGGAACCGGGACATGCTCTCCAACATTATATTATTGAGTGTTCAGACATACTTGACTTTTTACACCTGCCGGTATGAGGTACACAGATCCCTGCAATCATTGTATTTTATATACTCTTGTGTTTATCATGATATCCCAGCCATATCAACATAGAACTAGTAAAGTTTTGGTAGGTTAACTGATTACTTGGTCCAGTGACAGCTCATCCTGCAAAATGGGATCTTAGTACAGTATCTTGACTAGCTGTGTAACACACAAATCACAATAGCGTGATGCATCAAATGAACAAATCCACAAGGGTCCTCTCGGACGTAGATTCGAACCCTCGTCACGGCCCTTATGGATTTGTTCATTAGCTGTGTAACCCTTCATACAGTTGTGGGTAGTAGCATCAGTGTGTGTGTGGGACACCTGTGTCAATAACAACTATAAACAAAGGTGGTGTAGCGCGTTGGAGGTGAGGTGAGTGTAGTGACTTACACTGAGGTGCAGTGTCAGGGTAGGAGGCGGTGCACGGGCTGCTGCTGCTGCTGCTGCAGACGACCTGGAGGCCGTGACGGGGCGGTGTGTGTGTGGGACACCTGTGTCAATAACAACTATAAACAAAGGTGGTGTAGCGCGTTGGAGGTGAGGTGAGTGTAGGACTTACACTGAGGTGCAGTGTCAGGGTAGGAGGCGGCGCACGGGCTGCTGCTGCTGCTGCTGCTGCTGCAGACGACCTGGAGGCCGTGACGGGGCGGCTGCTGCTGCTGCCGCTGCTGCTCCTACTCTCTGCTCCCTGTGAGGCCCGCGTGTGAGGTGCCACCCGCACATCCATTGCCGCCTCACAACGTCTCCCTCAACAACTCTGCGAAATTTCACAAATCGCGTATGAGCGTCATGATGTTTTCAGTCAGTAACAAATATTTTTGAAATATACCAATCAGATCACATTTAACTATAATTTTGAGGTTTAGTCGTTCTGAATATCTAGAAACTGAGCATCAGTACCTTTCTCATTTCTACCTAAAGAAGCCTCATGAAAGTCAAGTAGAGTAGCATTAAGGCAAGTCAGCCTCCTCTGGAAGGTAACTCAAAGGTAGCTATAGCGCGGTGGGTTCTTAGTACTGTACTTAGGTTACATCAAGTAAGTCAAAGTAAGGCTCGGGTAACAATTCATAGGATTTATGTAATAATAACGTATATTCTACATCAACTTACCTGTTTATTAATTATTTCTTACAACGTTGAAGGCATCGCGTCAAAAAAGTCATTAACTTTTCAGGTCCAAATAAGAGTGGTGAAGCAGGTAGCGAAGGTGGTCTTAAAGGAAATTAAGGATTGCAATAAACTAATTTGAAATTGTATGAACTATAAAAATTTTAAGGGTGCGATGATAAACAAGATTGAGAGGAACGATGACCTTAGAGGTTGAGTTTTGTCAGTCTGTGTGTAAGTGAATGTCCCCAGCCCTGGGGCCAGTCGCAGACGATGAGTCACAATAACGTGGCTGAAGATATGATGACCAAACCACACATTAGAACATGAAGAAACGACGACGTTTCGGTCTGTCCTGGACTAGACCATCAACCAGGAGGCCCGGTCTCTGACCAGGCTTCCTGGTTGATGGTCTAGTCAACCAGGCTGATCGCAGCCTGGTTGATCAGGTATCCTTTGGAGATGTTAATCATGTTCTCTCTTGAACACTGTTAAGGGTCGGCCAGTTATGTGTAGTGGAAGCGTGTTGAACAGTCTCGGGCCTCTGATGTTGATAATTCTCTCTCAGAGTACCTATTGCACCTCTGCTTTTCAACGGGGGTATTCTGCACATCCTGCCATGCCTTCTGGTTTCACGTGATGTTTCTGTGTGGAGATTTGGGACCAGCCCCTCTCATATTTTCCGTGTGTAAATTATTATGTATCTACCGCCTAGAGAATACAGATTTAGGCTTTTGAGTCCGTCCCATTAATTTAGATGGCTTATTGAGTGGATTCTAGCAGTAAAGATCTCTGCACACTCTCCAAGTCAGCAATTTCTCCAGCTTTGAAAGGGGCTGTTATTGTGCAACAGTATTCCACTCTGGAGAGCACTAGCGTCTTTAAAAGTATCATAATTGGTATCGCATCTCTTGTTTGAAAGGTTCTTGTTCTTCAACCTGTTATTTTTCTTGCAGTTGTGACGGCTACTTTATTGTGTTCTTTAAAGATAAGGTCTTCTGCCATGATTACATCCAAATACTTTACATTATTTTTACGTTCAATGGTACGATTTGACTGCAATTTATACGTTGTTTCCGTTTTTATATTTTCATTTTTATCATGGCGCAGGGCTCTTATCTTGAGGTTATCTCGAGATGATTTCGTTTTTTTTTTTTTTTTTTTAGTGTCCCCGCGGCCCGGTCCTCGACCAGGCCTCTACCCCCAGGAAGCAGCCCGTGACAGCTGACTAACACCCAAGTACCTATTTTACAGGTGGGCTGGTACACCCAGGTACCTATTTTACAGCTCGGCTGTAGCTTGTTACTATACAGAAATGATAGAGTAAATTTAAGATAGTGAGATAATCATTTACATGAATGGTACGGTTTAATATTTTAGTTATCTCATCACCCAGACCTTGTTAGTGGTCCTGTGGTGACTCGCTCACCTGTCTTATTCCCGCCTCGTTTTGTATGGTGTAAACATAACAGCCAATGTCACCATATCATCATAATAGCATCGGTAGTAAAGAAACACCTCCAACTCTTAAAATAATTCAATATGACGTCAATATAATGATTCTGCAACGAGCAACTGACATATATAAATGTGGTAACACAGAGTTTACCAATAAATACTTTTATGCGGTAACCCCAAGAGTTTATTAACCGAAAAAACACCTAAATATTATTTCAATTGTAGCATTTCTTAGCCTGATGTGTTATCAGGCGCGTGTCACAAGAGCCTCAAGAAGTACCTACCTGAGATTAGCTCCAGCAGACGGGACCTAAGGGGTCCAGCATGTTGTGTTGGCTGGCGTAGTGTTAGAGACGCAGCTTGCGAGGCTTACACAGGCGTTGTCTGGCGGCGGACACGGTAGAAGCCGTTGCTACGGTGACCCGGGGTTACTGTTGACAACCGTCGCCATGACAACGGGACGCGTGATCAGCTGTTTTATATACGATGAGGTCACGCGTCAGCTGATTGCTGTTAGTGAGAGGTGTGTCAGTCTGGAAACCTATTCTCACAAGTTATTTTATGAGTTTTAATGGTTTTTGTACAACTGTCAATATTAAGGTTTTAAATCTGTTATAGTTTATCATCATCTGGCCTCACCATCTCCACACCCGTCACAACCAGCTCCACACCAGTACTTCTGGGTAGTTTAGGAGCAGCACTATTCTTTATAAGAATAACTGTGCCAATAATTTAGTTCCTTTGTTCCGCGGTGTTTACCATCCAAAACCTGGAACATAAAAGGATAAAATATAAAAACCTAAAAACGCTACGAATAAACCTATCTAAGGATAATTCATATAGCCAAAATGAAGGTCTTATTGAAGTTAAAATATCGCGCCACATCACCCATGGTTGGCTAAACAAGAAGGTTAAAAGATAAATTAAATTCTTAATCAATATAAAACTATTATGTTATAATACAGAGTACGGTTGGTGCTATATTTTTTTTTAAGTATTGACGTAAATATGATATTTTTATTTATTATTTAATAAGGACAAAAATAGAGCGAGAGGTATTATTATGCTTCCATGTTTTAGAGCATTAATAATCATCTTGGAAAGAAATCATGCAGAAGTGAATATTTTTATTAAAACGAGCAGTAGTAGAGTGGAGGGAGGAGGGGTGGGGAGGACAGACAGGCAGCAGGTGGCCTGTACAAGGGTGCCAGGTGGTTGGAGGCAGGTCCCAGGTACTGAACCTACAGGACAGAGCAGCTCTGCCTACATAACAGTGACTATGGAATAGTGAAGCCTACCTTTCTATGCTCCTATTTACTCTTTTGTACCTGGTTTGTTTTCTAATTGTCTTAACGTTTGAGTTCATCGCCGTAGATGGCACCTCCATCCACAACTGCTCTCACTGCACAACACTTCTTGACCACGATAAACAAAAAGAACAGACTTGCATATTTGCTGGAAAAGATCTGATCTGAATGCTAAACACAGCGCCACTGACGTGGGAGAAGCCAAGGTGCATCAGACAAGGTCACAGTGGCAAACCGGACATAATACT